TATAGTCTAGCCTCTGGAATGGGCGTCCCGGGGATTTCCTTATTGCGCTTCGAAGAGTTGAAGTACAATCTCGCAGAGATTAACGAGAAGAACCACCCGCACACTTCGCCGATGAACACCGCCGCCTGGACGTACCCTGCCTGCACGGGCGTCCAGTTATACAGTCCCACGAAGACCTGCTCGACGGATTGCGTGAACAGGTATAGTGTGCCGACGGTGAAGGCCGACCAGAGCGTGGAGAAGAACACGACGTATTCGGTGAAGAGCAGCTTGAAGGGTCGGCGGATGCTGGTGAGTAGGACCTGGCGTAGCGGCTCGGCTTGGAGTTCATGCTGCGTGTAGGCATTTTCGCCCTTATCTCGCAGTTTCCGGGCTCGGCGTTTCAGAATAACAGATCCCCTGGTTTCCTTCAAGATGACGATATTCACGAGCAGCAATGCGCCGACCCAGATGAGTTGCAGGTAGGAGAGCCATCGCCAGGACAGATGTGCGAAGATAGGTGCACCGATTAGTGGCCCCGCACTACTTCCACCGAGATAGGCGACGATCCAGAGAGCGACAGGTTTCGTGCGGGCCATCTCTGTCTCGAAGAGATTGCCGATGATGCTTGCTGAGCCGTTGCCGAGCACGGCCACGCAGCCACCAGCGAAGAAGCGAACGATGATGAGAGTGGCGAAATTCTGAGCAACGGCTTGTGGTATAATAAATATTAAGAAGATGAAGTTGGTCAAAAGGAATGTAATACGGGTACCGAAGTCTTCCATGAGGGGAAGAATAAGAAGACAGAAGAAGACGCCACCCATCGTCCAAGAGGCGACGGGCCAGTATGAGTTGGGGAAAGTGGCATCGCTGACGTTGAATTCATCGTTAATTGCTTCATGGGCGACTGTAATGATAGTGCCATTCATGAGGGCCACGAAGGTGGTGATCAGAGCAGTGATGGTCATTAGCCATTTTCTGGAAGTGGGCCAGTTGAATGGATTCTGGGGATCTTTGGGGCCATCCCAGTCCACGACGGACACATTAGAGCAATCACTGCAAGGGGCTGAGTCCATGGTTAGAAGCCTGATTCTAGAAGACAGATGAAGTAGAAAAACCTACTCGAGGGCATCTCCTCATCCTCAACAGCCACCATGCTTGCGGGTTCGCGAGGACACCCAGACAAAAGTATGGGCGGCGGCGTGAGAAACCTGTCTGTGCTTAGATATTCCCGGGGAAGTCGAAGCTTATAGTCCAAGAGCCAATATTAAGACAGGTTGAGGGATTTATATGTAAAATATCACCACGCGGTAAACGTCTTTGGTGTCAGATCAGGGCGGGACATTCCAAACGATTCGTAGTCTCCTTGCAGGAATATCGCAATGACTTATACTCAAGACATTCACTTCTGGCGGGAAAATCGCATCCGGTTTACCGAAAAGGGTTAGGGAATGGCTCCATCAAAGAGAGCTGAGGAGTGGAACTTCCCTTCCAAAGGATGAATATGAAGGCTAGTGGGGAGGCAGGATACTAATAAAGCTTGGGTGCGTTCAAGGGTTTTGAAGGAGAGAAGTGGAGTTCGAAATTGCCGCTGAATTACATATGGGTCCCCGAGTGTTTAGTGCAGCCCTATTCCCCTCTCATGATCTGGAAATTCTAGAGCCATTCATGGGAGTGTAGATAATAGATATTGTGTAGATACAAGATGAACCCTGAGACAGGGCCGATGTGTAGAGAGGACCGGGGCCATCACACTTGCTCACACCACAGTGAATCAACGATTCCTTGACCTTGGTGGATTATGTGCAATTCCAGCACCATCCGGTCGGTAACTTTCGTCTCCCCGTTCCTAACCAGGCACCTCAAGCTCTCTCAATATCCGTTGGCGACCCAGATTTTTCGGTGGCTACCGCTGACCTTTCTCCGTCGAGCAGCCTGTTTGGGACTAGTGCATGCTCACGTGAAGGTACTTTTCCACGACGGCTTACAAAATGGAATTATGCGATGGGATGCATGCTTGGGTGATGAATCAATCAATGCCTGAGCAGATCTTTTTGGCTTCGCCGCGTGACTCATTTGATTTGCAAATAGATACCCCGTACTTTTACGGATTTATCCGTCCGCCGATTGGCTGGTTGGCAATGTTACACCGATGGGCCCTGTCATGTTCAACGTGTTCCGCATGATCTTATGTACACCAGATAGACATTATGATATGTCTTCGGGGGAAATAATACTTCTATTATCAAATGGAACCGCGGCAGCCACGCCATGCGTGTCATGAAGGCCACAGACGCCTCAAAAGGCAGTTTCAAGAGGGCTCGGTGTGTGAATCATCTTATTCTCCGCTTCGACTCGTTGTCGGTCATGCTGGGAGTCCATGCCAGCTAGCTAGCTAGCTAGTTAATTGACTTTTCAGTCAAGTTCTGCTAGCCACATGATGTATTTTTTTTCTATTCTAGTTACGGGCGGTAAGTCATCGCGCATACATAGAAGATGGCAGTTCCGTCTTTGGGACACGAATCCAGGTGTTTAGAGTCCTTAAGGGAAGAAAATGGGAATTCCTTGTAGATAGAAACCATCCAATGTGTTTAGTATAGATATAGATATAGTTAATAGGGTTCTATAGATGATTGTATTAAGGACCTTGTGGATGACTTCATGTCAGGGTTCTTAGACGCCACCTTCGAAGATCCGTCTAGTCCTTGAGGCACCTAGTGCCTCAGGTACAAACTCATGGCCTCAGGCACAAAGTATGTATTCGGGCACTAAACCCAAAGCGGGAGAATTCGACTGGTCCGATGGTTGATGTTAGCTGGTACAAGGAACGGCATACAATTTTGTGTTGGCAAGAGGCATGAGCGAATGCCGGTGTAGAGGACGCATCATCGGTGTGTCAGTTGCATTCAAGCTTAGATCGATCTCATATGATACGGATTCTACTCTCAACATAGAGTGCGATTGTGTGTAAGACGCCGGAAGAGCGAAAGGATAACATAAACATGACGTACTCCAGAACCCGCTAGTTGTAGAATACTTTGAGCATCTCAAAGGAAGGCAAAAATGCGACAGTATAAACAAGGAGGCTACTACGGATTACAAGCCAGCAAAAGTGTCTATTTGCCTCCTTTTCACAAACTTTGCTGAACCAAGCCAACCAGTCCAATAGTGCCCGGAATCCTGCAGTGGTCGGATTACATCACAGCGGGCCGGTTTCCTAATCGGGCGCATCCGCCACGCGACCGACATTCCTCCCTATTGAACCAAAACAGACTTCTAATTTCATCGTCTCATCTTCATTTTCATCCCATTGATCCATTGATTAGAAACAAAAGAAAGACCAATTGACCACTCTTCAACATGCTCGCGTGGTGAGTTGAGCAATACCTACCCAATCACCACGGCTGCGACCTCCACCCCCCAGACTAACAATAGTAAACTACAGGTACCAGAGATGTCTTATCCAGCGTCCTCTCTTGACGCAGAGCCTCACCACAGCGGTAAGCTTCAATCCCCCCCATATCTCATTCTTTCAGTAAAGCTAAGACGGAAATAATCAGACCCTCTTCGCAGTAGGTGACGGCCTCGCCCAACAAGCCGTCGAAAAGAAGGGCCTGCCCAATCATGATGTAACCCGAACTGGCCGAATGGCTTTATACGGTGGTGGTAAGCCCAGCCCCCGATCCCTCACCCCCCTTCATTCCCTCTAAACAAAAGCAAAAATAATATACAGCTGTTTTCGGCCCGGTCGCCACAAAATGGTTCCAATTCCTACAGAACCGCGTCCAGCTATCAACACCAACCAAGACTCTTGCGGCGCGCGTTGGTGCTGACCAGCTCGTCTGCGCTCCTACTATGATTGGTGTCTTCCTCACCAGTATGTCTGTCATGGAGGGTGTCAACCCCCAGGAGAAGCTCAGTAGGACGTACTGGGATGCGCTGCGCGCCAATTGGATGCTCTGGCCAGCGGTTCAGACGCTGAACCTTGCTTTGGTGCCGTTGCAGTATCGTGTGTTGACGGTTAATGTGGTTAATATTGGTATGTATATTTCTCTGCTTCTTTTCTACGGATGTATCTTGGATATTGGGTAAAGCTAATACTTGGATAGGATGGAATTGCTTCCTGAGCTTGGTCAATAGCGTCCCTCATGGGGATGAGGTTGCACCGGGAGTTTGACGTTTTGACTCTTTGGATTCCCTGTATCAATTATGTTTGGGTTGGTTGTTTGCTACGGTATTGATTATGTCGGATAGATGGCAAATTTTACTGGCTTAGAATAGATTTCGATTTCTGTTATTCCCTTGTCTGAAATGATAATTGCCGGATACACCTTACAGAACTCATCGCTCACATTCGTCTGCTTACACTCGTCTAATTATCTCAACATAAGCTTGTCAACAGCACTACGTAGGCATATCTGTAGAGAACGATTGTACTAAAAGGCGTTTCATTTAGAAAAGAAAGACTTCATCCACCGATCCAGCCAGCCAAATTTTCAAATCTCTAAACGCGTCAAGGTCATTCTTCTCCACCGAGATATCGACAGAAGGATCATGCCATTGGTGTGTTCTTTTCGCTTCGGTGTGTCTCAACGACTCTCCGATAAACCGACAACTATCGAAATCGATGAGAACAAGCCTACCATCTTCATCAAGCATAATGTTGGCCGGGTTGATGTCGTTATGGACAAGTCCAAACGAGTGAAGATGCTTGATGGCAGACAGAATCCCTTCTAGGCCCCTCTTCATATTTTCTTTTACCAGCTCACGAGCACTTGAAAGGAAAGCGACCTTGTTAAGGCGTTGAGGGTTGACCGCTTCAAGTAGCGTAGATGTATATCGCTTGAAGCATAGCCCAGAGACCCGGCCGTTAGTCTCCATATAGCCATAATAGGTCGCGATGTTCGGATGGGGATGCCTGAGAAGAATTTCGCATGTTTCCACTTCGCGAGTGATTTGCTTTTCGAGATCTCCATTGACATACGCCAGTAGACTTGGGGTTTTCACGTAGACCGCTGACCAACTGGCTTTCACCTCTGGGCCCCTATCCGCTGTTTGGATCTGCTTGACCTCGTCTAGATCTTCCAGCGTCTTCGGCGATTGGAATCGATCCGTCCATTTTCCAGAATACAGAATGCCGTCTTGCCGGACAAAAACCTCGACATAGGAAAATTTCATCTTCCCATCAATCTTTTTGAAAGCCTCATTTTTTTGTACAACTTCCATATTAGCGTGATGTAGGAGTTTTCGTGGACCCGAGGAGTTCTGTGGGATATAAACGGCGCGAGATGGCCAAAAAAGTAGATTGTGCAGCTGGTCTTATAAGTTTTGATCATGGGTGGGAACCACGCGTGATTTTGTGCAAGTGCGACTTCCGCCGAGAATGTACTCCTAGTTTGTCGGCTATTACAGTAAACCACAGATATAGAGATCAATATAGACCAACCATTGAAGTACTCATAGTCGGGGATTTCCTATACTATACTGTAATATAGTATATAAAATCGTCCAAGATCGACGAGTTAACTAAATTCACGCATTTGTTTGAACTGAAGGATTTCCTACATCAGTGTAGCGTATACACAGAGGTTTTTATAGTGTTCTATACCTAATTTATTTGAATATTCATATTTAACCAGATTCAGAATACTATTATTTTCATTAATACTACTATTGCATCTACACAATACTACTAGTCGCAAGATATAGTTCACAGTACCTAGTTCTCGAAGCTTTTTGTCTGGTTCCTGAGATGGCCCGCATGCTCAAGAGGATCTATGTCTGAATGCGACAACAAGCAACTTACAAAATAAATATCGCCTCTACCCCTGAAGCTTCTACGTGAAAGCCAATATCTTCGTCTTCAGTTTGCTTACTAGAACCTAGCAAGTCAGAAGATAATTCACAATGTATTCATAACATTGCCGAAAGTCATTGGTCTGTCTGAGGTGATTGGGGGCTAATTTTGGCTGTTGTTCCAACATCCGGGTTCAGGAGCCTCATATTTCTCTCCCAGATTTGCCTGCACTCAGCAAATGATAGGTAATTCTCGATAGTTACAGCTTTTGCAGCCTGAATGTAATCGCTCTATTTCCGTACAATCATGCTTAATATGTCTCTATCTATAGACGTCCTAGGGGGTTGAGCGCTCACTGGCAAGCGAGGCTTCTTCTGGGCCCGGGAAGAGTATCCCTGACGGGCAAGGACCATAAAAACATGACTGCAACAACTCGCTCTCTGTATACCAGTAGTAACTAGTAGCTCAAAAGAAGGTCGATGGCATATGCACCTTTCAGAATTCGCTTTTTCTACCCTGGTTTCTGCCTGAAGCCCCTTGAAGTTTTCGTTGGTGAGCCCGATGTCATCACGGAGGACACGTAGTTTATATATTAGAGATTATCCAATTGACTATATAACCAGAGGTATTAGAGGTATAAAATTGAACATAGAGAAGGCCAGAAGATGATCATGCACATAATCGAATAAGATGTTTAGGATCTCCGGAGACAAGGTGAGGAGATGAAGCTGTAGGAAGAGGCCACCAAAGCAGATTGTCGGGCGATGACTGCCTACATTGGCTCAGCGCTAAATCACCGCGCAGCATTGTGTAGCTGCTGAATTAGGGTGTCAATGACCGCATTGACCAGCTCTGGCTCCGCAATGCCTGTCTGCCATGTGATTCCCAAAATCAAACAGCCATCACCACCGGTGATTGACGAGACGTGCAGGGCTGCACCTAAAGCACTGGGTGTCTGGGAGAACATCGCCCGTTTAATCTGCGGCCGCGACGGGTCTTCTGCCTGTTTGGGCTGCAAGATTCCCACATTTGACACTTCAAAGCTTTCATTTCGGTTTTTGCCGATCTTACCCCCAAAGAGATCCTGAAAATTATCTATATATTTGAGCAAACATACGCCGGCGTTCTTTCCTTCGCGACCCAGTGCCTGTTCGATCGTCGTGCGGGACTTCCTGGCTTGACCCCATGGGAAGGTGTCAGGATATTGATTCACCTGGTTTCGATAAAAGCTTTCCCCAAAGTCCATGACCCAAACGCCCATGGACTGATCTGTAACCTCTCCTCCCTTTAGCCACCTTCGACATGACAGTGCGCCATTCATTTGAACTCTGGTATACTTCTCTGGCAGGTGGGTGAAAAGGGCGCGGGCAACTGCTGCTTGCAGAGCAGAGGTGACAGTAGCATTGTTTTGGCGACAGTTCTTTCTAAGCGCCGCAGACACAGCGGCCGGAATGACAATTTGGCGTAGCTTAGTCTCAATCGGAGCAGATATTTTGGCGCCTGTCCAGAGGCGGGAATCGCGAGGAGACCATACTTTTGCCCTAAAGAGAGCATTAAGAAGAAAAGGGATGGTCGTAGGACATGGATGGAGGGCTTCCAGGTTTGGCAGCAGCGGTGATTTGGGTGACGGGATGACTTGGTTAACCTCGCCTGGGGTCAAGGATGAAGCAGCGTGTAATGCATCTAGGAACGTCTGGTGAAAAGCCTTCCCTGATGTTCCGTCCCCAATCGCATGGTGGAACACATAGACTGCCGTAAAGCGCCGGTCATACGCCTCATCCGTTAGGATGTAAAGTCTCCAGAACGGCAAAGGAGCCGTAAACCCCGTGCTATGTTGAACTTGCAACAATTCGCACAATTCTACATCCGGTTCATCGTCGTTGGGGAAGTCGCGGGTGCGCCTCTGAAATGCCACCGACTGGCTCAGGTCAATCTCCGGGAGGCGCACGAACCAGGTATCTTCGGTATCTTCATTGACGGGGATGGCGGACAGGATAGGATGCTGGCCGATCAATGTTTCACATGCCTTATACACATAGTCTTTTAATGGCAGAGTGAAGGTGTCTGGCAAGATGTAGGTTGCCGACACCGCGACGTTGAAATATAGTCCGAGTGAATGGCGTGCGGTGGAGTATTTCTCCAGGGGCCCTGACAGCTGTCAATTCAAGTCCCCGTCGGCCTTGGCTTCTCAATTCAAGCAAATCTCACTCACCGACTGGACGTAGTCTTTCAAAATCATTCATTGTTGCGAGGTATTCGCATGCTAAGACTCTGGGCGCGATGAAACAGAGGGGAGAAAGAAGAAGTACAATGGAAGGGAACGAAGAACAATACTTGCCCATTCAAGGCCGATCCGCCGAGGAAAATCAACGGGTCGCGCCGCCCCTCTATATTTCCCGCGTCAAAACTTCCTCTTTCGGACAACCTTGCGACGGCATACAAGGCAGACATCAAATGTCATTACGACAGGTTTTGGTGCCTCGTTTCGGGTTGAAGACGGTCGCAGTGTGTTAGGACCGGAGGAAAACTGCCCTGCCTAAGTATTGTGCTTTCATCTTTTTCTGGTGTTGTTAGAGCTCTGTCGGATAGTCCTACAAAACATTTACTTAGCCCATTCGGGGTCTGGAATCAATGTGAGTGGTGTATGCAGGTCAAGAAGCCACCGGTCAAATAGAGTCTAGCATTCGAACTACTCTCCCAAAGCCTATATCGTCTTCTTCTATATCGTCTTCTCTTTTGCCGGTATCTTCCTATCTCAGCTTGTACTGCAGTTTTTTCTAGAAATTGACGGGGCTTATACGCGATTACTCAATGTTTCAGGCTACACTCTCAAGTTTAGACTGCCAAGCTAAGAATCTAGTGTTTCTTTGGGGAAAGGAACCTGCTTAAGTACTCTTGAGTGAGGCATTCCGCTTTCAGGCTCTCAGTCATGTGATGTGCAGATCACATGCCCTGCATAATCACGTGTCGTCACATCGGGCGCAAAGGAGGCGATGAACCGGAAACTCACGGAAGCCCGACTAGTCACCGACTGTCTCTGTGTCTGTCGCCTCTCACATTATTGCTCTTCCTCTGGATATGTATCCATGTAACTAGTCCGACGCGCCTCATTCTTTTCCTTATTCTTATTATCACCTGATTTTCGTTGGTCTTTCTCTCCTTCCCAGTGCTCTCTCATTGAGCGCTCCGATCTCCTTCCACGGGCTGGAAGGGTCTCTCTGGTCGTGGTCTAGAATCCCCCGAGTCCTAGCGCCCCTCCACCGTTCGTCCCCACAGCTGGCTGCGTTCGTTCCTTGGTCTTCTTGGGGTCTGATATACCTCACCACCATCTCCCAATTGCTCGCATCAACGTCCTTGCAGCATGCTTGGAGAAGGGCCTGAGGACGGCTCTCGCCCTTATGTCCCACCACTGTGGGAAACGGAAAACCGTCCCGATGATGATACCTCCGACCTCCCTCAGCATGAAGAGGCCGGTCTCCCATACTTACCCGTCTGGCTACGGGAGTCATCCAAGTCCATCCGCTGGGGTTGGGTGCCATTACCGCTACGCAAAGCAGGCTGGGCGATAGCCGACTGGGTCAAGGGCCCGAAACCTCCGCAATCCTTACTATTGAAGCCGTTGTTCCCTCGCTATCAAGAATTGCCTGTTCGGTTCCTCGAACGCTTCTTTCCCAAACGCAAGCACAAGATCGCGCTGCTGGCACTGCTGTATTTTGTCTGGTTTCTGCCCTGGACCATTATCTTGCTGCATTCGCGACAGGGCGGGTACATTGAGGGCTATGGACGACCGAAGACACTCGCTTGCTCCACGAGTCTATGGGAGCCTGGCAATGACTGTGGCCTCAACGGAAACGACTGTCGCCCGTTCTCTGCGTCGACTATGGCCTTCCGGTGTCCTGCAAACTGCCGCGACGCGAAGTTGCTCCAACCGCATACGATCGGCAACCAGACCTACAGCTACCAGGGCTTGGTAGTGGGAGGTCCTCAACCGGGATCCGATGAGCCTGCCGTGTATCGAGCAGATAGTTTTGTGTGCCAGGCGGCCATCCATGCAGGCGTGATCACGAATGCGGTTGGTGGCTGCGGTGTATTGAAGCTGGATGGCGCCTCCCATTCCTTCCATGCGTCAAAGCAACATGGAATTCGCTCGGTTGAATTCCCATCGACCTTCCCCAAATCGTTCAGCTTTGTCGAGCTATCCTCATCACAGGCAACCTGCCCTCAAGATCCTCGCTGGCCATTGCTAGGCATTACCATTGGCACGCTAAGCCTTCTCTGGCTCTTCTGCGTCTCCCCACCTGTTCTGTTCTTCAGCACGTTCGTCATGTTGTTTTGCCAGGTGGGACTGGTCTCTGATCCGCCATCGATCTCTCAGTTCGCCGATCTCTTCTCAACGATGTTCTCGCGACTCTTGCCGGCGTCATTTGTGGCTTTCGTCCTGTATAAGTATTGCGCACGGCCACTTCTGACCCCGCTTTCCGAGCCAATGTACCAGCTGACTAAAATGTTCCTCTACTTGCCGCCTGCCTTCATTGGTGGTCTGAATAATTACACTTTCGCCAGACTGATACCGCTAGAGCGTCTGACTCCTCATGATATTCAAAAGCAGCCTGGAGCCAAGGTTGCACTGGCCCTGGTGATCCCTACGGTGGTCTGCATTATCTTGAGCCAAGCCTGGCAAATCCGTATGGGAGGCTTAATGCCTCGCTACCTCAAGATCTATTGCACTATGGGTCTGATCCTGCTAATCTTACTCCCCCTGCCCGGTCTGCGCTTGAGGATCCATCACTACATTCTTGCCATCCTTCTCATGCCGGGAACGGCCCTTCCTACGCGGCCCTCTCTGATCTACCAGGGATTGCTACTGGGTCTCTTCATCAACGGCATCGCTCGGTGGGGATTCGCGTCGATCATTGAAACACCCGCCGCCTTGGGCGAGCAAGCCCCGGGCCCAGGAGGCTCGCACGGATGGTGGGGCGGGACCTACCCCAATGTCAGCGATTCCTCAGTCTCCGTCTCCCTTCCTGGTCCGGGGTCTCCTGAGATTCATCACGGGAATGGCAACATCACGTTCAACCTCTGGGAACGACAACGTATGGACAAGATGGGCGTAGATGGTATCTCGGTATTGGTGAACGACGTCGAGCGCTGGCGTGGATATTTGGACGAAGACAAGCAGGGCGAGTTTATATGGCATCGTCATGGCCATAGAGGGCTGGAACTGCAACATCGACCCACCATCGAGAGTGACCAGCTGGACGTCACTGTGCAAGAAGATGACTCTGAGCCGGAAGACCTTTTCTTCCGGTTTGCCTTCCTCAAGGGAGCGGAAGCAGGCAAATACGGTGGTGCCGGAGTATGGCTGCAGGACGGAAGGTGGATATCCCCACCAATGCCGAAGTCGTAAACATAGACTTGGTTAGGTTTTGAGCCACTGTTGAATTGTTGCTTCATTTGTTTGTTTCCTCTTGGTACGAATACACACGAATCATGCTGCAGATCCATATGAACCAGACTCACATCTTTTTGGTCTTGGGACACTTGCTAACCCCTCTTCCCTACGGCCCGATTCTCGGACGGTAGTAACACGCCATAAGCGGTTGGCTATGTCCCCGAGTAGCGGTGATTCATACTGACTGACCACCCCGCACATACATGGCACCACTTTACAATGTTTCCCGATAGCTCCCCAACAAACAACAAAGGACACAGCATTTCTTCACTTCGTATCTCAGCCTGATTCTAGCCATTAATGTTGATTTCAGCTACGCAGGTGCTTCAGTCCACATTCTGAAGCAATTTATGATCCCAAACGCCACAATTTCGCAAACTCGGAATACATGAAACAAATACTCACTCTCGACAATGAATGTTTGCAGTGTCCTCAGGATATTTGATCTATCATCACACTACTCGAACGTATACGTCACTAGAATTACTTTATAGATGTCCCCATCCTACATCACATCTAGAGCGTCTTCAAACAGGTATCGTCCATCACCATAGCCACCTGTACCAGGGGTATAAATCAAGATAAATCCACCCTCGGCCCCGTAAAATTCTTCCTCCCGTCAACCACCCACTGTATCACTGAAACGATGACGATAATGGCGAAAGCAACAATGCAGTAATCTAACAGCGGATATCAGCAATGAACACAACCTCTCCCAGTCAACCTTCCTGTAGAAAGGGTAGACTTACTCATACTACTCCCCGTAACCGGCCTATCAGGCGGGAATAGGAACAGCACCGTCGTAAGTGCAATATACGATAGCGAGATCTAGATATACTCGGTCAGCACATCACCTATCCCCTCCATATTGTCCCAATTCATGGGTCACATGACATACAGTATCAATCACCCATCCAATAGCATTAGGAACCTTCCACTTGCGATCAGGGAGCGTTCTCCGTCCGCGCAGACAATTGACTGCGATCGGCATAGCGTAGGAGAGATCCAGCGCGACGACGGAGGCGGAGATGATTGCGTTGAAGGCACTGATTTATCTTAGTTATGTGTGTATCTTTTTAACGTGGAATGATGCTGGGGGAAACGCAGTACCTGCTCGATCCGAGGTAAATGCAGCCGAAAATAATCACCACAAAGGCAGTCAACATTAGCGCGTTCAAGGGAAGGCCGAGTCTGGGGTGCACGCGTGCGAAGAACTTGGAGGCGGGGAGGCCGCCATCTCTGTTTGATGTTAGTCTTCGTGCCTTTCTGAACTTGGGGGAGGGGGTGAGATGCCTGGCGAATGCAAAGATCATTCGACTACTTGTTGTCATGACGCTGAGGGTTGCAAATAAAAGACACACGAGGGGGAGCCTGTATTGCATCGTTAGTGCTGGTCCCATGGAATAGAGGGGGTGGAATATACATGAGCAGACAGATGCCGCCCACGCGGTTGTTGGTAGCATGGATGAGAATTTCCAGGAGAGGGCCCGCGCTGGAATTGACTACCTCATCCATGTTGCCCGCGACGAAGAGCAGAACAATAAGGAAGACGGCCCCGGTGAATGTGCCAATGCCGACGCAGACGACCATGATCTTGGGTCCTTTGATTGAGGGTTGGGGGATCTCTGTTCGAGAGTTTAGTAATGTACTATTTAGGCTGCATACTAGAGAAGATACCTTCGATCATATGAGCCACCGCGTCCTATTCATGTTAGACTGGGATCAGTACTGGCATTCTGGATTCTTACAAATGCGGTAACTCCAAGTCCCCCTTGAAGCAGCTGCGTCTGTTAGCGTCGTGATAGACTTCGGTATAAGAGATGTGGCTAACCCCCAGTAACCAAGCCACTCCATCGGGCCCTGTCGCTTGTTAGCTTGACTTGCGATATCCACAGGTTTCCACCAGTCAACTTACAGCCAGTTTGATTGACAAAGTCGCAGAATACAAAGCTATATGCATGGTCAGCATGGTGTGTAGCCAAGACACAGAGGCAGACATACTAAGCAGAATTGTAATCCGGGGATGCACAAGCCAGCACCGTGATGCAGATAAGGACAAAACCACCGATGGACCAGGTGACTGTCTCAATTAATGACCCGATCGGAGTGAGATGGCTGCCGCACAGTAACTTACATGCTCCACGATAAATGATAGGCAGGACTGAATTCATGAACGCATTGATGACAAATGCAAGCAATGTGTATCCCACATAGATCAGGAACTCTTGCCAGCGCTGCCAAACAAAGTCCTAGCAGCATTGCATCAACATCAAAGATTATTGTAGTAAGGTATTGGGGGCTTACCGGGTACACAGATGACACTATCCCAGCGATCAATTCGCAGGAAAGAAGCGCATTGGTGGCGACAAGGGCAACCTGGCGGGTCAGCGATAATCGAGCCATTTCTTCGGAGACATACCCATCCCGCCACATTAATCCATCCGGTTACCCAGGATAGGATAGGCACCCATTTTGGCCAGGATACTGGGACATGTTAGTGGATACGAACGAGGCTGGGATAATTCTACGTACTAACTGTGAGTGGACATTAGTATAGCACCTGAGCAGTTACTGCGGGAAAACATACCGGCTACCCAATGATACTGGCCCCCCGCCCTGATACATCCTCGTCAGTCACTCACCCACTAGCAAACCAAGCTATTCTGATGGATCTTACGTTGGATATGCGGACAAGAACTCAGCTAGCGACACTGCAATACAGAGGTTGCAGAATCCGGCCGTGACCAAACCTGTGACTGGGGGTTAGCAAACCTAAACAGGCAGCTAGTTCCATTGGCATACCCACCCCAGACGACACTAGTACTTCCCCCTGAGGGTAAGCTGAGGGATAAGCTCGCGGATAGAGCCGTCCAAGACTAATCGGCAGATTATCAGCACGTGTGATCGGCCCGTTGGCACAGCAGAAGACGCACATTAAGCACCGCAAAGGCCAGTCCAAGCATAGACCTAATCTCGGGTCAATAGGGTTTCTTCCCCCGGGTCATCTAGGATTAGGTAGTACACACAAGGTCGAAAAGTTCCGTTGCAGCTCGGGTTTATGACCCATTTCGGCCAGTTGGACATCATCCTCGGGCCCATCGCGGGCGACTTTCATTTCTTCCATGGCCAAGAGTCAGTCCGAGGGAGTTGTTGACGGGATATTTTGGCGGATGATGGACTTGATGTGCGACATGAGGTTACTGGCAGCTTAAATCGCAGGGAGAGGGGTAATATGGAGCTAAGGGAAGCTATGGATCAAAGGGGTATGTCCAACCTCATGCGGGGAAGCTTAATCTACCCGCGGCTGGTCAAGTCAAGCATCGCCCAATCCTCTTTGCGCGTCACACCAAGAGGGCAGATCAGGATCTATCCGCAATGGCGGCCCCAGGCACCCACCGGCCCATTTCGAGGTGGGGGTGCCTTATCTCCTTATCGCTGCCTTATCAAACATTGCCAGCCAATCAGGAGCGATGCCCGCCTCACCCGCCTGGACATTCCTGTCTGGTGCAAACCACCGGCTTATTCCAGTGCGCGGCTTTCATCCCTTGAAGAATGGATGCGCGGGTCTCCGAATCGCCTTCCAGAAGCTTGTCGCGGAACGCCTCACGTGGTACGCCTCCTGCCTTGGCCGTGCGCCAAGATGCCTGTCCCGATCACAAGGCGCTCCCCTCCAGCCCTTCACCGATCATCCTTGCCCTTCCGTGCAGACACACTATTGATTTGATGCTTTTGCTTTTGCTTCCCTCTTTGGGTCCATGCCTGACTATTTGAGCTGGCCCTTGTCCGGCTGACCAGCCCGCCATGCCAGGTCTTCTAGGCTTAATTTGACCCCCTATCCTCCCTGGTGTAGCAGCTGCCGTTCTCACTACGGCCAGTTTTACTTACTACTACTACCAGTGCATAGCAAGCAATCAGTCTAATGCAGAACTGAGTGAATACTATATACCATACTACACTTGCCATCCTCTTCCGCTTTTCGTAGACGTCACTCACCTGCCATGCATACGATACCCATCACCGTTTCTTTATACGCCTTCCTAGCGACGACCTTTCTGTTCTCCTGCTCCGCTTATGTTGCACAGGCACCGCTGAGCGATGACAAGTGCACCGAAACAACGGTGGCCATCTTGTAGGAGCTTCCCACTAATGCTTGATATCGTGTTAGAGCTTAGCGTCTAACGTTAACAGGGGTGGAGGGATGGCCGGTATTGCAGCTGCAGTAGGTGACCCTCAGGCCCCTTTGCCCTAAACCCCGACCGGCAATGCTCACCAACACCTCTAGCAAGCCTTGTCCAACGCATCTATCGACGACTTTATCATCCTCGAATATCGCGATACCCTAGGTGGCCGTGTCTGGCATACGGATTTCGGCAAGGATAAACAAGGCAAGCCATACGTGATTGAGCTAGGAGCCAACTGGGTATGACAATCTGCATACATCCCGTCAAATGAACATCCGCCTCACCATAACAACAGCTCCAAGGACTCGGCTCCGAAGCTATCGAGAATCCAGTCTGGGCACTAGCCAAAAAATACCGTCTCAAAAACACCTACTCTAACTACAGCTCCATCCGAACATACAACGAAACCGGCTACACCGACTACCGCTATTTGCTCGACGAATACGCGCAAGCCTACCACATCGCCGCCCGCGATGCTGGCCGCATTCTGACCCAGAACCTACAAGACCAAACCGCACGCACCGGGCTCGCCCTCGCCGGCTGGAGACCACGCAAGAATGACATGGCGGCACAAGCCGTGGAATGGTGGAGCTGGGGTATGAACAATTACCATTAAGAGGGGGAACACCCAACCCTTTTTACACCCATCGGGTCAACACCAACCCTATCCCATAGCCCACCCTCGACTAACGCATATCCCAAAACTAGACTGGGAAGACGCACATACGCCCGAAACCAGCTCCTTGGTCTTCGGCATCGCCGGTGAGAACCTAACCTTCAACCAATTCGGCAAAGCCAACCACCTCGTCCTCGACCCGCGCGGCTACAGCACCATCATTCAAAACGAAGCCCTCGGTTTCCTACCCAACCCCTCTGATGGCCGCCTACGCCTAAACACCCGCGTCACTCGCATTGAATACTCCCCAAGGGGCGTAACAATCCACACCACCAACGACAACAACAAAAACAGCAACACCTGCATCCGAGCGGCCTACGCAATCTGCACCTTCTCCCTGGGCGTCCTCCAAAACAAAGCCGTAACCTTCGACCCACCTTTGCCCTCCTGGAAACAAACCGCCATCGAGAAATTCAACATGGGCACCTACACCAAGATATTCATGCAATTCCCTGAGACCTTTTGGCCCACAGACACGCAATTTTTCCTATACGCTTCCCCAACAACAAGAGGCTACTACCCTGTCTTCCAATCCCTCTCCACAGAGAACTTCCTCCCTGAATCAAACATCCTCTTCGCCACCGTGGTCGACGAACAAGCCTACCGCGTTGAACGCCAATCCTTGACTCAAACGAAGGACCAGATCCTCAATGTTCTAAGAGAGATGTTCCCTGATAAACACATCCCTGAGCCTACGGCGTTTACTTACCCCCGCTGGACGAATGAACCCTGGGTCTACGGCAGCTACTCCAACTGGCCGGCGGGAACGACCCTTGAGATGCATCAGAATCTGCGGGCGAATACGGGCCGGCTGTGGTTCGCAGGCGAAGCGACCAGTGCGGCGTATTTCGGGTTCTTGCATGGTGCGTGGTATGAGGGGCGCGATGCGGGTGAGAATGTTGCCGCGCTGTTGCAGGGGAGGTGTGTTGAGGATGTTAGTACTACTAGTACTGCTAGTGGGAAAGAAGAGAAGGAGGAAGCGTGTGGAGAGAGGGTCTTTTATGAGCAATTAAATGGGACTACGCCGCTGGATGCGTATAGTCGGTTGAACGGGTGGCCGGCGGTAAGTTACTACTAGAAGTGGTATGGCTTTGTAGGGTCTGCTTTAGTTGTTGGATAGATTGGATGGATGAATGGCGTTGGCATGGGAAATTACTTTTTTGGAATTTCATATTAGTCTGCATCATGTAGCGCAATAATTTGGGATTATACATCAACTGGCCTGCTGGCCCAATGGTAAGGCGCTTGACTACGGATCAAGAGATTGCAGGTTCGAGTCCTGCGTAGGTCATTCTTTTTGCTTTTTTCTTAGGTGGAGAGTGGATCTGGTACGGTGGGGCGCCTTCCGTACGGGTACTATCGCTGGAAATTATCTACTCGTACAGTCGCCTTTCTCTGCGCTCAGGTTTTCTTTGGGGGGTGTGGTATGAATCGGCATCTTAAGTCGGTTCCTGTCCTTTGTTATAGCATATGCATAATTCTCATCATAGTCTCCTAGCAAGGTGCTACCCAATGGAGTTCAATGTCGTATTAATCCCCTCAAACTACTAGTATGCTATCAATAGTATATATTTCGGGCAACTACTACTTCATTCTAGGATCAGTAGTAGCTACCAACCGTCCAGCCTGAACGCCCTTCACCGTCTGAAGCAATAATGTTGCCCAATTCGCTATTGCATCCATCGCTAGTTCGTGTTTCTGCCAATAGCTACCTTAAACAACCTCTGACCGTTTCTTCGTTGCATCATTCGCCATCTCATTCATAAAAGCACTCCGTGCACGTACCTCCTTCCCCCAGACAAACATTAATGTAGGTATAAGCGACAACACCAAGCAAATAAAGGCAAGTAGCGTACTAGCCCACTGATATCCTAGCACCCGGTACATGCTCATCGTTGCGAGGGGCAAGAAAGCAGAGAAGACATTCTCTCCCGCAGCAACAGCACCCATGGCACTTCCTGAAAACTGACTGTAAGAGTCGACCACATAGTCTGATACTCCAGTCACGACACAAACACTGCCAGCACCTACCAAGGCCAAGCCAACAGTAGGTGCAATCCATGGAAGACTCGAATATGAAGTCCAAGCATAGATGAACATACCGCCCGAGAGACCGAGAACCCCTCCCACCACAGCCATGTATAGCCTCGCCTCTGGGATTGGAGTTCCCGGCACCTCGGTATTTCTGGAAGCAGACGCGAAATAGAGCTTCCGAGAAAGGAAGTTCACTAGCCAGCCTAGACATTCTCCGATGACGATGGCGCATTGAACATAACCGGTTTGTGAAACGTCCCAGTTATATAGGCCCATGAACACCTGCTCAACGGACTGGGTAAAGAGGAAAAGAGTCCCCACTGTGAAAGCGGACCAAAGGGTCGACACGAAGAGAACCGGCTCCGTAGAAAATAAAATCACCGGTCTTGTCGCGCTGACTACAAGACTATGCAGGTTCAAACGAGAGGAAACATCCCCGCTCCCTGCATAACCGCTGGTCTCGTCGCCATTCTTGCGATTACGTCGTGCTCGTCGTGCAAGAATCGCGCTGCCACGCGACTCATGAAGGAAGAAGTAATAGATTGGAAAGAGAGCCCCGAACCAAATGAGCTGCATATAGCTAATCCACCTCCAGCCTAAAGAGTGGAATATCGCGGCGCCAATCACGGGGCCTGTACTGCTGCCGCTCATATAACCGAGAATATATAGACTGACTGGGATGGACCTGGACCACTCAGTGCTCCATAGATTTCCGACAACACCGGCGGCGGTATTGGCCAGGATAGCGACACAGCCGCCGGCGAAAAAGCGGGTGACCACTAATGTTGCGAAGTTATGAGCAACGGCTTGAGGCACCAGGAAGCAAATAAATAATAGATATGTTGTGAGGAAGATAGGCCTCGTCCCGAAATCCTCTGCTAGGGGAAGAATGAATAAAGCTGAGCATGCACCGCCGGTAGCCCATGTTGTTACCGGCCAGTAAGAATTAGGAAATGCATCCTCGTTGACATGGAAGTGTTCTGAGATCTCGAAGTGCGCCACAGTAATGATGGTTCCGTTCATCATCGCCAGGAAGGTAGTGAAAGCAGCGAGGCATGTCAGGGTCCATTTCCGTCCCACTGACCAGTTGTAGGGGTTTTCGGGATCATTATCGTCATCCCAAGAGAGAGTCGCGGTGTCACTTTCATTTGACGCGATATGGTCTTGGAAGACTTCGGTCGGGGTTGGAGAATATTTCTCTGTGCAGGTTGCCATGTATTCGTTGTGCTTGGTTCTTACTGCTCACGATAATTCACGAGTGTATGTCAAATAGAGATAGTAATCATCCGCCATATGGCTATGGACCCTACTGTATGACCTATATATCATTGACAGCAACATATCCAGGGCTTTGTGAAGCGTCTTGCTTCTCACAATAGTGCCCTTTTTGGGAATAGTTAATTGATAGTTACTTATAGTCTTGGCTTGATGCAGCGGAGCCCTATCGGGAAGGCTGATGGATGCAACTTTGCGGTAACTCGCTTGACTTCGGGTTCGTGAGCCGATTAGCCGCCGTGAACACAGTGGTATCAGTCGGCAACCTTGAACCGAGAAAATGAAAACGGTCCAACAGGCCCATTGTGGACATTGAATGCCCTGCATTACTTGGAGTTACTTTGTAGACCTAGTATGACTGTAAAGCGTAATAATGATCATAATTACCATGATGCATGTTTTTTGTAGCTATTAATTACATCCCCAAGATCCTAGTGATACCGGCGATGAGAAAGAACAGCTGTACTATGCGACGATGAAGCCACGAACTTGCAGGTACCGGATCACGGTCTGGTAGAATGCCAGGCTACAATGATCATTGTCCCGATATGCATCGGTTATGCTTGGGAATGCAACTTGCGTGACTTTCCTTACTAAGAATGTGCCGAAAAGCGACTATTAGCAGCTGACGAAGATCCGACTGAAGTCCAGTTCACGAGCCAATGGTTCACACGGCGTTTTAAGACTAGTATATTGGGCTAATCAGTCTAGAACACCATCTTACAAGTAGGAATATCGGAGTGCGTGCAAATGCGCGCCCGCTAATCTATGACAAGAATGAGAATCTGAGCCTCAGCAGACTGAGTTACTGCTAACTCAATTAGGTGAACGATCGGAGAACCAGAAGAACTCTACGGATTTCGCCCGCATTGGGCTTGATGATCTTCACTGCATATCTGCCAAGTCAATCATTCTTCCCGAGCAGCCCATGCCTTCACTTCCTAATCGAGAACCCGACGCCTGGATGATCCCGAGGGTATCTCGGAAAGGCACCCGAAGGCATATGTACATTGTAACTTAGGCCATACCCGCGGACAGGCTGAATCCAGACCACAAAATAAGTTAAACTAACTTCGGTTTGGCGCATCCGCGCATCCCAGAGATACAGTGAAGCCGAAGACCAACTGACAGTTGGGCCGTGGACCACGGGCAACCAGCCACCGCGGGACTGTAATTATAGGCCACGGTGTTGGACCCAGAAATACCGTTACGGTCTTTACGGATATCATATTCAAGCCGGCCCGGATTCGAATGAGCTAGTTAATGTATTATTCATTTCTTCTTTTCCATTGATAACATTCTTTCCCTTTCTCTTGAGATGTGCTGAGTACGAAGCTGATATGAGATGCATCTAGGGCACCTGTGGCCACAACGAGAAGGATAGTCAAGTACAAAGATGACACGACAAACTGACCATACTCAAGGTTATCACTACATCGTCATTCTTTCCATGTCCCATGTTTCACGAACGTCATATCCCAATATTATATCCCAATCAGCTGCTAACCTTTTCTGCTGGCTTGCACCTGGATACACGCACCATGAGTGGTGGCACTTCCCATGTTGTCCATGAACGATGACCTGCGAGCCAGGGGCTAGATTCATTAACTGCAAGTTCACAGTCAAACTCCGTTACAAATTTGCAGAATACTATTTTTGTCATGGCATATGCCATGCTATTTTACATATCAGTTAGACAATTTCATGCATAATAGGTATTAGGTTCACTTACTCTTGACCAATACAACCCCGCGGACCTGTGGAAAATGGATGAAATGCCGTTTTATTATCTTTCTGGTACGGGCCATCTGCACCATCTAGCCAGCGATCAGGAATAAATTTGTCAGGGCTCCAGAAGTGGGTGGGGGAATGTGTGGCTGCAAAAATTGGAATATAGACCCGCGTGTTTCCTGAGACCCATCGACCGGCTATGCGCGCCCCGCCTGCAGGGGTAGCACGGTGTAAAGCTCCAGGGACCGAGGGATACAGCCTTAAAGCCTCCTTGATACAGGCATCCAAGTACGCGAGATTCGACACAGATTCCAGAGATACCTGGCTCTTATCGTGAAATGCTGTGCGAATGTCATTTTTGAGACGCGCAAGACACTCAGGGTGCTGAAGGAGATATGCAGTTAAGGCTGTCATGAGCGCTGTGGTCGTTTCTGCTCCTCCAGTCATCATAATGTGGGCGTTGGCACGGATGTCTTTTTCAGTCAACGACAAGCTGCGACTGTTGCGAAATGCAAGGCCGATAAGGTCTGGTTCGTCGCTTTGCAATTGAAGCCGACGGTCTATGAGGTCATTCGAAGGCTTGAAGTAAGCCTTGCGGAGCCATTTCGACATCCAGGGTATGGTCGACCGGAATAAAAGGTTAATCCAGGAGAATTCAGCGAGAGCTGATAATAAAGTCGCGGCACGTACCAGCCTGTGCTGGCTGTGTACCCACGATTTATGTGCTCCTGTTCGCAAGACGCCCAATTCCTCGCCAAACTGCAAATGCCCAACGATGTCAAAAAGCGTGTAATGGAACATGTTGCGTATATTTGTGATTTGCCCTTCTATTCCAGAAAGCCTTTCAACGAGAGCGTCGCCATACTTGGCAAGGATTGATTCCTGGCGGGCTAAGGCTCGCCGTGAAAATGCCGGTACGTATGCTCGACGGATTCTTGGGTGGTCTATTTCATTGGCCGCAAGAATAGAGGGCCGATTGTCATCATCCTCAAGATATCTGAAAAAGTCCGACCCTCTCCGCATACTCTGTGGCTCAGTGGGAGAACTGCTATATATGTCTTTCCAGGCTTGTGGGTCGATAAAGCTCAGCTCATTCGGAGCAACACGTAGGACTGGTCCATATTTGAGATGAAGGTTATGGAGCCACTGTGTTTGAATCCCCTTGAGTGAGGCATAAGTCACGGGAATCCTGCTGGCGGCCAGCATTCGCGGGCCGGGGACCTCTTTCAGTGGATGAATGAACAGATTATAAGTAACCATTGATAGGTACTATAGATCACTCTCGGTCTTAGTTCTCTCAATCACTGAAGTATCTTCTGAAGAATAGCAGCCTTTCATAACTGACCAGAAAAATCCCTGTTGCCACAAGAATGCTTGCCACGTTTTCTTCCGGCATCTTGGCTCCGAAGATATGTCGTGCAAGGCCATTTAAATGTCGACGGGGAGTGTTATATCAAATAGAGGGAGTGAGAGAACAATGCAGAGTGGTAGATTGACTTGCTCGTAGAAAAGTTATCTCCACCAACTATTTTCAGAGTCGAATAACTGCATCTACACGAGGCATGGGAAGTCATCAAAAGTCGATCTACAAGTGGTAAGTTTTTCAAACAGGACGATCCAGGGTGTGAGTAGGATGTTCCTGTGACCTTGTGTAACCGACCTCATTATTCCATAAACCCCTTACATCAACCACCGCTGGAACCATAAGAGGCATACATGATTATTCCATAGCCAAGGGCTATATATTAGCAGAAGAAATCACTGTCTGCTGGGTGAGCAATAATAATGGTTCCTCTATCTCATGTCAAAGCAGCCGCCTCGCTATAGCCAAAAATTCAAATCACTCATATCGGTTAGTATCTTGAAGAAAACCTTGACAGAAGCAATGCACAGAGATGGATTATCATAGTGCCCAAATAGGACGGATGCAGAGCTGTCACACAATGTTCTATACCTCCTTGAAGCGAGCACCTGGATTTCCCTTGCTAACTCGGACAGCACGACACTTGCTATTAGTCCCCCGGTCATTTTCACCGTCAAAAGATCAATACCCTATTGATGGTCTTGTACGCTAATTAGGGTGTAGTAGCAGAACGGTTGAGATACAAAGCACACCCATCCAGAGATCAGCCTATACTCTTGCAAGCTTACAACATTCCTCGACCCACAAGCACATCATACGTCGAGGATGCATATCTGCAAATCCCCACGGCTGAACACTTGCTGATCTCTTTCATTCTGAGTAGCTTGTGCATAAGCCATTAACTTGCACTTACCGCGCAAACATCATCTCATTTGTCTATACCATTATTCATCCATGTCATCTCACACAACATGACCATCCTTGCATGCAGATGTCTCATGGCAAACTCACCCATACTTTTTCGTCAGTGTGACAAAGCTGTGCAAATGCCTCTTGCTCCAATGTCAACGCCAGTCATATCAACGATATGACGACATTGACTTTCTTATCAAAGCCACAGACACCATTATTGTCCTTGAGAATGTGCGATGAATCCGATATGGCAACCTAATGACGTAGTGAAATGTTTTTTTTGACGAACAGCTCCAACTACACTCATCCGCTTTAATAGTACCTTCCCAATACCTAGTACATCCCACAACACCATAACCATTAGCACGGTCTGCAACAATGACAAAAGCGCAAACCGCAGTATCACCCGACGAATTCTTCAAAATCATCACCCCCTTCCTAAACGAAATCATTCCCAACATCCCGCCCTTCGCGCCCGACGAAGCATTCTACAAAGCAGTCTTCGACAAATTCGCAGCTGCCTCCGGCCTCCCAGAAGACAGCATCCCCCACTTCGTCGGAACAGGCGAAGTCCTAGCACGATGCTTCTACCCCAGCCTACCCCGAGATCTACAAATATCCATAGGAGTCTTAACAGCATACGTCTTCTCAATCGACGATCAATGCGCAGACCCCGAGTTCCGCGAGCAGATCAAATCGTACCGCTCAGTCTTTCTCGGCCAATCTACCACGAACCTCCAGTATATCAAGGGTCTATACAATACCCTTCACGATATAGTCAGTCACTATGAGTGGTATGCTGGTGACATGATCATCAAATCAACCATGGACTTCGTGAGTATCAATATTGTGGAGGCGGAGCAGACTGGTGATTTCATGGTCTCTCCATCTACCAAGTTGTTTCCGGACTTCTTGCGACAGAAAAGTGGTATCGGTGAGGCTTATGCGTTTTTTTATTTCCCTGGGAGTGATTGGGGTCTGGGGGATTATTTTACGTTGATCCCCGATATAGCGGGTATTATTGAGCAGTTGAATGATGTGCTGTCGTTTTATAAGGAGTCTGTTCTAGGAAATGAGCCCGGAACGTGGGTTAAGCAGACTTGTGTCTGTAAGGGGATTTCTGAAGGTGAGGCTTTCAGGGAGAGAGTGGATCAGTGCTTAGGCAGTATTCGGAGACTGCGTGCTGCATCTGAGGGAAATCCGAGACTGCTAAAGACAGTCAATGAGTTCATTAATGGGTATCCTCTCTTCCATCTTAACGCGGGTAGGTATAAGCTGGATCAGTTTGGCAGTTATCATGGTTGGCAGGGTGAGAAGACGGCGGGTGGGAATTGATAGTATAACAGGCCAACGCAGCTGGAAGGGATTGGAATAAGATTGAACTCGGGTCAAAGCATTTAAGACTAAGAATATACTGGTGTCAACAACGTGAAGAGGGACGTTCATTGCAATTTGGGGGCCATCACGATTCTATATACTAAGGCGGAGCGAGAGTGACAGGGCCGCGTTGCTCAAACTTTCACAGCACAATACTAGGATACCTTTCACAAGACTCAAAGAGAGGACAGTCCTTTGATTTCATTACTGATCACGAGGTGTACGCAAGTGTCACACTTCCTCCAAAAAGTATTCGCTTATTTCCAAGCCGAGTCCTAAATTAGGTGGGAAAAAGGACCCTATGATCTGCCCTGTGCTTGGATCATAAGGAAGGCTCTCATCGTAAGTATCCTGAGCGGTGGTATCCTTGTCCGTATGCATGAGGTCGGGACTTTCTGAAGCAGGCTGGCCTTTTAAATGGGCTTCCAGAGAAGTTGACGGATCTGAGAGCGGTAGAGGACCACATCCAAGTTCATTAGTCTGCGGCTCTGGAGCAGACGAAAGTCCGGTTGGTCCAGGTCCAGGCGTAACAGAAGTGCCGAATCTGCTAGGGATGGGCGGGTTGGGTAAATTCACGCCCGCATATTGTTCGATACGGCGCAAAAGACCTTCGCATAGTAAGCGAGCTTTCTCCGAGGCCGCGTTGGTATTTGCGAGTATAGCAAGCCATTTAAGTGCTCTTTCGGTCGCCTTAGAAACCATCGATGCTTTCTCTGGTACGTGGCAAACACCAAAAGACAGTTCCATTAAAAGGACCGTGGTTGCTTGTACAAGAAAATGCAGTATACACCACCAAGGTGACATTCTGTACAGCGCAGCAGCATCTAGCCCATCTGGGAACAATCTCAGCATATGGCAAGCTGATTCCACGCACTCAGCTGCTGTTCTCTGACAGAAATCCTGTATCTTTTCATCTGGAGTTTTGCCATCCTGATTCACAGGATTGGGACGGCGCAGACATGGCCGTGTTATTCCAATTTTGGTGCTATAGAATATAAATGCCAGGCTCATTCGGTGGTTAGATATCGAATGAGTAACCTGCGTGGATTGGGTCGAGGTAAAGTCAAACTCATTAGGAAGGCTCAGAAGCCATGATTCGATGTCAGATGTAAGACCTTGTATGGCGAATTCTATCCCCATCCAAGACGTGCTCGCTGCTGAGGGACTGTAAAGCTTAGTTATCATCTTCTTTGATATCAGCATGAGCCGAATGACATGGAAGAAGTGCAACGATCCAGAGGGAGGACCGGAAATTGCGCCTGTACCCTTGGAGATTGCTATTGAGTGTTTGCCCATCAAATCAAAATCTGTATGAATTCCTTCAGTTCCGTGTGAGAACCGGAGGCAATTTATAACTTCATCCTTCCCGAAATCCTTTTCGTCAAATGGTACTGGCAGAGGTGTTGTATAGACAGTATCATCTATGAAGGAAGGCCGTCCCGTGATTATGCTAAGTCGGTGATCAAGCGTGTAGAGAGACCACCATACACGATATCGAATCTCCCTGGAAGTATCCGAAGCAGACTTGCTCATGTTGCGCAGATGCAACCCAAGACCAAGGGCTCCCCGAACAGCACTTCCACAGATTCTCCAGGCACTTGGTATATTCGTAAGCACTCACATGAATAGCCGATTCGTACCTCCCGACATGATATACGTACCGGTTGACATGCCCCAATGAAAGCATGTATAAAGCTGTTAGCCCTTCCACTTGTAATTGCTGTAGGTCAGGATGATGAAAGCTCCAATCATCTATACTCAAGACCCTCGCTCTTGAGAAATACAACCAGTGATTATTCTTGTTCAGCTGCCATTCTGCTTCAGAGATGTAAGCATACCTAGCAGCAATCGCAAATAATAGGTTCAAGACTGCGAGCCACTTGTTACCCGTATGTAACCTGGTATCGTTGAAGAATGCGTGGAACTGTTTTCCAAAAGGTGTGGTTCCTATGATTGGGAAGGTAGGATGCACCCAATCCAAATAGCAGTTGTAGAGCTTTGAAGCTACATCCTTTGATGGTAGTGCATATGCCTCTTGTCGCTCGATATTTGGCAGTTCTTGATCATCAACATGGTAATTCGATGCGGAGATAGGACTACTATCAGAGATCGATAAAAATATAGCTTCGCTCGGAGTACCGTGCTCAGTGTCTCCATTGATATCTCGGCCTAATGAGTGTATCCATGATATTTCGGAGCTTTGACCAATATAACCAGTAGCTTGGGAAATTTCGTCCTTGTTGAAGTCTTCATTGATGCAATCAAGGCAGTGGCTTGAGTCAACATATAGTGACAACTGGGAACTGGTAGCTGAGAGAGGTCTTTGAGTTCCGGGCAAGGGGGTTCGCCCATCGGGGGACAAGGAAGGACTAGAGGACTCTTCCTACTTCCGGTCAGTATAAACACTCGAAGAGAGAGGACGAAGAGGATATAACGGGCTCAAGAGGATCAAAGGATATGGTTTCAACGAGAGCAAGGCGAGGGGCCTGTATTCATACCACAGTCAATGCAAGGTTCATCAGCTGCTCATTCGTAATCCCAAATCTGCTGCTCAGGTTCTTCAAAGCATCTTCGTAAGTCCGTATTTTGGCCTCCAAGCTAGCCAATTGCCTTGGCGTACCAATTTCTCTGAAGTCAGCCACGGAGCCATCTAATCAGATTCAGACTCACCTCTTGGATTTCTCCCTTTTACCATCTGTATAGCAGCAAATGATGCCAGCCTCACGGCAGTTGCGACAACCGGACTTATCTCCAGTGCACTTTGTCTTTCTCTGTCTGCAGGATTCACATGCTCGGCTCACGTGGCGACGATGAAATCTACCTGGAGTTGAGAATGTTTCCAGCCCTTCTGCTAGCCTAGGAATTGCCATCTTCTTGCTAGTCAAAGGATGCTCCGCTCTGTGGGAGGACAATGCATGAGATGCACTACCCTTGAGATCCTCAGTTAACTTTCGGACTGGTAGATAGACGAGAGGGGGATCGGATGGCCCTCACCACATCGCTGTAGTTGTGCGAACCGGTCGAGGATATCCTGAAGGTCGGTTGTTCTGGCCAAGATGGATACTGCATTGTGCTATGAAGGTCTAAGGAAGAAAGTCCACAATTCTGTCCAAGCAATCATTAGTAGCTGTTCTGTAGCAGCGCCTTAGAGAGCTCATCTTGATGTCACCCATCACTGATACCTTAGAGAGTTGAACAATTGCAGGATGATACACCAGAGTAATTGAGAGGATGTCGATAACGTTTACAGAAAAGGTAGCTGAGCTGAATCTTAATATATAATTTTAAGACTGAGTTCTTCAACGAAAGTATAGGGATGTAACTCAGCCCGAAAGAGAGTGAAACTAGCTTTGAAAGAGTAACGTCTCACGGTTCATCAAAAATCGAACCCTCGATCAGTTCCTTCCCCCCAACAAGATTTCTTTTGGTGAAAAGTGCAGGCGGAAAGCGCAGTCGTGGCTACTTCCCTTGTGTCTCTTGTTTCCCTCCAGCCGAGGATCGGCCCGTCTCTGAGTCTAGATGCTAGGTACCAAATTATCAACCAGAAAAGCGAGAACTCTAGGAGACCAGGTATTAGGGAGACCAGAATTGCCGCTGATTTCCATGGATATGAAATGGTAGAGTGCTACCAGCTCCGGAAAATGCAGGGAATGTAGACGGATTATTCACCATGATTAGCCAGCCGCTCACTGAGTACCGTTTGCTTCAAGCGTAACCGCAACATTTTCTTTGACTGGCTAGACGGCAGTGTTATGAGAGAGGGTTGAGGGCTTGACACAAGGTTAAATCTGGACCAGTTCATCGTTGTATTTAGGCAGGATATGGAGTACGTGATGGGCCCACGAGGATACTTCCATCATCTTCGTTGGGGCCAAGCTAAACAATGTGCTCATAGTGATTAGCTCCTTTGGGCGAACCACGGTCGACATCAGCAGAGTCTGTACTGCATGTAACGTTCTCAGAGTTTCTCCGTCATGTGCCTGCCAGCCTAGCGGAAATCCTGGATAATGGCCCAGAGGATTAAACTTTGCCCTGCGCAACTAATACGCATACAGAATAAATTTTCCACTCCATGAAGAATATTTAGGTGCCTATTCGGACCCGACCAGCCGAATATATCCCTGTATCCGGGTCACCCTCTTCGTAGTCGGTTATTTGCAGCGGCTTAAGGTGATAGTTTACTGATCCAAGAACATTCGCGTGTACACCATCAAAATATCTGTTATTTCTAGAAAAAACTGACACTACCATTCGAAAACAGATTGATGATAAGTGAGTCAAAATTCAATAAATAAAAAAAAAAAAAACACAAAGCTTTGTTATCATGAATCGTACATATAATGTGGCCCGATGGCTTTGTTTTAACATGCGTAGTGGATGATAACTATTACTCGAGCAGATGAATTATAGTTCAAAGTACGTATTGAGTGAAACATAGATTCTTTTCAAATTAACAGACAATAGATGAAATGATCTTTAGAATTCCTTACAATTGTCCACTGGATGGACGAGACTGGAGTTGCAGAATGCGGTAGCGGGCCAGGACAACAGACACTGCCATAAGCCCCTCCCAGGCAGATATATTGAGTATCGTGTTAGTCATAGTCTAATGTATTCAGGACGAAGGTGCACCATCTGTGATACTGTGACAAGCGATTTCACCATAGCATCGTGATCGATTCACGGAGTAGCCTGATAGTCCATCTCCGTAGCCTTTCAGCCATAAGGAAATTTCATCGGCTGTGTGCAAACTTGAGCAGGAGATTTATAGGGATAATATGGTCCTACGTTACACTCCTAACTTAAAATCGAATCACTCATTAGTTGATCGGTACCCTCCACATTTACCTTGTCAATTGCCACAGTATCATGCCACTTTCCGTGTCGAATATGTTACCTAAAGCCTTAGGCCTGATCCACGGTACAAGGGCTGGACTAGAGGCTCATGTTCTGCAGCCTGATTACACATAACGAGAATAATGAAATAAGTTTGTAGTTTTATTATCTCCAGATTGGACCCCCACCATTTTACTCTTAACCAATGCATCGGTGATATCCACCGAACAGAATTACATCTGAAGTGATACTGATGAAGAAAGCTGGCCCAGACAGGCGTTGATTGCTTTGGCCAGGTTGTGGTTTCGTGAAGCAGGAATTAGTGGTGGTGGTGGAGGACATAGAGCAGGCGTTGTCCTGTATACCAATTTCGCAAACCGGTGCAAATTCTCAGGAATCGGTCATATTGGACTGTGGGGAATATGAATGACTTTGACTGCTGTAATAGACGCCTTGAGGCTCGATGAGGCAGTCTGGTTGCTGGAAGTGATATAAACAGAGAATAAGGCTACAGTGAAGAACCATGCAGCCTTGGCTTTGCCCGTTAAATTATCTTGAGTCACAGAACTCGCACATTTTCTTTCACGGCACGTCCCGCTTTCACGCTGCTTGGTTGTGTGTGCTACAATGGGTATATAAATCCCTGCTTCCCTCGCTTTTCTCTGTCTATCCAATCTTCCTTCTCATCACATCTGAAGTTCTGCAGCCTCTTAGTCACCGAAACGCATGTTACGTATTTGATCCCTACAGTCCGATAGGTTATAATAAAGCGACCTATATACCCGTTGATGTCTCTACCACATTGTGTACAATGGAAAGTGGTGTACCCCCAAAGCTTCATGACTCTCACGACACATCGAAATGCTCTACGTATCACTTTGGATATGAGACTATAACTGACCCATGCTGAACATATACGGCAGATCCTCCTCTGGCCCGAAGAATGGGATTCCATGACGCTATGCCTCGTACGAAGAGAGCCATCGGCGCATCCACCGCAAGCTGAGGGACAGATGAACTAGAAACCTTAAGAGCATACATAAGAGATTCTCCTCAGGCTCAGCGATATCAATGAGTTCTGAGCTTTGGAATGATTGAGTCACTTCTTGGGGTTGCGTTCGGCACGTATATATAATCGGAACTGGATTATAGGTAGTACCTAATTCACGACGTCATGGAAATTCACGCGGCTGTTCTTCAGTTGAGGATGACTGGCTGTTGCATATGAGCGTGGGTAAAGGAGCATTCTCCACCTCGCTGAAGACAGCTTTAGAACTCGCGAAGCTCCTATGCGCAATCATGACCACTTGGGCATTCGAGATTTTTAAGTGTTGCCCTCATCTCAGTGTTGGCAGACTAAGCTACGGTCCGCTGCTCTTGAGGACGCAGGAGCATCTTGTGCGCTGCGAATCTGTACTTTCCATCGGGATCCCTTCCGGGGGTGTCATGGTAGTTTAATGCGACAGAGCTTGCCAGACAACCGAAATCCATGAATGCAGTCTCAATATGCACACTTCAACATTTCACGCTCGCACAAATGCTTTTACGAGCCATGGCTGCTACAAGTATTGAAAGATACATCAAAAAGGAAAAGCACAACGACTTCCTCACAATTCAGAGATTGAGGATTTTCGTGTACCCAGCACGGAGCAAGCATGCCATACCGGCTGATCACTCCCATGCCCACGACAGCTATGGACTGCACGCCAGTCTGAGTACTGCTGGTGTCTTCGCCGATAGAAAAGACAAATAAACAGCGAATCGCAAGGCAACGAAGGATATGTCTCACGGGTTCTCTGAGAAATGATAGTCTCATCACGCAATTACGTCTCCACCAGTCCCGAAGCCCAGGTCCACCGGCGCCTGCGGATGGAAGTAGCATACAAACATCTCTAGACCTTTTCATTATCATGAATCGATTCTTAATATTGTACTGTGAAAGCTGCATGGTTAGCTCATTTCAACAGTGCAGTCTCTATCAGGTTGTATAGTGTGAACTGGGCTGATGGGATTGAAGAACATGAATAAATTCTGAACTTGGGCGAGCTATCGGCTCATTCCCATTTGTTTAGCTTTGCGTTATTGTATATGTTTTCTTTGGCGGGTTTAAGCTTATTAACGATATTCTTCTCCTTCCGATGGTGAAGGACCTGATGGCTAACACCTGTGTAACAGAAATAATGAGCTGGAAGACTACGAATTTCATTGGGTAAGTTTTGGAGCTTTTCTTCATCTCGAAGATTGCCTCTCTATTAACAACTTGTAGCAACCGGAAATGGCACTGTGATATGGCCTCCTTCCCTACGGAGATATGCGTATGTTCAATACCGAAGGTTGCTTCACTGACGCAATGATATCAGACTAGCCTTCGACATAGGAGGATGACTGCTATGGGCATTCAATGTCGATTTCCTACTGTTGTTAGTCTATCTCCAAGCGTAGCTTTTGCTATGACAAAACTGGACTAGTATACAGTTAAAGGTTGACTTCTGTGTCTTCTATACCTGTCATTGACAGACCCATTCAGCTATCCGGCACAACTAGAAGGAGCGTAAAAGCCAAGTAAAACGATATTTAGGAAATGGGCGAGTACGTCCTAGTAATTTAGGGGAATAAAATCCAGAAACATCCACATCGGGCATTACATAGAAACCGCAGGGTGTGATTCAACGCGATGTAACCACAAGCATGCAGGCTGCATCAATATTGTGATCTGCGGGATAGAGATCTTCCGATATCAATGAAAGGTCCGACAGAGCGTCGTGAAGACCTTCGTACTGCTATTGGAGATTATGGATCCTGACCTCTTCGACGGAGTAGGCAAAGGTAATATAGGGTTCCATCCAAGAAGAGCACAACAGGAGCCGTCTTGGAATGCCAAGCCAGTCGCAAGATTTAATGGCTATGGCATGTCAACGCCATTAGCCATCCCCTTCCATAGAATAAAACCGCGAAAGATGCAATCTTCATTCTGGGAGCGCCCGGCAACATAAAGACGAAGCGAGCGATCTCAGGAGAAGCATTCCAGCTTTGTACATTTGCTGTTGCCAAATTTTGTGGCCTAATTAACCAAATGACTTCTATTTCTGCTGGTGACGATACCACTACGCTGCTTCCTGGCAGGAACCGAAGTGACCAGTATAGCCTGCGAAGTCAATATGTCATCAATTTCTATATTAAGCCTATGTGAATCAAAGTGACCCATGGATGGGAAGAAAAATCCGAGTTCAAGAACTATATCGTCTATTCTTAGTTTCTAATGTTCTGATTGCTGAGTATCTCTTCTACAACCCTCAACATTATATTCAAGTTTTATCATTTGAACACTCCTACCCTATTATCTACCAGTTTACTAGCAAGCTTCCTACCTTTGGAAACTCCGCTGGAGACCATACCATCGCTACCAAAATTCCGCCCGAAACATCTCAGACACCGACTTCCCTCAAAAGCTCCTCTGCATAGGCGACTCTATTCACCCTCTGCCCTGTCAACCAAATCTTCAGTACCCATCTTAACCATCTATAAGATGGCTCCTATCCTCCTCTCCAACAATATCCGTACTCCCTTCAGATACTTGAATCGCATCATCCACCTTCGCAAGGGCGAGGACAAGGGCAAAACCAGAGCCCAGCCCGATCTATCATCAGCCCTAACCCGACTCTTCGCCAACTCTGAGAATGACGATGAGGAATCGTCTATCACCCACATCACGGAGTCTACTTCCCAGATATGGGTCGAAGACCAAGATCCAGCCCTCGTTGACTTACTCGCCACACTCTCCTTTACCATAACGACCAGCACATCCGACAGCTCTACGCTTCTTGCACTTCTTGCTTCTGCCCTCGACATCCTATCCACCTACGCTCAAAATCACAAAGTCAATACTCTTCCAATCTATACCGCCCTCTTGCGTCATCTAGACACCTATACCAGCTATCTCATCTGGGATCATGAGATCCTTCTTACAGATGCAGAAATTATCTTTACCGCCTCCAGTATTCCAACCCCTAAACACCGGGACAACATCATCCTCCAGCTGGAATCCGCATATGTCTCGAACTACGAGACGTGCAAGACGCTAGTAACTCGTCTTAATCAACTAGTTGATATAGAGCTGATGGAACGTGCGGATTGGATATTTCCTCGCCAAATTGGCTGGGTAGAAGTAAGGAGAGAAGTTATAAGGCTTGAAAAGACTCTGAAAGAAATCAGATGGGCTGGCAAGTTGAAAGAAGTTGAATACGTCAATTGCTAAAGTCTTTCTACCCAGCCTCTTCCTCCTTTTACTTCCCTTCCCGCTCCTCTCTCTTCCCCCATCTATTCTGGACGGTGCCAGCCTTTCTCCCTATCCTTCCCTGACTCCAACTCTTTCTCCTTTACTCATCTCTTCCTCTCTTCTCTTTGATACTACCTCAGTAGATTGAGCCATGTACAGGCTCTCTCAGGGCGGGTGGTGGGAAACTTTTGTACCTTTCTTCTTCTTTTACTTTCAAGCTTTATTTCCTACACTCGTGTTTCGAGTTTATCTAAATCAACTACCTATCCTGTGACGTGATACCCATGTACTTAATTACATTGACACTTCGAATGTCAGAACGACTTCAAACAACTTCAAACGTCTACATAGTATAATAACCATTCTGAGATACCCCATGCCCCGCTGCTCATTATCAGTAAATTCTGGAGCACCTGCACTGCTGATGCTAATGGCCATAATAAGTTGATACGTTACACAGTAAGCGAACGTAGTGTGATACAAACAAGGGTTATGGGGTTAGACCGAGACTCCAGCGTGATTGTGGTGTATTGAGTAAGATGGTGTAGCTGAAAGCGCATGAAAACGATGGATGGTCCCTATTTTGTCCAGGGTGGGTGGGTATGGTCAGCGGTGCATAGGTATAATTCATCTCAGCGAGAGAGGTGCATTTAGAAGAGCCTTATAGGTGCGAGCATAAATGAGGGATTTCCCGCTACTGAGAATACGTTAAGGTGTACCCTGGGGCAGAAGGGAGTATGAGACGACTTAAGGGAACTACGCTAATGATGGGTCCATCAGTGTGATCGAAGATCATATGGTGCATATGCCTGCTTCTACTAAGAGGAAAATCAATTCAGTCTGGGTACATAGATAATAAAGGAAGCCTTCCTGAAAGGGGGAAAGTTAAAAAAAAAAAAAAAAAAAAAAAAAAAAAAAAAAAATTAAACATTAAACATTAAACATTAAACATTAAGAAGATAAGTGAAACTTGAAAAATGAAAGAGAGAGAAAGAGCGCATCTAGACCGAGGTATGAACCGATGTAAGCAAAGCAAATAGCGAAATCAATCAGGCTCCTTCAATGCCATGGTGACATATCCGTTACCAAATGGTCCTCGGTGTTTACCTCCTCCCACTCTTTGTCGGTTCGAATGCTCAACTTCCACCTCATGCGGTCACGAACGTCGGTGTAAACCGTCCACGATGCCAAGCACTCGTACCAAAAAATTGCTTCGGCATCCGGGGGATAATACACCCCGCAACGGGCTTTATCGGGGATGTTGAGCTTGAGCTCACCAATCGCCTGGACGCCTAGATGATATTAGCTCACAGATCCATTTATCTTTGGGCAGAGACGTGAGACTGACGGTTTGGCATTTCCGTGAAACGGCGGATAAGGACTGATTGTACACATTGCCCAGCCTCCACGGCGAGCCACAAGTGCACGCTTCCCTCTTGTCTTATTGCTCGACCCTGTAAGAATACAGACGATCAGAAAAAGAAACTGACCCTAACATGGGGTCAAAACGCTCCGTACCGAGTGAATCACACAAAAGGCATGTTTTCTTGGGGGTTCAAGCCCTGTTGCCCGCATTTCAATTACGGGTGCGGCCAATTCGTAGCCCCAGATGCTCTGGTACTGCATGTGGGCAGAGACCATACTTCCACGCAGCGCCAGCCCGTAGGCTACGGCAGTGATACTGCCATGTTCAGGTTAGCACCGCCAGTTCTGGCAAGGGGAAAGAAACCTACGCATCGTTGCCCTTTAGATGGCGCAGAGTCGGCCGTTCGGCCTCATCAATGTCTTGCAGGCGGCGTTTGACTTCCTTCCTCAAATAGACTGATTGACTGAAACCACCCACGAGGACGACTTGGGTCACATTGCACGCAGATATGTGGTGCAAAATGGCATTGGTGATTGACCTCACGACAGGATCGAATGCTTTGTCGACCGAAGCCCTAGTGAACGTGAAATGACTGGTCTGCTCGTTAAATTGAATTGACGGCTTGTACTTGCATTGGCTCTTATACTGCGGGGTAAATGGGAGGTACACAACAGGAGCCTCGTCGCCAGAGAAGCCATGCTTGGCTTCAAGGGCGCGATCCAAGGCCATGGCAGCCACCTGGCCCTTTCCGATTGGCAGATTAAGTGTCGTGCGAATGTGACGCATGAACGAGGCCTCAATCAAATGACTGCCGTGCTTCATCGTACTCTTCTCACTTAGCGGATGAAAGAGTAAGTGGTGCGGCTCGTTTGTTGTTGTGGATACACGAAATACAGTGTAATCCTGACCTTGGTCAGTTCAGGCCATAAATAGTGAAGGTCTCACCGAGCGAAGGGCTGGGGAGGGGGGTGGTTGATGAGAGACAAGGGTGCACTTACGCAGGTCACGCCACCTAAATCACATACCAACACACGGTCCCCAACCTGGGCACAAAGAAGATCAGCCATTCAGTCGGTGGTTATCCATGCGGTCATGCCGCTACTGCTTACCTTAGCGAGACCTTCCTCCTCAAGTTGGCTAGCCACCCGTATAGCGGCTGCTTTGGCCTCTGAAGTATAGAAAACTCGATCGGCGCCATCCTCGAAACGAGCCTCCCGGATCGCACTTTGCATCATCTTGTCGCCCTCTACCGTCCAGCAGTCCGGCATTGCAAAGTACCAGTCAATAGGGGGGAGTTGGCTGAGTCCAATGTCTTGGAGGATGGTTTGATCCGCGCGAAATGCGTCGCCCGGGGCCCCCAGGAAATCTCTGATAGCATCCTGGGGCTGTATCGCGTTTCTGCCGACGCCGGGAAGTTTGGCATTTCCAAATATTTCCCAGTCCACTAACTCAGTCGAGGGGACCCCAGCAACCTGTAACTTTAGCAGGACCAAATGGTCATCTTGTCGACCTACCTTGTGGCCCCAGCGGTGCAGATTCTGGGTATGAGGATGGTAAGAGACCAAGGTTGGGATGATTGAGTCGCGGCCATTCGGACGCCATTCCTTGATAGTCCGGTTGTTTCGGCAATGATATGTCACAACTAACGAGCCTTCAGAACCGGGGTAGAGTAAAGTGATCAAGGGGGACATCGTTCAAAGCAGACAGCGATTACTTACCACACTTTGTCACGCCAAAATCAACCCCTGCAACAAGGCGTGGCTGTTCAGCCATTTTGCCCAAGGGATCAGTGGTTCAGAAAGAGTTGGAATAAAGGTGATAGACTGTGCGAAGAAATGAAGGAGGAAAGTATTAGGGCAAAGTTGAAAAATAATTGTTGCCATGACCTGACATAGATTGTATGGGGCCATTAACTGAGAAAGAAGAGTAAGCCCTGCCCTTTTTAAATCCTGTGTCTCTCCAAGTTCTCTTATGCCAGCAGACCACCTGTTATTCAACTATAAGCCTGATTTAGCTTGTCTGGCGTATTTCTGCATCTACGTCTTTTGCTTTTTCTGTGTTTCGTATGTCTCTGTTGTTGTCGGTGTGTAGAACTCTGCCTCATTTCCTGTGACACGCAGTCTCTTTAGAAGAGTACTCCCCATACAAAGAAGGTTTTTCCACATATGAGTAGGAGAATGTTGGAGCACAGAACGGATAAAATGAAGATAAGAAATGTTATAAAATTATAGTAACAATTACAACAATACTAGAACTAGCAAAGGGTTAATGATCATCGTAATGGCTGAACGACAATGAGACGAGATGTTGCTGAAAGGAGATGTAAGATGTAATACGAGAAGAGGAAATGCCAGACAAAAAGGAGGAAGTAAAAAACGGTAAAGTTGAGATACCAGGCGTCACAAAGAGCACAGAAGCGAGCAAGAACTTAGAGAAAGAAATAACTTTCCAATAAAGGATGGCCAGGAATGCGAAACCTTAACTGAGCGGAAGGCAGGCATTCCTGATCTGTCTTTTTACCTCTCTCTTCTTCAATCCCCCCCACCCCTGCCACTCTTTCTATTACGTGCAAGTGAAACCGATATTTTACATATTTTACTTCCCCTACTCATCCCCTATACCTCGTTTACCTGTCTCATAATCTATCTTCCTCACCGGTCATCTGTCTAATAAACATGGCCAGGACCAAACAGGCCCGACAGCCTGAGCGAAGGAGTGAAGAGCGAAAGCCCTCTCAGGATGATAAGTCTGAGACAGAAGAACGTGTTTACGGTCCCGGTACCTACTTCTTATCACGGGAAGAATACTACGATGTGCTGGCGCAATGCAATTTGATGGAGGAGAATGCATGCTCCCAGCGATGCATTCTCGACCTCGTCAGTGCACGATTCAACCATCTGAACATCACTATTCGCACTTGGACTCACACATGGACACGTCTCGAATCAATGTCGCACCTCCAACCGGACGAGAAGCACGAGATCATCACTAGCCTTGATGGCTACTGTGTCCAGGAAGACTGGGACAGTATCCACTCTCTTCTTCCACCGGGAACTCGTGAGAATATGGGCCCCGTCCTCGGCGCTACCATGCTCTACCAATTTATCTTTTCTAAACTCATCGACTCTCCTTTCTGGTTCTTGGATGGAAAGATAAGCCCCACCGATGTTGATGGTGACCCTCAGTTCCACCTTCGCCTTCAATATTTGTACGAGAGAATCCGGGAAGCCTCTGTCTACAAGGCCGCCTGGTGGAAATCAGTCACTATCGGCGAATGCAATGCCCGCAGCGCCTTCGACAACAATCCCGCCAATACAGGGCTGGCACAGGGTACTGCGGTTCAACGTAAAGCAATGGTGAAGTCTTTGACTGATGAGTTGCTTGGACGCCGGGTCTTCCAACTTCTTCTCCGCCCATTGGAGTATAAGGAAGATGTATCTCTCCGCCATGAACAGCTCCACCGAATTCTTCAAGACGCTGTTGATACGATTCTCTACACTGAGGGAGGGATGTTTGGCAATACTACGGTAGAACGGCTTCCGGATCTTCCTGTCTTCATCCACAAGTCAGACAGATCGATACCCCATATGCATCACTTCACCAGTCCTCAGATTACTCCGACTTTCGCGGCTTTAGATGGGGGCCGGGCCCTGATCGTTACTCGTCCGGGTCTTGTTTACTCACAGATGCAATCTCTGGGCCGCGGTCGCAACTTCCCTCCTGAGCGAGTGATGAAGGCGGAGGTGTTAGCGGAAGTGAAAAGGCCGACGAAGGGAAGGGTCTCTCGGAAAGGGTCAGCATCCGGTGTTGCGAAAACGACAAAGGGGAAATGGGGCCCACGAGCAAAGAAGGTTAGCGCCACTTCAAGTGCAGTCGATGCGAAAGATGACAACGAGGAACATGGAGAAGACAAGGAGGAAAGCGGACCTCTCGGGAAGCAGATGCCGCCGCTGAGGAAGACATTCTGGCGTCAGTGAGCGATATACGCGTTTGGGTTCTCTTATCATTTGATCTGTTATTGCTGTTGATATTAGAGATTTTGCTTCTCATGTATCCTTTGCAAGAATTTTTTTTTTTTTTTTTTTTTTTTTTTGTGTTTGTGTGTGTGTGTGTGTGTGTGTGGGAAGTGATGGCTTGCGGGTAATAAATTGTTGTATATCATTTCAAGTTACTATTTCAGTTGTATCGCTCTTATACTCGACTATATATCGTGGTTTAGACCAATTCGATCTTTAGAACACTAAACCACCATGGTGTGAATATGCGTAGGTATTATTGACATCGTTATGCTTCTTGTATCCAGAAACCACCTTCACTGAACTTCAATCTTCTAACCTTCATTCTGGTAAAGCCTTCTTCTGTCCTTTTGCTCTATCTTCCCCCAGAAGATCCCTACATCCATACTACTGCAGTGCCAGCATAGTTAGGTAAATTAGGTGGCTAAACTGATATACTAAATACAAATCGCTTGTCAGCACGGGAAGTATTTCCTGACTACGATTGGGCTGTCATTTTGACTGGCACCTGAAACCACTGAAATACTCATATCGGAAAACTTTCGTCTTCATCAAACCGAAGTATTCCTGTTACCTTACAAGATGTGATAAACCTCGTCACAGTCCATATAGAATACAATACCTTATGTTCCCCCAATCCATTCCAGGAATGAATACGCGAAAAGCCGGGCGAGTGCCTCTGCGGTGCCTATGACGTGCTGACCTGGTTTCAGATTTGCCGTCCATCATCTGTCAATAAATCCAGGAATATGTACAATCAGTGACGCTAGCGACGGGCAATTCTCAACCGGGCCACTGGAAAGGTTAAGGTATAAACCAATGGGTTTCTCCAAAATACGGTGGTACAAATTCACAAGCCGACCGTACTAGGTGGGAGAGAAAGAGAGAGATAGACTCCAGGCTTCAGACTAACGGAAGCCTTCTCCATCAGAAAAGGGGTATTAAGATGAAATAAGGTGGCCGATGCCCTCGTATGATGATCCGTCTCTAGATACTGAAGGAGAATATGCTTTTAGTTTTTGAGTTGGGGCCATCTGAATCAGGGGGTTGTAATCGTCAGGTTTGCAAAGAGTGCACCTCCCGAGCAGGGACGCCACGATTTCTGGCCCATCATGGTCTGGGAAACGCTAGCAAAAGAAGGTTTGTTGCGATGTGACCGGCTCGCTTGGGTGCTGCTTTCACTTACAGGTCAAAAAGCATGTTCATCTCTGGGAGCCCGAGGGTGTATGAGGCAGACGCCACGCTCATTATTGGTATCGCGGGTTTCACCGGACTGTGGCATCATGGGCAATCAGCTTCCCGTCCCGACAAGGTTTGACAGGCGTTTGTCCTATTGCTCGTAAGCTGGCCTGTGTTCGTGTGATGGATTGAATGGTTGTTCGTCATCAAGCAATGTTTGGAAGAAGCTTCAGGCCCCCAGATGAACGAGACCAAATGGGGAAAACGGTGAGCAGACGTGAGCCCAAGGAGAGGGTTTCCACGCTTCTCGTATAGGTCTCAGAGGTACTTAACGGTACCAAATGGGCATAGATACCCCGGTGAAAGTGAAGGTACAGAGTCTGATAGATCAGAAACCATATTGTCAACCATGCTGTCGACCCAGGGCACCTGCCATTTCTCCTGGTCATCGCTATTGTTGTTCCTATTGATTTCCCGTATTTAATCATGGACTACTCTTGAGGTTGTCAGTATAAGCACGTTATGGGCGTGGGTATTTTCTTTTCGCTTTTCTTTTTCCTTTTTTTACCCCTCCCTACTGGCCTTCCCGTTTCGTCAGAGGGAAGCGTGGCTTGACAGCGATTCCCCTGCAGAAGTCACTTCGGAAGCCAGCCAAGACCTTGTAAACAGGTCATTCATAATGTTTGCTTTCTGGCGTCAAGCCTGTATTGTGTGTCGTAGCTCGGAATAAGGTAGCATATCCGACTAGCAAGCCTGCCACATTCTCTTGATCCGGACAGGATGCAAGCTAGACGGTGGATTAGAGTGAAGGGGGCGATCTTGGAAAGTATAATGCAGGGGTGTGTGATGGACAGGATTTTGGTCTCATTCTGTGTATATCTGCTTACGCTTACACACATTCTTCCAACGCAGCCTACCCATTTTCTCATGCCCAAAGCCCGCAAGTTCACAATCATGAGTTTGTTCGCCCTTCTTTCTCTGCAGGTAGCCAAAATGGCCCTATCATCCCAGACCTTGCAGGACAGGTTACGTTGGGCGGACTTTCCACACCTATAGTCTCCTGCCCCCGGCCCGTCATTGCTGCCTGCGTGGCTGTGACATCAACAGTCTTCCAGGTCGTGTCTATCGTTCCGGTGGTCTGATCAATGTCAATTCAAGACTGCCAAGGAACAGATCAACAACATCATCTGAACACATTCAATTACAACAGCTGATCCGCCAGAGCTTCCTCAGCAAGTCCCACCTACCGGAACCTACGTTGTCTCTAGGGAAATCGCTGTCAAGCCACGCTTCCCTCCCTCACCCCTCCAATGGGTGATACTCTCGGGCCAAGCCCCATCTTCGCCATATCACGCCTTTCTCATCTGGGTATGCCAAGAGGAGACAGCTACAACACCTGTTCCTGAACGTGCTCCGGGTTGAAGACATCATCCGCAGGCTCGCCCTCACCATACGTCAGCCGTGCCTTGAGAATCATTCAATTTATTTTGTCTGACTGTGATGGATGAGATACCCGGTGGAGGTGGAAAGACAAGACACGTTCATGGTAGTATATCGTGGGCCTTGGAATGGGAGACGCGGCAAGATCCTGTCCGCGAGGGCTCGCTGATCACACCCTGATCTTCGGCTTGAGGGAGTTTGGAAGGGCTCTGTGGATGTGCGGACATATCGGGGATGAGGTGCGGTTCACTGTTAGCACCTTCACATCGTAACTCTTTGGCTGGTCGTCGGGGTAGATTGTTGTTCACTGGTTCTAGCCGATGGTTTCGCAGGAGATATACTAATTATTGGCTTGCCATACAACTAGTAGTAAGCTCACAATAAAATATTGGCGATATTAGCTTAGTTGGTTGTCTACATCGGTGTTCAACTGGCAGATACAATTCCTGGCGATACATAATTCGTCCAATTGAGTGCACTCTGGTTTGTCTACCAGACGAACCGGAACTTAGCAAGGTCACCCCTGTTTAATCGTGTAAGCGAGAAACTAGAGCAGTAGTAGCACATCAACTGCAGCCTGGAGACTTTCGTGACCATCCTCACTATCTTACCTTGCGCTGCCATATCTGAACGTCTCGGTGAGCAAATATTCGTCTCACAAAATATATCATGGAAGTGGCATTATAAATGTTTCTCTATATGCTAAACAGGTTGTGCGGCTATAAACATCAGAGAAAGCCAGCCACTTAACTTCTCCATGATTTAAGCAGACAAAAAGCGTCGATTATGATGACAGCTCTATCGTAACCCATTCACGCCATCCTGGAACTGATGCAAATCATATTCCTCAGGATATGTCTCCAATATCCTCTTCAGCTCCTTCATCTGAGCCTCCGCCTCCTCTGTCAACTCGTCATAAACCCCCTCAAACGCTTCCCTCAATGGGGGCTTCTTCTCCCGCTCTGCCTCCCCAAACTCCCTGAGCACCTCCTTTCGAATCTTATCGCGCGTTTCCCGCTCTAGATCTTCACTCCAGTGACCTTCATTTTCCAACCACTTCCGCAACCGGATAATTGGGTTATCACGCCGTTTCCAGTCCTCGACTTCAACCCTTGCCCGGTACGCAAAGCTATCATCGCTGGTGCTGTGGTGCGATACACGGTAACTCATTGCTTCGATGAGGACGGGTTTACCTCCGTCTTGGAGCGCGAGGCGACGAGCTTCACGCATTGCCTCGTAGACGGCGAAGATGTCGTTGCCGTCCACCCGGATGGTGTCAATGCCGTAGCCAACACCGCGGCTAGCGATACCGTCGCCCCGGTATTGTTCTAGTGTAGGGGTGGAGATCGCATACCCATTGTTGCGGCAGATGAACACCACGGGACAGGACCGCGTCGCGGCTATATTCAAGCCCGCATGGAAGTCACCTTCGCTGGCGGCTCCTTCGCCGAAATAGCAGGCAACGATTCGCGCCGGGGTATCGGGGTTCTGGAGTGATTGTAACTTGAGAGCGTAGGCAGCACCGGATGCTTGGGGTATTTGGGTTGCAAGCGGGGAGGAGATTGTGTGCTAGGTATAGTTAGGTAATGGCTGCGCGGTTATGTGTGGAGGAGACGAACTGTTCGGGGATAGTTGCACCCATAATGTACTGGCATGTTACGGCCCTTGCTGTTGTCGAATCTATTGGCAAACAGTTGGCTCATGAAGTTTTTCAGGGTGAAGCCTCGTTGCTGGAAGACGCCTGCTTCGCGGTACTGGGCGAATACTACGTCGTCTGGGGTTAAGGCTGCGGCGGATCCGACACTGATCCCTTCTTCGCCGGCGGATACCTAACAAAGTCAGCTTCAGTAATTATGGAGACTTTTATAACAGTAATAGGCATACCATATAGAAGCTCAGTCGACCCTGCCGTTGCGCTTCAAACATGATGACGTCCATGACACTGACTGGCTGCTGTCAGATCCAGAGCGGTAGCATGATATCTATGTAACCCAACCTGTCAACATGTTCTTGTACCATGCCAGAATCTCTTCCTTTGGCACGTCGATGGACTTGCGCGACTTGTCGACCAGTACTCCGTCGGAGTCCATGACTCGGTACGTAGGGATATTGGACATTTCGGTAGGGTTGATGAAGGTCATATCGGTAGTGAATTTGCTATTGATAGCCCCTGGAAACCGGACACTGCTACTGTCAGCTTCGCCCATATTCTCTGCTATCTGAGCTGGTTATCTTATGTGAGTGACCTTACCGATCCGATCCAGGGCGCTGCGATATAGAATTGCTCCATCGCCGAGGGACCCTCGAAAGTGGTTGTGAAGAACGCAAAAAACGTGCAGACCGTAGAGACTGCATATTGAGAATATTATGGGAGAGGAGGGCCAGCCCTGGGTGTTCAGGAAGTGCGATGGCCTCACCTCATGATAGAAGGGCGTTATTCTTAACTCGAGGAATGCTGGGAATGCGGAGGCCGGCTGGCGTCGGTCCTGAGCGCGGGTGTCTTCCCCACCCGCCGATAGCCGAACTGGGGTAGAGCTTTAGGCTGTATCCACGCTGCGATAAGCGGCCTGATACTGTAGATATGACTCCGTACGGCAAATGATGTCAGAAGGCAGGAAACATCAAATTTCCTGCTCATCGCAGTCTGAAAAGTGCTTTTTCCTACTCAGTACGGAGCAAGGTTATTCCACGACTAACTTGGAGCTCCAGCAAGGGACTCCAGAGCTTATTAAGCATCAACATCCCAGCTTCATTAAAATGGAAGTATAAGGCTCCAAGATCGACCTAAACCCAACATCGACCGGGGGCACTCTTGAGAAGAGTTATCTATATAGGCTCACTAATAGTATATGGCTCTTCTCTTACTCTCGGTTCTGCAGTTCTCTTTGGATAACTTTTTGACCACCGTTACGTGCCTCATTAGAAGGAATGCCTTTACACATCCGTGCAACTGGAGCTAATAAGCACTAGGTGATCAAAAAGGAAACCAACATCCCAGCGAAGATAGTTATACCTCACTTCTTCATACTCAAAGCTGTAAAGAGAGAATAAAGCGAAAGCCAATCCAACTGGCTGTGATGTATAGATCGGTGCGCACGTGCCATGTTCCTATGGCGGAAGAACTAGCGGCCCGAAGTGCGGGCGGAAGTGGAAATGCGGAGTAGCATCACGTGCAATTATGCTGCTCATCGGCTATCGTCGGGGGCCGGCGTACCTGGATAACAACAGGGTATTACTTACATACTCCCCATCATCCATCCTGCAGCCGGAATGCTACATCTGACTCCCTCCTTTCGTGTGTTCTCACTTTTCCGCACGTCAAAGCCGACGCCGGGTTGAACATGAATATTTTGCGCTCGACTGGGAGCTTGTCCCGGGTTCTCCAGCTATGCCACGGCCCTAGGACCTTGCCATCGATCCGGTGCCAGGCACGACCTCTTCCTCGTCGGAGATTCCATGCCGCCGCCTCACTGTGGGGTGTAAAGTCTCAGGTATTGAAAGATGTCGGTGAAGGTAAGGCATTCTTGTCCAAATGACCATCTTCTTATCCCTTCATCGCTACCCATTAGCCTTCTATTGTCGGTTGTTTACATTGCATTTCCCACAGGGATAACGGAGGTCCAAATAATCCAGTGGTACGTTGAGGAGGGAGCGTACATTGAAGAGTGGAAGCCACTCTGTCAATATCAGTCAGATAAAGCGGTTGATGATGTCGGTTCCCGTGTTCTTGAAAGACTTGCTCTTGACATAAAGCTAATGATCATAGATCACCTCGAGATATGAGGGCGTTGTTAAGAAGCTCCACTTTCAAGCAGACGACACTGTCCCGACGGGAAAGGTAAGCATGGCTACAATCCGAACTTAAGATAGGCTTGCTCATTGTCAAATCTTATCTAGGCGCTCTGCGATATAGAAGTTGAGAACGGGAAATATCCGGATGATAACCCGCCACCGGTTCCAAAGACAGAACCGATAGAACCAACACCGGCCAGGTCTCCTCCCACAGAAACTCAACCACCGCAACCCATACAAACTGCTCCATCTACACCAGTAAACGGCATCACGAATAACGGGCCAAAATCGCGGCATGCAACACTCGCTACCCCGGCGGTTCGCGGAATGCTGAAAATTCACAATGTGAACATTGAAGATGTACAAGGAACAGGCAAGGATGGGCGCGTCCTCAAGGAAGATGTCCAGCGCTTTATCGCCGAGCGGGATCAAGCACCTTCAGCACAGCTTACTGCCCCGGGGGTGCAAGAAGAGACCGCTGTCAAACTCACACCAATCCAAAGTCAGATGTTTAAGAACATGACGAACTCCCTCAGCATCCCGCAATTCCTCTACGCCGACGAACTCAACGTTAATAACGTAATGGCTATTAGAAAGAGGCTGGCCAACGACCCCAAAGACCCTAAAAAGATCAGTCTGCTCTCTTTCGTCATCAAGGCCATGTCCCTCGCTTTAAATGACTACCCGCTTCTCAACGCGAAGATCGATACCACTGATCCCGCCAAACCACAGTTGATCATGCGAGCAAAACACAACATCGGTGTCGCCATGGACACCCCTCAGGGCTTGCTAGTCCCCAACATCAAGGACGTGGGCAATTTATCGATTCTAGATATTGCCGCTGAAATCCTACGCTTGAACGCACTCGCAAAAGAAAGAAAGCTCACACCCGCAGACCTCAGCGGTGGCACAATCACTGCTTCCAATATCGGGAACATTGGAGGTACATACGTCGCGCCAGTAGTCATACCAAATGAGATGGCCATCCTCGGCATTGGCAAGTCCCGAACAGTGCCCATCTTTGATGAAGCTGGTCAGGTTACGAAAGGCGAGCTCGTGAACTTTAGCTGGAGTGCCGACCACCGAGTGGTGGATGGCGCCACGATGGCCCGGATGGCTAATCGGGTTCGGGAACTCGTTGAGTCGCCGGAGCAGATGCTGTTGAATTTGCGATAGCTTATACATAGAACTCCCCATGTGGGATTCTTGCATCCGCGATAATGACTAGCGCTTGCTGAATGCCACATAGCATAGATGTCTGCAGATGAAACAAACATTTTCGCCCAGCCTAGCCTAGAGCAAGTTGGGTTATCAAACATCACTCTTCACACCCAACTCTTATCGAGTAAGAGATAGCAAATTATCTGGAAACAAATATGATGGTTAATCAACGGAGCCAAGTCTCAGATGGGATACATATAACCTCCGCCAAATAACCACCAATACGTCCTAGTAGCGGATGGTGAATATTTGAGTAGTGAGCACCAAGTGGGTGAATTCCCATCCACGCTACCGAGAAATAACTGCACTACTCTAGCGTCTCCCCACGGCCTGAGGGCTTACGTGTTTCTATCCTAGACCAAGGTCCAGTACTAGGAAGAGCCCAACGTCCGCCGAACTGAGCGACCGGCCTATCTGCAGCATTTTTTTTTGTATAGGATATCAAATCACTTTATTCTGATATGCTTTCTTAGTCTATTCTTAACTCCGCGTGGGCGGGTGCACGCCACGCCGGAGGTTCTGGAGGCTGACTCCCAGCTATCCAGCCAAACAATTCTATATACAACACTAGAAGTCACAGCATCACAGTCTTTTCCGCCCGATGTATGATTCGGCTCGCTATCACTTCATTGCGACAATACCGTATGGTGGCGATTCCGCTTCCATGGTGCTGGCTGATATGTTCACTGGCTTCAAGGGTTGCTCGCATCAGCCAGGCTCTGTTGCAAGGACGCCATGAAGGAGGGCGGTGGCTAATCAACAGTTCGAATGTCGGTTTAATATATGCCAGAGATGCATGCTATGCTGTTAGAGGCGCACAAGCCAAACTGTCTTCAAAAGATGCCATCTATCCACAATGTACCATCGTCTCACGGGTCGTTTCTCATCACAGCTTCGAAGATCAATAGCAGAAGTGGGCAGATTTATGTACTGAAAATAAAAAGTACTAGGATTGCCCTAGCACGCGCTGATGCGGATGCCTGAATGATAAACCTTGGTATCACGTCCTAAGCCCGAGCATGGACAAATGCCAAAAAGAAAAAGAGAAAAAAGAAAAGAAGAAAGTATCAATACAAGAAACCGAAAGTAGTGGAGCATTGCGGTCGTGAAACGAGGAAAGGCATTCAGGGAGGTAGCATCAGATCATTGCATGCTATCTACGAAAGCTTTCAGGCGGGAGCTGTCCTTGGTCGCGATGAAGTAGGTACCGCCAACGTCGGTCCAACTTACGCTGTTCGACCAATAGTTCCTCTGCTTGACTTTCAGTAGATTAATGGGCGAGTTGAGATTGCGGGATTGGATTTTGTGTCCCGCGGGCACAAAGGATTTCAGGGATACGATCTGGCACCCTTCCTTCATATCCAAGAAGTGATTGATTAGTTCGTTATTCAATTGCGGAGTGAACGCCTGATTATTGATCAAGATGACATCAGCGCGTTTCAGAACATCGATAATGGGCTGCTCCTTCAGGAAATCACCCCTAACGAGGTGCGTCTTCCCGGGAGCGATGCCCCATAGCCGACATCGTGACCTGAATTCCGCCTGCTGCAGATCAGCCAGGTCACATGCATTGTCCATCATTTCACAGCCCCAGCTTTCACATCCAATCTCAAGCGCCGCTTGGAGGACAACGTTACCAACCCCGGAGCCCAGGTCGACAAAAACTTGACCGGACTTTAGCCCCGTTTCCTTGAATATAGTGCTAATGAAGCGCGGAAGAAGTTCTCCATACACGTTGTCCGTTCCGTTCTCATACTGGCGAAGCGACTCGACCCGAGGCGAGACAGTGCGCGAGTATATTTGATTCAGGATCCTTTCCACGTGAGGTAAATTAAGGCGGCTCGTCGAATCCAGTTTCTTTGCGATACTGCCATCACGCCTTAACCGTACGATTGCCTCATTGTACTCGTTCACAACGCTCCGGAAATCCGCTTCTGATAAATGGGCAAGGGCTCGTCGTAGTCTGCGCTTGATTCCAGTCGATTCATTATTGAATTCGTCTGCCGCTTCGTCTGGGATATAATTCTGTGACACGATGTCGAGGACCTGAACAATGTCGTCGATAGGCTTGAAATCATCATGGTCTCGAGGCACCACAAGGTTATACCTCTCCGGGGCCGAAGTGCTGAGATACTGCAGGAGTAGCTCCGGTAGCGGCTTGGCTGCCCCAAACGCAGGCTTAAAGTTGCCGGCCTTCTGGCGAGATGTAATGTCGGCAGCATGTATCATAGGAAGTGACCGGACGCTATCTTCGGAAAAAGCCTTTAAGGATCGCACGCGCCTAGCAGGGTCTGGTTCCGCGCTATCGCCTGTCCTAGCCCGTTTGCGCACCTCAAACGAAGAGTCCGTGTCGCTCGCATCGTCATCGCTCGAGAGCCGTAATTCCGGAGTTTGACGCTTCCGACTCTGCGCCGGTGTGCCATGTCGCCTTTTCGCAGACGGGGGGTCACGGTCCCTGGAGACGGATCTGCTTGCTGATTGTTGCGCTTTGAGCTGAGCAGGAGGGGTTCGGGATGAGGGACCTGGGGTCTGGGACGTGGATCGCGAAGCAGGAGCGGTTCGCGTCTGAACAACCTTGCGGATCTGAGGCTTCTTCGGTTGTAGAGAAAAGGCGCCTCCTTTCTGGAGGTGGTCGAAAAATCCCATATGGCAAGACAAACGGGAGTCGCACTATAGGGGAGCGGGGCGGCAAAAGAGATGACAGCGATGCGCTGGAAGATATACACAGAAGAGAATATAATATATACGACGAGTAGGATATGTACGACAAGACAACAAACGGCAAGGGGAATAGTTAGCAGGCTCTAGTGAAAGAGAGATTCATGCAAGATGCACGCCCGAACGGCAGTGGCACCCACGAAGCGGGAGGCGGAGAAAGTCACTCTCCGATTCCTCCGAGTCACCTGATCCGCCGCTCTGTTTACTACAGCAAAAGCAGCTCTGTCCAGAATGCAAACGCACCAAACAATGCAAACAAGCTCATGATATCAGGATCGCAATTTAATCGATTATCATCATAATCACCACTAGAATTCAATATCATACCATTCAATCCAGCAATTGCGCTTCAACACCCCCAAACACCACATCAACGTATATCCAACACAATCACTGTCACATAGTGTCTGTGACCCACCTTAGTCGTTCACCCTAACGGCCCTCCACACACCAGAAACCCAACACCATTCATCCATCCGCCCACCTCCGACTAAACACCGAGATCATCGTCGCATCACAACTCTCTCCAATTGATTCAATCCCAGACCTTTCAAAATGCCACCACCACCAACACCACCCTCTCGCGCTCCCCCTCCACCCCCAACCTCCCGGTACCGAGTCCTACCCCCCGACCTAGCCAAAGCGCGCCGCACCACCCCCTCACCCCCCCAACCGCAACAGACACACCAACAACAACAACATCAACAGCCCAAATCCCACCCCCGACCTTCCTTCTTCAGCCACCTCCGCAACAGCTTCGCCTCTCTCCCCCGTCCCTTCCGTTTCATGGGCACCCTCCTCCCACTCATCCCCATCGGCCTCTTCTTCTCCGAGCACGTCTGTCAAGTTATGTGGGTGCGCGGACCCAGCATGACGCCCTACCTGAATGAAGACTACGACCAAATGCAGACGAAGAGCGATATAGTCCTTGTGAATATGTGGGGCGGGGGTGGGTTGTGGCCGTGGGAACGGAAGAGGAGGTTGGAGAGGGGGATGGTGGTTACGTTTCGGTTTGTTCCCTTCCCCGTGGTTTCTGTGGTGTATGTTTTAGTTTTACTAATGGTAAATGTGTGCTAGATCTCCCGCAAACCCCCGACACATGGCCATCAAGCGTATCATCGGATTACCCGGAGACCAGATCACGACAAGAGAGCCCTGTCTGAAGGAGTCGCAGATTGTGCCGTATAATCATGTGTGGTTGGAGGGTGATGCGAAGGATCCGAGGAAGACGCTGGATAGTAATTCCTATGGGCCCGTGAGTATCAGTTTGATTACAGGGAGGGTGATGGCTGTGCTGCATCCGCAGTGGAGGTGGTTGGATTGGTCGGATTGGGAGAATGGGGTGGTGGAGGGTGACGTGGAGCGCAAGTTTGGGGAGGGTTATAGGCAAGAGGTGCGCGATCGCGTAGTCAAGGAGGCTGTGAAGTTGGAGAGGCCGTTTTTGGAGTGAATGTTCCGATGTATTTATGTATTTATTATGCGCTGTACATAGACGATTGATTTCTCTGCTCTGTATATTAATTACTATAGAGAAGCATCATGGAGCGGTAGATCTGCCTGCAGACATTACTACTATATATTATACTAATAACATCCGGTGTTATGTGACTATCCGCACATCCTCCGGTTGATCCTCCTGTAAGCGATTAATCTCAGATGCTATACTCAGCACCCACCGGTCCTTCTCGACGCGACTTCGCGCTTTGAACACAATGGTCCGCCCGTGGACTCCGAGAGTCGACACTTGCTTTATCTTTTGCTTCGTTTGGCCCTTGACTCCGTGCTCGCGCGCCCGGAACAGGTTCTTCTTTAGTGGCTGCCAGATAACGAAGGTGATCGCCGCGTCTTCATCACTGCTTGTATATGCGTCTGAAGAGAGGTACACGCGGGGCAGGGCGTGATGGCCTGGATGGTTACTGTCGAATGTTTGGTTCGCGTATAGGAGGTCAGACTCTGCCATAAGACCGGAGTAGATGTAACAGTCTTGGAGGTCGATGGAGGTCTCCAGGTTTTGGTGTATGTGGGGGACTTCGACGCCATTCCGCTTTCTGAGGGAGCTGCGGAATATCAATAGTTTTCCGGCTGTTAGAACAACGTGGGTCCTCTTGAAGGTTGAGTGGCGACGGGGTTTTCGGTATAGATGCCCGGATATCTGAAGGCTCATGTTAGTACCATCAGTGAAGATTTAAGCAAGATACCACATACTTTGATTGTCCGACAGTCTGACAGAACGCATATGTTGTGCAACAAAGGCGACGCTTCCGCCTTCTTGACCTCCCACTTCTTAGCGAACTGTCCCATGATGGATTCTAATTCCTCGTCGATCCCCAGAAGTTCCAAGTTACGCTGTCTGAGAGCCTTGAGCTCGGCTGCATCGGTCGCGATTCTGCCTTTCCAGTATTTCACTAAAGCTTCAAGTCGTCTCATCCATTCCTTCTTAGTCACGTCATTGTATGCTTGGAAACGGACCACAAGGTTGTTGTCCAGAAGCATCTCAAAGGTTCTGTCATCGTTGAATTGCTGTGTTGCACCGTCGTCCCGGCGCGTGTCTCTTGCTTCGGGATTGAATGCTACATCTGGCCCTGATTCAATGTTCGGATCAGCGGGGCAGCTATCGCGCTGCACATGCCGGACTTCCTGTACCCTGCCGAGGTCAATGAACCCATCAGCGTGCTCAATGTTGTGGATGTTTCTCTGCCGCTGGACAAAGGCTTCTTCGTCATGAGTTCTGATGTGGTCCCTGTTGCCACTCCGCAGCCAAGCGATATCCCCGTCCTGTAGTGGGTATGGATCAACGTCGTAAGAAATAGGTGACGCATCCAGAATTTGTTGCGTTGAAGGCATTTCAGCCCCATCGCGGCAAAGTCTAGGGGGCGCTGGAGGTAACGACCGTGATGGCCGGCAAAAGAATAGGTACTGATCCTGGGTGAAAAAGTACAGCCGCTTAAAGAACATCCTGTTCATCCGCTGATGTACACCCCGTTGGGATGTAAGACGCACCAAGAAGCCTTCTACAGGCTGAGGCTCATCTTCTCTCTCACCATCGTGCTTTGTGTATGTATGATAATGCTGTCTCGGACGTAGTTCAAGCTCGTGACTTGTGTGCATAGCAAGAGAGCCATACATCTTCTCTTCGTTAGCGCCCAGGATCCATTCCAGGCGATCGTACCGTTTCCAAGCAAGCCCCATGATCTCAGTCTTGGACCATTGTTGTAAGACTTCAGCCCACTCAGGACGGTTTTCGAGCATCTTCAGACATCCACGTACTATAGCTGTCGCTGGCGATTCTTCCTGGGCGACAGTACGACTGAGGATTCCAGTACCCTTTCTCTTAGAGTCAAGGGCAGCTTCCAACTGTTCGAAAGGATTGTTGAACACAAGCGACACGCCCAAATCAGGAACATGGATGGGCAGCGATGATGGACGCCGCTTTCCCATAATCTGACTGAGAAAGGTAAACCATTCCACGGCATGCGCGGAGGACTTTGGTCGAATAATGTAGATCTTAGTCCCACGCTTACAGGGACCCCAGAGCACAATTGCCTTGTCCAGATGCGAATAGAGATTCACATTCATTTTCTTTCGCCCCAAGGGTATTTGATAATGCGGGGCGACTCGCGTGCCTGTCTTCTGCACTTCGGGGATAACACGGGTCTTGTACATTTGGAGACAGAACGGGGCATCTTCGTCAGAAGCGAGACGGCATGCCACCAGGTACTCTCGCCATTGGTCCACAACCCTAGTTTCCATTTTCAGACTGTCATTTTCCGAATAGTCATCCGGAAGCTTTTCCTGCACCGTCTCCTCTAGGCGAACAACCATTTTCTCGGCTTTTATGACCTCTCCTTCTTTCATTTTCCGCCTGTATGGCCATGTTCGTGAGAGTTTAGCATGTGTCCTCGACACTCGAGCCAATATTCTTTGTTGTTTGTCCAGCAAGTTGTCATCAAGGTTGTGTTTGGCTGCCTTTTTCGAAAGCTGGTGTAAATGGTCCCTTTTCGATCGACGTCGATGTCCGTTCCGGAGGGGCTCCTCTTCTGATGTCTCGACCTGAGGTTCCTGTTGTTCAAGGTTGGTAGACGATGGAGCAGAGAGCCTTCCTTTGCCTTTGGATCTCGAATCTGGCCTTAGCAACGCGGTTGTGGATCCATAGTCACTAGCGGGTACCATGGGACTTGACTGACTGGCTCCATTCTGGCTAGGGGTACTTAGCGTTTGCTCGCTTGGTCCCTCCCCGGTCTGATCCGGGTCCGTTGTACCAGGCCTTGAAGAGGCCTGACCTCCGTCAATTGGTTCCTGTTCCCTGGCTGTGTAGTATGCGGAGCTCCCATCTTGTCTCCTCATTGACGAGGCTAAGTCACGTTCACGTTTGTTGTCGCCTGAATCCGAAACGACAGCTTCCGAGTCCGTAGTGACACAGGAAATATCGTGATCCTCCTCCAGTGTGTAGGGCACACTACGAAGACTTTTTCGTGGGCGTGCATCTAGATCACTGCTCTCTTCCTCCTGTTCCCTGTCTGTCCTTTCATCCTCCGTGGTGTCTGTAGTTGGTTCGTGTTCTGGCGTCGAATCCTCAGAGTCGGTCTCAGGTTCCTCCGAGTAATGCGCAATGACCGGGTCCGCAGAGAAGGAAACCGTCTTAGACGAATATTTACTAAACTTCATGCGCGTCCTCCACCATGACTTGCGATGGTTCTGCAGCCAGCCCTGGGGGATCGGTCCGATGAAGAACCTCCTATTGGTCATGTGTATATGGTGTGGAGAAGCATGGTGCTTCGCGGATCAGTGCCATTTCAAAGTGTCATGCAAGCGACAGGTGAACGTACAAGTTTCTGAGCAGTGTGCGACTCCGGATCTAGACCTTGACACTGGTCAAGGTGAAAGGAGACGTGTGGATCAGTCGCCATGTTGTTTGTCATTGACGTTTGAATGTATTCATTCAACAGGCTTCTTTCCCCATTCGCATTGTTGCTACTGACTGATCCCACAATGAAGTTCTCATTGCGGATGCAGCGCGCTGCTTCGATCTTCCCCTTAAGTTCCCTGAAACTCCTCCACTCCCCTTCGTCATAGGGAGAGGCCCGCTCTCACATGATCATGACACGTGACCTTAGTGCGCGTCTGATAAGCTTATCGGAAGCTGGATGATTGTACTGATCGAACTTCGCCCTGAAGAGTGATATCTAGATAGATGTTCTTTCGTTGATCATATTTTTCGTCTTTTATTGTATGGATTAGCAGTTACTCCATTGTCAAGCACATGGTACTTTCGCCAAACATAACAACATCAACTACTACGGCAAAGACGATAATCAACCAGCTCCATACTTTATGCTGGTGATGACGTCATATCAGCAGCCCAGCGAGGAACCGGAATTGCCAAGGCGCTCCTGATCTCCTTTTGATCCACCCACCACAAGACCCACATGTACTCCTGGGTTGTCGAGCAGTCGATCTACAGAGTCCGGTCTGGCCGAACTATGCACCACAGTGGTGATGGTCGTAGGCCAGCAAACCTGCCAAGTCTCCATCGCAACCTTTCAATTGCAGATAAATAGTAATACATGTAGCAGAATACAAAAGAACTGACGTGATTGGCTAGACTGCCCCTTGTGACAAGGGTAATAGTCCAAGCATCGGCTGGCCCTGATCTGGGCAACCCGTATTCTGGTGGCAGCATGAGTTTCTTAGCCCAGCCTGTTCTATCATGCCCTAAGCCTAGACGAGGTGAGTATTCGTTGGGAGACACTTCCAGCCGTTGGGGCGATAAAGACATTATGGAACATCAGGGCCAAGGAGTCCAATGTGGGATGGAAACCCCGGAACAAGGGGTCGAGGCTACCGAAGACTCTCGTAGCCTGGTGCTTGCATGCCTGGGCTCCCATCTCGACCGACCCCGCCGCTCGATGATGAGTGCGGACATCATCACCGACTGCCCCTCTTCGCTCGTGCCCCCTGTTGCCCATGGCACCGTCTCTGATCACAGTAGTCCGATGGTGTAACCATATCCATGATGTGTCACCCTATCTTAATTCGCATAACTAAAGCGCAATCCCAGTTTATCAGCGAATGATTAAATAAACTTCACCAATCCATGGAGGCTCTATAGCCTCGCAGTACAGTTCTTCTGGAAAGCGGGGTCACCACTTTATTGTTTCTGAAGCCCTATCCGGAAACTACGCTAAGCTGATCTTTGAAGGGAGCTGGAAAATCACTGAGCCGTGTATGTAATGCTAATTAGCATGTTTTATACTAGCTTATAATCTGTCTAGAACTTACTAGAATATATACGAGCCTAGTCACGGGTTTTCTCAACTTCAACCCCGCATTAGTGATGTCTTGTATCAACCTAGACCATCATTATCTCCATATATCTTTAATCAGTTAGTATAGAAGAGTTTTAATATAAGACATCAGCTATCATAATTCTTGATCCATGTGACATCAATACAACTCCATCGATTCAGAGTGGGAAAGCAAGCGACACATTGCGCTTCTACTAGTCGTTCGGACTGACGGGACTTTTGCCAACCAACATCATGCTATACACGAAGACTTCGCGTTCTACCCCTTTCCCAAATCTCCACCAGAGAAGGAAGAAGAAGAAGAAGAAGAAAGGCAACGCCAACAACAAAGCAGTGATAAAGGCTTGTCTGGGTCTAGCAAATGTTCTTCTTGTGATCACAACATTTGCAGGCGCCTTCACCCTGAACGCCTACTTCAATATAACTTGTCCTGATAGCCTTGCGGCTACTTTATTACACGCTTCCTCTATGCTTTTCCTGAGTGCTCCGTTCGGTCTTTTGATAATCCATCTATTGCTCTTCAGTTTCCCAGATAATGCAAAAGTACCTTTTGCCCTTTTCTTTTGCATTTATCTCCAGTTTCTGATAACTGGTCTGGCACTTGCCACTGCAGTTTTATACCTATCTCTTGCTTTTTATTATTACTCGAACACACGCCTTGTTGGAATAGGAGGCATTGCTATGATCGGTGTTATGGTCACTGTGTCGGTCTTCCATGCAGCGTTCACCACGGTGCACTTATTACTGTCACTTACTCACCAAAGCAAAGTATCGCGAAAGAAAGATGCTGAGAGTCGGCCGCTGGGATCAGAAGGGATATCAGACACAAGTCAGAGGGTCGGGTCAACTGAAGAACCCGTGGAAGAGCAAAAACAGCCAGTTTTCTGTTTCTTGAATCTTGTCATAAGGGTCTATGAAAGCTTTGTTAAGCTGCTGATGGACTACTTCCTTACCATGATTGTCAGTTATGTGGAGCCCTTGAAGTCCGGTGATACGATCTCTTTCTATGCCTTTTATCTTGATTATTGGAGCTGGGAACACCAAAAATACACCATAATCTTCTGGATTTTGCTGGAAGGGTCTGTCACCTGCGCTTTCATTGTGCTGAGTGCGGTTCAGTTACACCAAGTTCCCAAGGCATGCATCCGGCCAAGTCAATAAGTATGAACCGCGGGTCATGGTAGCGACCGTTACTGCCTTCCCACATCGGCGGTGAAACACAGATCTTACTGAACGAGCAAACGTGGTATTGGTGAGAAGTGTACGTTCCAATGGAGGGAAGAGGAGGAAGTCCTCCAGTGTCAGGTTACTTGGCGCCAGGTTCCCCACATGATCTGCAACAGGTTGTCAGACTTCTATATGTGAATACAAAGAATGACGGGAACATGCGCGAGGTGTTTCAGCGTATTATCCTCAAGGTGCAGACCCCCGGGTCGCAACTACCAACAAAGCATAAGCAGGCAAGCCGCGGTTGCCGGCCGACTTGACAATAGGTGCTACCATGATGTAAGCCACGTTACATCAATATCCAAATGGTCTACCAGTCTCGCCGGCGCCCGACTCCCTGCCATCGGGCTGATGTTAAAAAGGTGGAATATTGAATTGGAGTTTCTTATTCCAGTTCCCATTGATGGTATTTAGTAGTACCTTTTCGTGTCTAAACGGGCCAGCAGATGGTCAAAGACTGTTGCAGGCTCCTCCTTGGCAGTAAACGTCGTATCCCACCGATCAAAAGACCTCGACGTAGACTTGATGCCTTCTATACTGCGTAAATAGCCGACAAAGGCAGAGGTTTGTTTCCTAAAGAGATTGTACAATCGACGAACAGCAGGCTCCGCCTCGTGGCGTACTCCATTAATCCCGTCCAGCTGCGAGAGCGGAGCAAAGGTGAGAATTGTTCCAAAGATTTCATCAAGGAGATTTGCGACCTCAGTATGCTTTTTGCTGAGAAAAAGGGCATAAAGCATCTGATCTAAGACGTCTTCATGGTAGTAGCGCAGTCTAGGGACTGAGCTGGCCGCTTCAATCGTACCATTTATATCATGTCGGTCAAGACAAGATTCAATATTCGATAGGGTCTCCTGAAATCGTCGCCATGTAGCTCCAATCCCGACATGGAAGCAGTAGTCGCTTACGGCTAGCACAAAATGCTGCGCATCCACCCGGAATTTCTGGAGCACATTCCGCGTATCACCTGATAGGGAGTCTCTCGCAGTTGAATCTCGAATGAGACTCCTAACAACTGATACCATGCGTAGCAGTCGGAGCAAATGCTTGAAGAGACGGTCATATTTTTCAAGAGAATTCGAAGTCAATATTGTCTCCAGCACAGGCAAGGGTTTGTACTGGAGACGAAGGAAATCAAGCGCCTCAATGGCATTTGGGTCTTTGCATTTCACAACCTCCTCATCCGTTAGGTCACGGATAGAGAAGCTAAGGCCACCAGGTAGCTCCTTTTCATTCCACAGTTTAGAGTCCATCGACGGGTCCAAGCGTTTTTCCGCATCATGGCATTCATTAAGTAGACCCATCAGTACCAGCCGTAATTCTGAACTGGCTGGAGGCCATGTATCTCGGCTTCCCAGGCGTAATCCAGCGTGAACGTCACTCCTCACTACACCAGCTTTGCGCTCTCCGCTTTCCATGTCGGGATCAAAAAGGGAATCAGAGAGACGAGAGGTGAAATAACCATCACCAAGGAGCTGGAATCGCCATTGGAGGTTGAGGTGGGTTCGGAGATGATGCTCTTTAAATAGTAGATGGAGACAAGAGAAATCGATCAATAGCGCCTGAGAGCAGAGGAGAGGCGCCAAAGATAGGTAATATGATGAGGTCAGTTCCGGACCGAAGTTGCTATGAGCTGCAGGCTGTTCAGCATTGCAGTGGACGTTTCCATCAATAAGATGGCCAAGCTGATCTCTAGAGCTTCCATCCATTGGTAACAGCCCTGTGGGATTTGGCATGTTATCGAGGTCGAAGAGTTCAAAAGTGTCTGTGAGCACATCTGACTCCCCAGTCGATTCAGAAGCGTCGGCAACAGATATTCTGCCTGGATCCATATCACCACGGTTGTATTTGAGTATCTCAGAGCGTAGTCTAGCTTCGTACTCTATGGCCTTCTTTTCGATTCTTGTTATATCGGACCACGTACCCGCACATTCAAAAGTGGGCGTAGTAGAACGGTACATCTCATGGTTGGCGACTGGATGTTGAGGGTGATATGTTTTAAGGAGCCTCAGGCTTCGTCCACTCTCGAAAACCAAAGACGCCAGGTCATCAGGGATGAAAGAGGGCATATTATTAGGCAGATACTTGTAGTCAACCCTCGGCGCCTTTGTTGCCTTTCTAGATTTCTCCTGGCTCTCCGCAACGACAAAGCTCCTACCACTCGAAGCCAGGTCTACTGATGCCGTTGTCTCTGGACGAAGGCCAACCCAGGTCTCTACGTGCCTCAGCCAGGGCTCGGCCACTCGACTCACAATCTCGCGTAAGAGAGGTTCTATATGGTCGAATATTTGCGAGAAGTGGGCGGCTCGTTCAGAAACAACAGATATTATCTGTGCCTCGGACACTGCACCATCAATTGCCTCGATCACATTCGCTAGGATGGTCACCACCTTCCCGCATCCATGAAACAGCGCCTTGATCTGAAGGAGAGAGGTAACACTGGCGAATTGTCCGACAAGCTGCTTCTCGAGTGTATAGACAACCACAGCCGCGGCACTCGCAAAGGCCGACCGAGCAGAGAGTTCCTTTGGCCTACTTGGCACCTTATTAGCAAAAACCCGTATTTTCTGCATGTTTGTGCCGCATTGAATCAGCTCCTCAGTTAGCCCATTTAGTGCAACTGATGTTATCCCAGAAATCCGAATATTGTTGTACACTCGTTCGAACTGCTTCTTATGTTCATCATATTTGAAAAACATAGAGCCCCACCCAAGCCCAAGCTTGAGCAACGCCTGGAAGAACACATCTCGCCTGACCATAAACCTCTGTGTCTGTGTTCCCACCTTTGCAGCTTGCCGTGCCAATGCAGCATCAAAGCCTTTCGCACCGGATTCGCTAAAGTATGCCGAAACAGGTTCGCGATATGTCCGCTCGCGGTATTTCTCCCAGGATTTCAGCAAATCGCAGCGCTCCTGCTCGATATCTTGATTTCCAAGTGCCCATATATCCTCCGGCTCGTCTTCAATGTCCTGCTCATCGGTAGTCGCAATAAGTTGGTTCTCACTTGACGTATCGTTATCCAACTCCAGCGTCTGATCCCCATCCAATAAGTCGGTACCGAAAGGATTAAGGCTAGGGATTTCCGTGCCGAATTTGTCGAAGATGTTCAAAGGAGACTCGAAAAAAGCACTCGAAAGATCAGGTAATTTCTCGTCCCACCCCAAGCGTTCCAACGGCTGTAGAGACTGTAAGGTAAACTTGGAGACCCTCCATAGACCCTGGCTGGAGAACGGGTCTGCAAGCGGGTCCTCCGGATCCATTGTCCTCTAGCAATACCGAGTTGTAGATGCTGTACAGGGCAACGGGTCGCAAACGATCGCGTAATCGCGGGGTTCAATGGGAGCGGCACTGCGGTAAAAGAAAGCGCTGGACAGTAAGAGGTCAAGACAGCTGCAAGATGCGATACCAGGTCAGTACGATAATTAATGGTCCTTAACACGGTAAATAACGTGAGATGACATACCGTAAGAGGTAGGTGTTGGATCAACGCGACGTCGATTGAGTATAGGTGTTAGTGCGCTGCTTCAAATGACAAGAGCGCCATGAGGGATACAGAAGCGAAGCAGCTAGTTGAAGACGCGTTGCTGCTACCTGCATGGCCATGAGTGTTGTGTATAGAAGCTGGCCGTTGAATTGGCCCAGAAGTTCGTAGGCAGTCACGTGGCTCGATGTTACTATCTGCTGATAAAGCCGTTTAAGGATCCTGATAAGGAACCATTTGGTCAACTAGCGCAAATGTGGTTATCAATTATAAAGAAGGACCATGTCATGGTAGCTACTTGGTTTTCGAGGTTCTGCACTTTAATCCTCGGTAGAATACAAGTCTCATATACCAGTCACTAGTATTACTATCCAAACCTCGAACATATGTACACATCCTCCACATACTGCTTATTATCTGATCATGCAGCATTTGTCTATTATATTTACAGCCTTGAATTTTCGGGTTTCGTCGCCTGCCCTGCTACAACTTATGCAGCATCTAGAAGCCCCGTCCCCTGTGCACACAACTGGATGAGTCAGCCGGAGAACGTACGCGTCTTCAGCGTCACGGCGAGGAAACAATGCTTCAGTTTATCAGGGTCAAAGGGGCTCTCCGCGTTCTCGTATGGCAGACGGGCATCGTAGGGGCCGCATCTGGCATGCTAAGGGGTATTTTTCCGATGGGCGGTAGACTCGCTGGATAGCATCACATAGCCATAGCAGGCTCCAACAGGGGCGGTCATTGGGTTGGGATACTCGGGCTGATGCCAGGTTTGCCATTCATATTGGTTTGTTCCTTCTTCAGATTCCTGATCATCGTTTCCAGCCGGCGACGTTCTTCTTGTTCCGATTTAAGGATCTTCATGTTCTCAATACGCGTGTCCCGCATCATCTTCTTGAACTCATTCTTCAGCACCATCGTCGATGTGCTCTCATAGTGGCCATCGCGACCACTACCCATCCAGCTGATCCGTTCCTCGTTAAGCTGAGTCTCGAGTTGCTCGCAGCGATCCCGTAGCGCATCAATAACACTCTCGAATCTCTCGCGTTCTTTCTCGAACTCGATACTAGCCTTCGTCATTGCTTCATAGTCGTCAACGGTCTCCCGCAGTTCTTTTTGGAGTGCTTCCACCCGGTTCTGCAGGTCGCTGCTGCCAGGCTTTCCGGCCTTAAGCGCTGCCAACTCCTCGGCAAGTTCCAGGTTCCGGGTGTTCAGCGCATCAAATTCCCTTTGAATGGCAGGATTGGCTGTAATATCGGCCGCACGCTGGGCTCGAGATCCATAGGCACCATCAAGCTCGGCCTTCGCCATTGTCAGCTCAGTTTGGGTCCGTACAACTTCGCCTTCCATCTCAGTCAACTCCGCCTGCAAGCGCGTGGCGTTCTCCTCAGCACGAGTGCGTGCCTCCGTAGTTTGTTTGAACTGTGACTCGAGCACCTCTACATCGGCTCGAAGCTGGTGTAATAGAGTTTCCAGGCGTGAGACCTCACCCTCGGCCTGCACACGTGCTTCAACTGCTTCCTTCAGCTGGGGTTCCATTTCGGCCCGAAGTTGACCCAATACAGCTTCCAGACGAGCGACCTCGGTCTCGGCCTGTGTCCGGGCTTCCGTAGCCTCCTTTATCTGGGCATCTGATTCATTGCGCATCAGTTGCATGGTCTCCTCGAGTTGCAGGATCTGTTGTGTCGTGCGTTCGTGCGCTTCAGAGGCCTCCGCCTTCAAAGTTACCTCACTCTGCAGTTGACTGATCGTCTCCTTCAACTCCGCAATTTCACTGTCTGCCTGCGCGCGCGCTGAAGCAAGCTCTTCAGCGTGAGTATCAGCTTGAGAACGGAGGTGTTCAAGACGGGCCGCCTCAGCAGCTGCAATCTTAGCATCGGTTTCACCTTGAGTCTGGTCGAGCACACTTTGCAGGCGTGTGATTTCTGCCTGAGCCTGGGAGTGCGCTGCAGTGAGCTCTTCCGTGTGAGTACTGTGCTGAGACCGTAATTCTTCCACGTGAGCTTCTAGTCGGGAAAGTTCATTCTCTGCTCGGGCTCGCGCGTCGTGAGCCTCAGCGTGTGACTCCTTTTCGCGTTCGAGGTCCTGAATGATACTTTGCAAGCGTTCGACTTCCGCTTCAGCGCGCGCGCGCGCCTCTTTTTCGGACGCCATCGCGCCAGAAACATCCTCCATCTTGTGCTCTTCCTTGCGGTTTTCTAGCTCCTGTTGCATAATCTTCAGCTGTTCCCATGCCTGATCCAGCTCCTCCCTCGACCGTTGACCTTCGCTCTCTGATAGCTCGAGGTCTTTGCGTACATGGGTCAGTTGTTCAGCTAGCTCAGCGATGTGCGCATCTCTCTCTGCGTCTGATTTGGAGTTAAGTTCTCTCTGTTGCTGGATTTGTGTCGTGAGGATGCTCTTTTGTTCAAGCAGTTTGTCGATCCGTCCTTCAAGTCCACTGATTCCTGCACTGAGGTAGGCGAGGTGTTCTGCCGCGTCGCTTTGAGACGAATCTGGTGGGGGTGGTAAAGTTTGAGTATGCGGTATCCCAGACTGTTGGACAACGCTGTACAGTCGTGCGTTAATCTCTTCTAATTGCTCGTGATCGTAGTCGACACCCCTGGCCTGGGACGAACCGCCGGAAGCGCTCGAGCCAAGCATGTCCAATCCCTCTTCGATATATGCGAGGTGTGCTTCGCACGTTGCTGTAGGATAGTCTGGATCTTGACCTTGAGAGGGTTGCGGGATAGGAGCAAGACCGCTGTCTGGGTTCGACTGGAGGATCATATTCCGTAGCCGTCCACTTAGATACTCCAATCTTCTTTCTGTATCTTGAATCGCCTCTAACCCAGCGCTGCCCAACCCACGTCCGTTCCGCGCCTCGGACCCGTGAGCCTCATCCATATACTCGATCGGTTTGTAGAGGCTCCGCTCGTCGAAGTCGTGCATGCTACCATGCGTATTGGGGCTGGCGAGGGTCTCAGGTGTATCAGCCATATTGCCTTGCAGGTTTTTCTTCAGGCCCTTATGTGTCATTTGCAAGATCCCAGCTGTATGCTCAAGTAACCTGTTGTTGACTTGCTGTACTCTCTGCTCCAGATTCCAGACCTCCTTAGCCAGCTCTTCGCATTTCCGCGTGCTTTGCGCGAGCTCTTCCTCCGTCTTATCCGGGGTGGAGCCGTTGGGCCCCAGAAGGCTCCGACGAGAATCGGGGGACGAGTCCAGGTCATATTCTCCGCTCGTCCGGGGGCTCTTGGTGGTGTAAAGTCGGCTGAGCGACATGGCCGCATCGCGCAACTTCATTTCCAGGGCCAAATTCCCTTTGGCGGCATTCAACCTGCTAGACAAGAATTTGTGCTCCTTCTTCAAGCCCTCCACTTCCTCCAAGGACAAGATCTCGTAGTGTGTGCTATCGGTCATGGCGGTCTCGGTCAATAGGTACATGGCGACGGGATCATGGGCATTGCGCAATGTTGAGCTTTGTGGGTTGGTGGGCTTCGGATGATTGTAAGGCGAATTCTCCACGGGTTGCGAGTTCAGGGCGTTGCGGTAGCCATTCATCAGGACGTTGGTTGGCGGCGGCTGCGACGGTTCGGCATAGTAGGAGGCAGTATCATACTGCGTCGGTTCGCCATATGACGACCGGGGAGATTGAATGTCAAAAGTACTCATGGTAGCGATTTCAGCATGAACCAACAACGGCCAAAGAAGCAAGCAGGAGTTCGCAGCGGTTAATTGAACTGGCGGATCAACAAACAGTCGCCATCCTCCGCGCCAGCTGGATAACCGCCAGAGAAATTTGGGGCCGAGTGATGAACAGGTAGATAGATGGAAGACAATCAGTTCATGAGACAAACACAATCGCAGACAAAGGGATATAGCGCACAAAGGAGTGGTGTTGCAAGTGTCCACCAGACTCCGCCAACGAACGGGTCCCAGTGCTATACACAGCCCCGGACGGGAGTGGCTGATGTCACGTGACTAGTTCAGGGGAAACAGTTCTGTTGGCGCTTTCACTCCGTTGACATTTGACAGACTCTTCACCAGATCCTTTGCCTGCTACGTGGCGTCTCTCTACAGTTGTTGCTTTCGGCTTTTTGCTTGGGGGAATATCTAGTAGCGCTCACCTTTCCAGACATTATGGTATCCTAACAAGATTGTCATTTTTCTGCCTCTGGCACGCGTCTAGCCATTGGTCAGCCCCAGATAAACATTACAGGTATTCATCCTACCCAGCCACCAGCCACCAACGGCGGTTGGCAGTAGTAGGGGTAAGTAGTACGAGTACTACTTGCCCCGAGACGTTCGTTCTGTTTTCTTGAAGTGGACTCCCGGCCACATGGGCAATCCAGGGGCCCCGGGCCGAAGCAGACCCACAATCAACGGTATTCTGCAGAATTCTTGGTTCAGGCCATTGAACGAGGGCTACCATGGTTAGTTCGTATCAAATTTGATCCATCGGTCTATGTATTACTTTTGATAGTCAAATTCATATACAAAAGTAGCTCAGTCTCATCATAGACACGCGGTGACTCATGCTTGGAATCGATAGTAGTCGTAACCCTGGCGACCAGATGATATATTTTCGGAACTGCCCCCAATGAATGACGGAGAGGGAGAAACAGAATTGTGCCTGACTCAGTAGTAGTAGCAGCCTCCATAAGCAAATTTGCCAGTACCATTCTCTCTAACCCGCCGTCAATAACTGCCATACGCGATCAATTTATGTCTGGTCCCTACTAAATGCGCTAACTAATCACTGGTAGCCCACCGAAACAACCGATTCTCCATCAATGCCCGCTGATAGCCTGGCCGCAAACTAATCTGCATATCCCAGTCTCCCCCCGGATCTGCGGGAAGAATGAGGCAAAAATCTTCAAGTAAACCAAAAAACAACCGGAATCCCGTGATCTTGCCCAAATCCGGACCCCAATCTAGGTCGTGAACCTTCAAGTGTCGAATGCTCGAATATGAGAAATCTCCTCCTTTGATATTCATCTGGCTCCAGTCCCGTTGTTGCTGCATATGAGCGAGTAGCCCACGAACATATCTGTCATCAACATCCTGCAGTTTCTTGCGCATGTTCATAGCCAGGTTTGTGATTTGTTTTAGCTCGTCTTTATCGAGACCCACCTCACTGGCTACAAGATCGACCCTTTTCTCGTGAACGTAATTGATTAGTTCGGATCGAGAAACAAGTACCATAGTAAGCAGGACCCCGATATAGTGCTCCGGCCAGGGTGGATGCATTCGGGAACGGAGGTTTGCAACAAATGCGACGGTGTAATCGTGATCATCCTTCAAAGCGAGTTCGGCAGGTTTCGTCTGCTGAAGACAGATGGATAGTAACGCTGTGAGCACGTCGTTGCTCGATATAAAAGCCCCGGGCTCTTTACTTAGCATGTTGTCTCCTTCGGGATGTGATAACAGCACAGAAGTGCAGATGTCTTTCAGGACTTTCACCTTGCGGATAGGAATTCGGAATCGAAACGTATTCAACTCCGACGCCATTGACGTAGTGGCTGTGGACCACGTATTCGAATCCAGACAATGGAAGGTCTCCTCGGGAGTGTATGTCTCCCAGAATGTATTTAACGGTCGTTTTTCTGCGGTAGTACTGGGCGAGGCTAGCTGACGGCGCAATTCAAACTCGAACCGTTGAGGTCCCACATGCTTCTGTTCATTTCGGCAGCACTCTGACAGCAGTTCCAGAATATTCCCGATCCCTGTGCCGTCTGCAGCCATGTGGTTGAAACTGAGGGATAGGATAATGCCATCGACCATGACATTCGCAACGAAGCGCAGTATGGGCTGGCTTTCTTGGGGATCCATCACCGTTAGCAAAGGGGCATATCGCTCGGAATATTGCAGGTCTTCGGCCCCAGTACAAGATGCAGTGGCTAGCATTGACCGGACAGATTCATTTAAGTAATGTCTGATTTGCAGCATAGGTATGGACTGGGACTTGGCTGACGGAGGCTGGATGCAGTGGACATTGTCATGGTTCTCATCGTGGGAGGGCGCCACATCTTTTGCTAGGAACGGAAGTTGATTGATCAAGGTTGTGAGACCCTTCTGGATCGACTCAACGCCGGCCTGTGGATTTTTCAGGAGGAAAGAAAGATAGAAAGTGAAATACACCTTTGGGACTGTGTGATCCACTGGCGAGAGGAGCTGAGATGATGAGTCAGGGAGAGTCATTTGCCTGGTGGATTTCTTGGGTGGAGGAAGAGTGAAAGTACATACACACGATTGCAGATGGGTGGTACGCCCCTGAGCAGATAAAGGGTCAAATGAGCGTCGTGACTTTTCTTGTCACTGGTGGAATGATGGACGTACTTTGGTTCAGGCCGGTCCCATGACATTATTAAGACGTGATCAGAGCACATGCTATCTATCTACCTTGTGAAAAAGGTTACAGTTGTTGTTATAGCCGACTAGCTTTTGAATACATCGTGTCTGAGGAATCTGCATAAACATGAGAATAGTAAATTGACCGATATATAGAATGTTCCTCTGTCATGGAACAAAGCCATGTGCAGCCTGTAGAGCAATTCCTTGCGCATATTTGGCTATTGGCACGCAACGCTATTTTCATGGTCAATATGATCAGTGTATCAGTAGAACAATATTACTGCTTGCGTATCAGAACCCCGAGTTATTATCGACCATTGTCACAATTTTACTGAAATAGTGAGTATATCAGTGTTACTTGGAGCTTGAGACACGAGTAGCACTGGCCTATGCGCTAGTTTAAAAAATCTGTTCTGCAGCTTCGTCCGGAATCCTGTTTCAAGTCTGGATTTGACTTCGATGTAAACCTTATCAATTTCTTGGGCAGCTTAAAGGGTAAGATTGACCTCGTTCAATGGGGATGTGACTGGGAACTCCCTGCTTTTATGTATTTACATGAGACTCCGAGAAGTAATGATGCTCGGGAAAACATTAATATAGTATAATTGATCAGCCAGTGCAAATGCGTCAAATACGTACATAGTATGGCTCCATAGCAAGTGCCGTGAGAGCAGATTTCTTTTTGAATAAAACCTTATCCATAAACTGTGCTCCCTTAATGTGCCAGTTCCACGGATCTTCCTGACAGAGACAGGATTTAACAGCAAGGCTTGCTGATTTTATCAGAACCTGATTTGGGATCTCGGGTATTACGTTCCGCTAATCTTTTGTGCTTGGAAAGTTGGGTCTGAGTTATGTATTATTCGAGAAATATAAATATATGCAAGCTAAAAGGAAATATAAGGAATGGTTCCAAGTGTTTCCGGCCTAGATTCCTCACCAATTCAAGCCCCAAAAAGGACGAAAAAGAATGGTATACGGAGATACCATATATTACAGTTTTCCCCAGGCCGAAATGTTAGGCAAGGGGACTCACATTTCGGGTATCATCTGGCAGTAAAAATAAAGAAAAGCCAGGATGGCTGAGAATTAATATCCGCCATGAAGAATAAGGAGAGATCACTACCACCCAAAGATCTCTCCTACACTCAATGTGCTCCACCGCACACCAGCCACAGAGAAAATGATGAGAACAATGTCCACGACTCCTAGCACAATGGCTCCCATCATGAACCGAGGGCTGAAGATCCGGTACAGCATGAGATGCCGGCGGAGATGGCCAGCCCACATGGTAGTGGCCAGGTTAATAGTCGCAAAGTAGAGGATGTAGGTGCACGCGGCTCGCACAACGTCAGAGAGGAGTCTAATCGAAGGGTTGCTGGACTTCGGGGAGGAGGATGACTGATCGCTGAGTTGAAGAGGGCGTTTCCAGAGGACGGTGAGAGGGACGGCAATTGCAGTAAGAATCTGTGCGCCAAATGTATTGAGGATTACGACGATGGGGGACCATGGGTATTGAACGGAGGAGAGAGGGATAAAGGCAGTCTCCCACTGGATGCTACTCAGAGTAGCCTGATGACCAGTTTTGAAGTAGTAGAAGGAGCCGAGAAGAGCCAAAACGATCGGCCCAATGGCTGAATTGCCAAGGACCAGACCATTCGTATCCAGAATCTCTAGCAGTGAGAGAATTTGCCAAAGCAAAAGTCCCATGGCACCCTGACCCATGGGTTTCTGCAGAAGGATGATTCCCAAACAGAAATTAACAACGAGGAGGAAGTACCGAGTCCCATGTACGTTGCCAAACCCGAGGATCGTAACGGTGGTGCGTCCTGCTGGCTGGGGTGGCGCCAGGTTCTTGCCTTTGCTTTCCGGTTCCGCATTCCCTTGGCTGACATTAATGCTAATGCAAGGCTTAGAATAGATGAATGCTGTTGTCCCCGCAGCAAATGCGAGAGCTAGCACGAGCTGAGCCAAGAACACTCTAACTGACTTCAAAGTCTCCTTGCTCAAGGGCAGCCACTCGCCATCATCAGCCCCCTCAAGCACCCAAAAGACGGAGGTTATGAACAGCCCCAATCGGAAACCCAAGCCAATCCAGAGAGTAGCGGCACCTTCGTAGGACTTGGATCCGGCATAAAATGACCGTACAACAGTGGGAAGGATAAGCGCCACAAGGAATGGTACAGCAAGCTGCCAGGGTGCAGAAGTCGAAGAAGTGGCAGACGCGTAATAGGTCGAACGGCAGAAAGGCATCTGCTCCTCGCGACACAGGCGAGAAAAGGACGCGATCCTTCCGAGGATGACGAAGAGGATGGAGTGATAGACGCCCAGAACCCTGTCGGCGGTCGATTTCTGTCGCATCGAGGATACACCAGCAAGAACACCGAAGGTGGAGAGGAAAAATAGGAGAATCTCATCCTCCCAGATTGTATAGGAGTTGGAGGCGAATCCGATGGACTGCGTGATCGTGAAGGTAACAGCCAACCAGCCCCACAGACTGCTTGGTAGCGGCACTGACACACCGGCTGACCCGCCAAAAATGGTCCATGACGCGCCAACTATGCTTCCCACGGCGGCCAACAGAGCAGATGATTCGGCGACTGGCATCTCCGCTACGCCCGAGAACGACAGAAAGGCACCCACGACAACACCGACAGCAGAGCCTGCTCCAACAAGGGTAAGAAGAGGCTTGGTAATATCGGTCTGATCGGCTTTGAGGCTTCGTGCATAGAACACCAGCAAGACAATGCCAGCAAAAAGGACTGCAACACCTTGGAGCATGCTCGGTACGTCAAATTTAGCCCACAAAGAACGACAAAGCTGGAGAGTGTGTCTCTGGTATTCCTTGTAGGACTCAGAAATGGAAAGCAAAGTTGCCTGGCTGGGCCGGCCGATCCTCGGAAGCTTCTGCCAGCTATTTTCCGCCGCCCTCCAGAGGTCCTCGGACTGGAATTGGTGGCTGTCCTCAATACCTCGCGATGCTGTGTACTCCCGTTGATACCTCTTAATCTGAGCGGAAGTCAACCGGTTGACCGACATCACGTTCTTCCAATCGTTCCCCTTGGGCCCAATGAAAGCCTCCTCGATCGGCGAGCCGAGGTTGTTGAAAGGAATAGGCATTCCGAGAAGAAGAGACAGCGTGGGCACAAGGTCGATCTGAGGCACAAAGCGCTCGCGAGCGAGCATGGGAGGCCTGGCTGTTTCAGCACTTGTACGGCCGAAGATGCCCCTTTTAGAGTACATCCATAGAGCGGCATCGACTTCATCATTAGATTCACCGCCGTGGTCACCCTTGGAGTCCATGCCATGATCACCCATCACCACCAACAGCGTTTTGTCGTCAAGTTTGGTGATGATTTCGCGGATGACCCGATCCATCTCATCGAGTTTTGCAGCCATAGCTTGATGATTCGGGCCATATCGGTGGCCGGCGTGATCGACACCAAGATAGTGACCGAAGATAACATCCCATTTCGTAGAATTTTCAGGATGTAGAAGCGGGAGGAGATTTGTAGTCACGCCGTTGTCAACGGTATGCAAGTCCCAGACATTGAATGAATCAAATGCGCGAGTTAGATTAGGATCGAAGTAGCCGGGGAAAAGTGCGTGCCAGGTGTCATCCCCAAGCTGAACCAGAGTCTTGCCTGCGGCGCGCAATTGCGCAACTAAATTGTCTTCATCAATTGCCGTCCCAGCAAAGTTAGAACCAGCGTCAATGAACGTGGGTAGCGTTCCGGTCGTGAGTCCCTTCAGCCTCTGCAGTGTCGTCGTGGGCGGATCCGCAATGAAAGGAAGCAAAAAGGCATTTTCGGGGGTATTGACAGCTGTCTCATACAGGACGGGAAGGCGATCATGGAACAGTTGTGCCGACTCACCCTCTGCGCTCGGCGCAAAGGGTACCGTAAAATCGTAGCGCAGGGCATCGATGATGATCACAACGGCCTTGTCGAACGACTTCTGGTGCCAACACCCATCGACTTTCTTGCCTACAGTCGCTGCCTCGTCGAAAGGGAGTACGTCGCAGGACGACTTGTTCTCCAACACCATTCGAGTTAGAAGGAATCCTTTAGTGAAAAAGAATATCCCGACAACATGCAAGAACCTAAGGAACCACGGATAAATTAGAAAAATCGGGTCCCCGAAGAAGAAGCGGCTTGGGCGCCGAGACACAATCATACAATATCCATCCTAGTACACCTAGCACACCTAGATGCTTTAATTTGAATTCACTTTCCAAGCCTTGGATATATTTGTCTTGTGCACTACCCCCAGCCAATGCCTTTGGTACTTGTGGTTTCCGATGTTCATTGCGTTCCGGAGATCGTGACAAGGCCGAACCTGTGTTTCGCGAGTCGGACAGGGTCGGGCTTTCAAGCCCTGGGCCCCCATTAGTGACGGATACCATGAGAGAAGTGTTGCAATTGAATAGACTAAGTCGTAGCTGGTCCAAGAAGAGCGAAAACGGAGGGGTCTCGCCGAGCGCAAATGCCAGGTCCCTCACTGCGATGGGGCAGGCCTTCGGCCACTGTAGCTGTCGAGCTGGCGTTGAAGAAGAAAGAAGACGTTGTGAGAATCGAGATGTTAGAGGGTTCAGCGGCCGGAGAGCGAGCTCATCGAATTGAAAAGGAGGCGAGCCTAGATCGTAGCTTTTCCTTTTTCCTAAATTTTTCTTTTTCGCCCACCGTGGAGCTGTCGTGCGGGTTGTCCGGGAACTGTATTCAACAGAGCACAGACATAGTTACAGTAACAGCTCCATTAGACGTGGGGAAGCATCAATTCTAGGATAAGAGATAGGCCATCCAAGGACAGCCACGACAAGAAGCACTGAAGAGAGGTGAGAGGAACAGTTGGGGATGTGGAAGCCGTAGGTCTCCTGGGACCGCGCCGGAAGATGCGCTCCGCTCAAGAGGGAGTCGGCGTTTTCGGCATCCCAGCCCAGGAATTCGGACATCGTCATTGGTTGAAGCGGCTCGGAACATTTTGAACCCTGAGGAAGTGGGACCTTACCGCTTCGGGACAGCCACGCCATTAGGTAAATCCACAGGAGACTAACTAATTAGTTAGTAGCTAGCAGAGCTAACTAATAATAACTAGGGAGTTGGAAATGATTTCCACGAGGATTAGGTGATGATCATGTTCGTGAAGTGTAATATATATCTAGATACAGGACGTTGAAAAGGAGATGAGGTAATATCTACAGCCGTGGAATGAAATGAGACACAGCATCACGCTAAACACAAATCATCGCCCGCTTTCATCATTACCATAGGGGAGAAAAATATTGAAACACATACCCCGAATACATTGATCACAGGAACTTAGCCACCGCACCGCCGATGTTCTTCAAATCCAAGAGGAACGTGTCATGTCCGAAAAGCGAAACGTCCTCTCCAAGTTCAATGTGCTCGACGTTCTTGTTTCCGGTAGCCCGAAGGGTCTGGGCGATTTCTCGCTGCTGCCAAGCCGGAAAAAGGATATCACTGGCAACGCCCATGACCAAGACCGGGTGGTTCTTGAGCGGCGCAAGGCCGGCGACAAGATCCTGCGGGGGCGCATCTGTTCCAAGATCCCCGCCACCCACAGCCTGGTCCATAGCAGGAGCGGATGCGGTTACAGAGGGCTGCTCCTCGTACGGTGCCTCTGGGAGAGTCAGACTGCATGCAATGTTGCTCTCGCGCAGGGCCTTTCCGCCATCAGCAATTTTAGCCTCAAATTCGGCTCTTCGAGCTTTCGTCTGGGTTTGATGAGCATGACCGAGATCAAACAGATCCATGGCCTTGGAGATGTATAGAAGACTATTAGGATCATATTCCAGGCAGAACTTCTCTCCTGCGTGATCCAGGTAGGTCTCAATCAGGAAATCCGGGCACAGAGCAGGTTGCTTGTTAGGATCTGCGCGTTTGCGTCCGAACCGCATTTCCCACTCCGGACCGCTTCTGTATGTCACGGTTGCGATTTCTCTCGCAAGTTTCATTCCAGAATGTGGAGGGATGGAATCATAGTAGAAACCACGGGCCCATTTCGGGTCCATCATTAGGACTTGTCGCTGAGTGTGCCGCATGGCAATGCTGTAGGGATGGCTTCGCGCACAACCACTGATACTGATAATCTTGCCAACCTTCTCAGGGAAAAGAACACCGGCAGCAAGACTCTGCATACCACCCATGCTAGATCCAACAGAGGCGTAAAGCTTGCTAATGCCAAGGGAGTCCAGGAGACAAAACTGTGCCCGCACCATGTCGTCTATCGTAAGAATAGGGAACCGAGTAGCGTATCGCTTTCCATCAGAGGGGTCAATCGACGAAGGCCCAGTACTACCATAGCATCCACCAACAACATTGGTGCAGATGACAAAGTATTTATCTGTATCTAAAGGCTTGCCGGGTCCGATGAACTTCTCCCACCAGCCGGGCTTGGGGTTGGCATCCGTGCTATGGGCGTGACTGGATGCCGACAGACCCGTGTGCAGTAAGATAGCATTCGACTTGTCAGAGTTCAATTGGCCCCAGGATTCGTAGGCGATGTCAAACTCTGGAAGTATACCTCCCCAATCAAGCAGTAACGGTTGTTCGCAGTGGAATTTTTGGTGGTGACCAGTGGTATATGAAGGTTCGGGGCCTGACTGGAGAGATCGTGCGGAGAGCTGGGCAGACTTTGCATCCTGCGCATCGAGACACGGAAAGGACATGGCGGGGTTAGACGAGTCCCTCGCAGCGGCATTGGAGGCTGGGACAGATTGTGACTTTTGCGATCGGGTAGTATGCAGCGCCCTGTATGTTGCCGGACATGATGGCGATAAGGAGGCTTGGATTCGATGACTCCCGGTAATTGTAGACAAGCTTGTATGCTGATTGAAAAGCCGAGTAGCTCTTAGAGCTCTTGGGAGCGTGCGGCCTGCGGCTGATGGATTCATCATGGGCCAACAGCAACTATAGGACCAACGAAGAAGAGACGACGCGGACAAATGCCAGTAGAGGCAGTACTTGGGTTAATAATTTATCTTCGGCGTTATTGCGGAGGCGGAGCACGTGGCAGCCTGAGGCAGATAGTACAGCGGCTTCCCATGGCGTCATCTTTATAGCTTCTGATTGGTTCATCATGCCAAGTAGCGCATTAGTCATACAGTCTGTTCCAGTCTAGAATTACTCATTAAGCACGTCTCAATGTTACAGAAGACAGCATGAAGGACTATTCCAGGACCTTCTGTTGCCTCCTTGCCGAAATCTCACATGAAGAGAAATAGAGCTTACAGGATTCAATTATTACGGTGCGATGAATGCTTGCGCAGGAAGAGACAAGGAAAGTAGTACCACGGAGGTTGGAAAGCGAGTTTCCGGGAGACGCTTGATTATGACCCTTACGGTCGTTTCCTCTCCTTCTTTAAGGGAGAGAATCCGCCGAACCCACCGAAGCCACGAGTGGGCCCACTTTGGGCAGTCTGTAAGCTGGTGGTGTGACCCGTACTCAGACCAATCTTCCTCCCCGGTTTGCGAATATTCTCAGGCTCTAGCTCTTCTTCCTCATCCAATATAGTTTTACTCTGCGCCCCTAATTTGCGGCGTTTCGTCCGGACCTGCGGTTGACCGGCAACAAGAGCGCCAATGGATCCGATATCACTGTCATCGTCAATATCATCTAGTATCAGACCGCTCCCCTTTTTAGGATTCATTGCCGGCTTAGGTTTATCCAAGCGCTGCTTGGCCTGGATAGGGCGGCGTTCGCGTGGCTCAGCTTCAGATTGCTTGACGTGTAATTTGTCCTCGAGGTATGAAGTCTCGAGAGCAGACTCATCATCGCTGTTGAGATGACCAGCACCTCCACTATTGTCTGGTCCATCGCCAGAGGTATCCTGGTTTCCATTGGTGCGATTGAGAAATGGCGTGATGGAGAAGGCAGATTTCTGGCCAGGAAGCGCAGTAGGTTGCCGTTTTCCTTCCTTGACACGGACTGCTCCTGGCGTCGCGATATCCAATCCAGGGTCGAACCTGGATGAGAAGTCTTTGAGGGGAACCTTTCTCGTTTGTTCTACAGGACCACTGCTTTTGCCGTTGTCAAATCGGCTGTTGGTCTGGCTGCTAGTCTGAGCTTGGCGCAACTGATCTTTTAGGGTCCGTAACATCCTGTTCAAAGAATCGACTTTGTCTTCCAGGGCAGCTTTCTCCGACTGCCATGTGTTATTTGGTTGTTGAGTAGCAGACACTTTTCGAGCCTCTGCTGCAATTTGTTTGCGTTGCTCTTCAAGCTTCGCAGTCAAGACAGATATCTCATCTGCTTGCTGTGCTCCCTGGGCCATGGTGGACCTGTGTGCCCTCTTCTCGTTCTCAAATTCCACCTTAAGTGTATTCAAATGACGGGTAAGCTCCTGTTTCTCAGTAACCAGTGCTTGGAAGGAATTCTCCTGCAATTGTAGTCTGCGGACCTCGGACTGCATATTAGCCAGCTCCTTGGTGAGGCGTAGCTTTTCGGTCACAAGGGTTCTAGATTCCGCGGTTGTGCTATTCATCGATGCCAATTCGCGCTATAAGATCCTGGTCAGTAAAGGCTATTCTCGAAAACGGAGGGCGCTCTCATACTCGAAGGCTCTCAATTTCGTGAGTTGCAGTGTGAGCTGAGCTCTGCAACTGATCACGTTCCTGGATGGCATCTTGCAGCAAATTACGAATATCCGACTCGGTATCTCTAGCTCGTGCTAAATCTTGTTTATATTGTTTCAATTGCAGTTGTAGGTTTTCGTTATCAAATTGCAAGAGAAGCTGGTCAACGTGAAGGATGCGGCGCCTTTCCTCATCTATGAGTTGTGCTGTCTTTCCAAGTGTTTTGTCATATTCGCGCTCGAAGAACGCTGTTTTGAGGGCCATTTGGCACTGCGCGTGTTAGCTCACGCTGTTGTTGCATTAGGCAATGTAGGATAGGGGTAGTGTACACACATCCTCTATTGTATAGTCTGCCCCATTATTGACAAGCTCCATGGTGATAGTCGATCCGGGAGACCGGGAGAGATTGTGAAGGAGTGGATGCCGGTCTAGTAATGTGGTATAGGCAGAAGATCTTTTGATAGAGTACTGTGTAGTTAATGCGGTCGCGGCAAGTCAACAAGCGCGATAAACAAACATGAACAAACATGGACAAACAGAGCCTCCTCCCCGCTTTCAGCCGCAGGGCGCGGAACAATGCACGGTCCGGCGCCAGGCAAACAGGGTGAACCATGATGTCACGTGCCTGGATAAGCGTCATCAATGCACCTGCCGAGTGAGAACTCAAGCGACGATTCGAGGCCAGTACGGTAGAATGTTTGAGGCATATTCTGAAGGTGAAAGGTGTCGTTTTGTGTCTAACATCCTATGATGGCGAGTCGTGGGCCCACTACTCGCTCCAGAAGAGCGGGAGCTGCTTCGAACCATTCTCGGCGGCAGCGCGAAGACCAGGATCATGAAATTCCAGCGGTCTACCGAGAAATGCTGGCTGAGGCTGAAATCAGAGAGACCTCCAGGCCAGATGATAGCCAACTACCCAAAAGAAGGAGGATTACCCGTCCCAATCCTGTATCTGACTCCCAGCTTGTACATCAAGATGCTGCTATCACCTCAGAAGCCAGCCATTCTACAGTTCAACCTGTGCAAACGGTGTATGATTCGCCATCATCATCCGAAGAATCAGGTATGGAGTGGGAAGAGGTTGATATTCAGCAAGCTCCGCAGACTAGTCAAGCGGATGATACCTCGATTCAGGTCACACTGGGTCGGCCCGAGGATCAGAAGCGCAAGGTAGTTGCTAAGCGAAGGGGGATCACCACTGCTGAAAAGCAGTTGAGATTAAGCATCCATAAAGTTCATCTACTTTGCCTTCTACGCCATGTGCAGATACGCAATCTTTGGTGCAATGATGAGGAATTACAGGTACGTCCGATTCCGATTCAGCCACCTCTATCGGGTAAATAGGCATACATGGAGTATCTAAAAGAGAACATGTGGGAAAGCAGCAAATGGAAAGGAGACTGAATACACCACAATCGATAGGGAACTAGTCTTTTCCTGACTTTCTTCTCGTTATACAGGGCTTTCTCAAACGGACATTGCCGAAAAATATCATCTCACTGTTGCATCCGTCCGAGAACAGGCCGCAACAGATCAGGTCAACAACCTTCGTTGACGGGCTGAACCAAGCTAGTGATATATTCAATAGAAGGTTTAAGGTAACCAAGCCAGGGCTGAAACGACCTTTGTGGATAGACGATCCTGATGGCGTCAGACAACGAGTGGTAAAATAACTTCGGTGTTGTATATGTCGCAGAAGTATCTGACTGCTGTTAGGAATCTATAATAAGTGATGCCGAGGTCTTCCTCTCAAGGAAGGATTTCATCAAACAAGCGCGAACAATGCAAGGTTCTCGTGACTTTGGCGCCCAGTTATTCTGTGCTTTGTTACGGTCCGTGGGCGTTGAAGCAAGACTTGTCTGCTCACTGCAGCCATTATCATTTCGGGACAAATTCAAGGATACGGCAACTCCTGCTCCAGTGTCTAAATCTTCAGAAAATGTTACCCAACCAACTGCTGGAGAATCGCAAATGTCACAACGTTCGACTGTGAAAAGGCTAGCTCGACCACGCTTCACACCAGTCAGGCGCCCTGGAACTCCTACTCAAAGTAAGTTCGGCACCTATTGTCAATGCTAGCATGAAGCTGAGCATACCGAAGGTTCTCCCCGGCCTATCCGTGAATCATCGCATCCCATATTCTGGATTGAAGCCTTTAACGAAGCAGTCAATAAATGGATACCTGTCGATGCTTTGGTTACCAAGTCTATGGCAAAGCCTTCTAAATTCGAGCCTCCAGCAAACGATCCTTACAATCTTCTGAGCTACGTGGTAGCCTTTGAGGATGATGCTTCTGTTAGAGATGTCACTAGGCGCTATGCGAAGGCTTTCAACGCAAAAACTCACAAACACCGTGTGGATTCCATTGGGAATCATGTCAATTGGTGGAATAAAGTGCTGCGCTTTTATGAGAAGCCATTCTTGGAAGACCGGGACCAACTGGAGATCAGCGAGCTGACTGCCAAGACAGCCGCAGAGCCTATGCCCCGGAATATCCAAGACTTCAAGGACCATCCTGTCTATGCTCTTGAGAGGCATCTTCGGCGGAATGAGGTTGTCTTTCCCAAACGGGTGATTGGGCAGGTGAGCCTTGGTAAATCAGGGTCAAAGAATCAAGTATTGGAGCCCGTATATCGCCGATCAGATGTGCATACTCTACGTAGTGCAGATCGCTGGTATCGCCTGGGACGAGACATCAAGCCAGGTGAACAACCATTGAAGCGTGTCACATCAAGGAGGCCGCAGATGGGGAGGCTCAATGACGAGGAGGATGACTCCATCTCCGAGACACCTCTGTACGCTTATTATCAGACACAAGTGTATCAGCCTCCGCCAGTAGTTGGAGGGAGAATACCCAAGAATATGTATGGGAATCTGGATGTCTATGTACCTAGCATGGTACCTCTAGGCGGTGTCCATATCGCTCATCCAGATGCTCGTCAAGCTGCCAAGATTCTTGCTATTGACTATGCGGATGCTGTCACTGGTTTCAGCTTCAAGGGGCGCCATGGGACCGCGATACTGCAGGGAGTTGTTGTTGCCACTGAGTATCGGGAGGCACTTGAAGAAGTGCTGAATGGTCTGGAAGGAGAGAAGTTACAGGCCGAGTTAGATAGGAAGTCTGCCGAAACACTGCAGGCTTGGAAGCACTTAATGCTGAAAATGCGCATTGCAGAGAGAGTCAAAGGCTATGTTGTAGAAGGCGAGCGAGATGCAGATGAGCCGGAGACAAACGAAAACGTGGAGGACCCAGAAGAGTTCGGCGGCGGTTTTATTCCGGAGCCGGAGCAAGAGGCCAACAGTTCAGCTGCTGTGATGGACTGGATTGGTCCCTCTCAAGGGGGACCTTCAGGACCTACAGGCAGAGACATGTCTCTCTCGACTACAGAGACGGATATGCTCGGTGGGGGTTTCATTCCTGAAGAAAGCGCCGATCAGGTGTCTTCGCCTCAGCAAAGCAGCAACATCACAAGATTGCAAAGGAATAGCTCAGCACTTCCTCGATATGATCTGGTCGTCACTTCAAAGTTTGAACCTGCAGGTCAGGCAGCCCCGATTCAAAGCTTCATGGGTAAGCATTCAGGCTTGCTGCCAGACAGGACGAAAGAGGACTTGGGGCATATCACACCGCAGATTGCTCCTCAGAACTCAGAGGCAGCGATCCTCAGATCTACTACGACAATTCCGAGCTCTGCACATCCCCGGATCGTTGTACAAGCAGCTGATTCGCGCTCCCCAACCCCTGGCATCACCAGCCAAGAAACGCACAGCGACGAAGAGGCTTCTTTATTATCGCAAGACCCGGAAGATGATGATGCCATTCCGGAGTGGTTGATGTCCGATTAAATGTAGCATAGTTAGACCTCTTGAATTTATCATAACTGATACAAGGGAACTTCCCTTTCACAAGGCGATGCGTCTCGCCAGATAGCATGTTCATGTTCTTATGCCTGCAGTACTACATCCTCATAGGTTTTACAGCGTTTTGTGCGTTGCATGTTGCTTTCTTAATCAATATAATAATAGCCGTCACCGATTTTCTTAATTTAGTAGAAGAAGTTGAAGCGAAAGTTACTATACGCAAGATCACAGAGATCCGTGGATTCGTGTAGGAGTTTCATCAGCTATTGCATCGTACCTATCTCTCACTATGCATACCGTCTTCTCTTATTATTTTTGAAACTTCCCGAGCTACACTGGACCTATGAAGTGCAGAGGCATCAATGAGCCAATATCTATCAAACAGAAGGAATCAAACCTGTCTTTTTGTGGTGATTTTGATAACAGAGCACGCCATTCTGGAGATGGCAGTTAGAAAGGTGACGGCGACACTAAGGATGACGGAATAATCAAGTTGTCTTTCACCAAGGGTCCAGGCATGCATTAAAATGCCTTAGGCGTTTTAGTCATAGACAATATAATGAAATGGCTATAATTTAGTTGGATTAATCCTAATGTTTTAAAGATACATAATATATTTATGTGTTCACGCCAGAAGGCGAAGAAGAGGCCTAAGGACAAATAGTTAGGTGGACGGTGCATCGTCAGAAACCTCATGTATCCATACAACTAATTGATTGAAAGCACCCTGCTTCCATTCCAGTAAGCGATGCCTACTTCCTGAATCCTTCGCATCCTTCACCTATAGTTTCCTAACTCGTGTGGGTTAGTCTCTCCGCGCTCTCGAGTTAATCACCATCGGAGCTCCGGCCGTTATCGAACTATTGAAAGAGGGGGTTCCCCTCATTTGCTTATTGCAGTTGTCACCATTTCACTCTCATCCCTCTTGTGCAGTTTGGATTGTCCATCAGCGCTATCATTACCATCGTCATCTTTCACAATGTCGGGACATTCAAAGTTCACTCCTGAGTATGTATCCCCTTTAGTTATCTCGAACAATGACTGGAAGTACTAATCGCTAACCACTTTCTTGATAGATTATTGATCACTGCCCCAAGACCATCAGCAGCAGTACCGAACGATGAGGGGAAAGTAGCGCTCTATACTGTCTCAACATACGACCTCGACACCCACGCAGATTTCTCTGAGGCCAAGCTGCTCAACTTAGAAACCGGAGAGTCTACCCGGTACACCAATGATCCCAAGGAGTCTTCGTTTTGCTGGCTGTCTGGTACGTCGCTTCTTTGGCAAAGAGAAGGCAAAAACAACACCGAGTTATGGATTGGCGATGCGTATCACAAGACCAGGTATGATTGCCTTGTCCATGATGAAATTGATATTTCTAATACCAGTATCAGACCATATTTGGCGGGTACTATCGATGCTAAGCCAGGGAATTTAAAGACCAAAGCCTTGGACAACGGTGACATTGCACTGGTCTTCACAGCACCCGCAGATGCCGAACAAAATCTGCACAACACCCTCAAAGCAGAAAAGGCTCATACGACCGCCCGGGAATGGACTCATAGTCGACCCAAAAGATGGGACACGTACGTTGACCAATATAGATCGGTTATTTGGTATACAGTTCTGAAGCTTGACCTGGCTTCTAAGCAATGGCATCTCTCTACTAAGGGCCCTGTCAATGCTCTACGAGGAACAGGCCTAGTAGTACCCTTTTACTCCAACTCGCAAAGCTCCCCGGATCTCGACATCTCGTCTTATGGGATTGCCTTTGCAACAACAGAGCCAGGGGACACAGAATGGAGAAAATCGCAGAGTTCCTTATATTTTCTTCCACTGTCAACCTTTGAGGAGACCGAGTTACCTGCACTGAAGAAGATAAAGGTTCCCGATCATGCGGATATCGTAGCAACCCCGAGATTTGCGCCTCGGGACCCCGTGGTCGCTTTTCTAGTTGATCAGAATAACGAGGAGTGGTCGCACAAGAGTATTGTCTTGCTAAACACAGAGACATTGAGTATTGTCTCAATTCTTCGAACAGTCAGTTCATTCGGTCAAAGCCAGAACTGGGATGTCTTTCCAGACGACATTCTGTGGGCAAACGACGGTGCATCTTTGTATCTGACTGCAAACCATCAAGCAAAAGCTTGTGTGTTCCAAGTTACTCTCCCAACTACTATTGTTCAAGACAGAACACAGAGTGTGGAACCAGTGGCTTTGCAGATCCCTGGCTCCGTCTCATCACTGTATCAGCTGGGCCGGAGTTCCTCGGAGAATCGGTTACTGGCCACCTCTTCGTCATTTACAGATCAGGGATTGTTCACAATCGTGACTCCTCCTGTAGACAATGATTCTCAGTCTCAGACCAGCCGGGTCATCCACTCATCCTCCTCTCACGGAGCCTATTTCGGTATTTCGGACAAGCAAATTGAATCGATAACATTCCCTGGTGGACCGGATGGCAAGACTCCAGTCCAATGCTGGATTGTGAAGCCATCGTGGTACGACGTCACTTCAGAAGAGAAGCATCCTCTGTTCATTTTTATGCACGGCGGGCCCAGCTCCGCTAGCATGGACGCCTGGACCTGGCGCTGGAATACGGCCCTCCTAGCGGAACAAGGGTACATCGTCGCAATCCCCAACTTTACTGGATCCGACTCGTTCGGAGGAGAATTTGCACGAGCAGTCGCACTGCAGTGGGGAGGACACCCTTACCATGATATCGAGCGCTGTTTCAACTGGATCGAACAAAATCTGTCGACCAAGTGCGATGTTGATAGAGCTGTAGCCGCGGGTGGAAGCTACGGGGGATACCTGGCACTTTTCTTGGAAGGACAGCCTCTCGCCAAGCGGCTCAAAGCTCTGGTCAGCCACGACGGCATCTTCGACGTTGTTTCCGAGCTTCTGAGTGATGATCTGGGTCAAGTGCAGGAGCTCACGCGCTCCTTCGGTTCGCCGTACTTCTCGAATGCTCCGGATGCTGCCCGTGACGATCCCAGCGTAAAGGAGATCTGGCGACGGTATAACCCAGCGGAGTATCTCACTAATTGGTCGACGCCACTACTTCTGATCCATTCGGATCGAGATTTCCGGTGCCCTATTACGGCCGCATGGGCCGCTTATACCGTTTGTCGGATGAAAGGGATCGATACGCGGTTTTTGAACTTTCCTGACGAGAACCATTGGGTCCTGGGCAGGGAGAATAGTTTGGTCTGGTATCAGAATGTGATTGGATGGTGCAATAAATATGTGGGCATGGAGCATGGATTGGCGTTGCAGCCCGCTCGGAATGAGCCGCAGTGGCTGGGGAGAAGGGAAGCGGGGAGGGTGCTGGATGTTGATGCGTAGGAGCATGGTTCATGGATCGTTTTCTTCTTCAATGCAATTTGCTGCAGGTCTCCAGTGTGTACGGCCGATGTTGATAGCCCTTTTTACATACTAGTACTTCTCGTATGTTGCTAGCCTGAGGCATAAATAAGGCATCAACCAGACTGACCGCTTACCCGCGGCGCACAGGGTATGACGCCATGGCCCAGCAAGGCGTAGTGCGATCGCTCCATGTGATCACCGGCGAGACTAGCTGCATGTCCGACACCACTCGCTATACTCCTTCTGGATTGGAGCGCGTGATGGCTGTTCGAAGGAAAAGAGCAAACAAATCTATTTTAATTTTTTTCTCGTCGGGCTAGTCTGCTCCATGCCACACACACACTAAGAGGAGGGGACGAGCTGAAGACAGTCCCTCTGGATCTCTCTCTCCTTCCTTTGTCTTCATTAATGAGTTCGATGGTCTGATCATACAACAGATCTGATCAGCGTAAACCCCACCGCTCAGCAGCTGGGGACATCCGCTTTCTAGCTATCCACCTGATCCATTTGAGGAAAAGATCCAGACTCCCGCCCTAGCATCTATCTAGTGTAATAAACCCTGCGATCCCGCGAGCACGCCATCATGGAATCCTCTGATTTGACCGCGCCGTACGCCAGACAGGCCAACGTCTTATCTCCCACGCAACGATCTTCATCCCATTCGTCTCATCGTGAGCCACACCGCATGGCTGCCTTCGAAACGGTCACCGTGCCTGACCAGGGCCAATCGCAACCAGTCAACGAGGTCACCCCCATCGTGAGCAACTCTGACACATCCCGGCGCAACTATCATTCGACCGACGGTCTACGGAACAGGGACTCAGGATCAACAAACAACAACACGGTCTCACGGGATCCCGGTCAGCAGAACTCCCAGTGTGATTCGGAAGAACCGCGCGGCTCGTGGTATAGCCGGCTGGCGGAGAAATATGGAAGTTTGGAATTAGAGAATAAAGGCAGCGTGGCCCGGGACCATCTTGCTTTGGGTATGTTTCGCCTGCTGTTGCTTTTTTTGCTTTTTTCTTTTCTCGTCCGTATACGACCCAGCTAAACGGATCCCCTTGGATACCTCTAGAACGAACCTTTCTGGCATGGCTGCGGACATCGCTAGCCTTTGCGTCGATTGGCATTGCGGTAACCCAATTATTCCGTCTGAATAGTGCTGGGTCCAACGCAAACAGCGCCAACATGTCGGCTCATATGTCTCCCCTTTTGTCATCCGCTGCGTATGATCCCACTATAGGGGTAACATCTGCCTCATCACGGCTTCGGAGCATCGGTAAGCCGTTAGGGACTACTTTCATTGGAGTTGCAATTTTGATCCTACTGGTTGGATTTCATCGCTACTTTGAGAGTCAGTATTGGATAATCCGGGGCAAGTTTCCAGCTAGTCGTGGTAGTGTTGCTTTGACAGCATTTGTGGCTGCTGCTTTGATTGTTACTGCTTTTGTTGTGATCCTTGCTATTTCGCCCGGCGCGGTCGAAGTGTAAGGGATGGGTTCGGGAGAAGCAAGGGGTTCCACGTGTTCTATACCGTTTTTCTTGATGGTTTTGTATGTATTGAAGCGAGCGAAACAAGGTGTTTGGAGATGTTGTGTTGCTTATAGGTACATAGCAGTAATTAGGTGATGACCATGAATGGTCAGATGAACAAAAGAGCTACTCCACTATAGCAATCCAAATACCTTACCATGGTCTATGATGATTCTACGAAATCACATTACTCTCCTATGGAGTCAATTAACTTGTTACTGTCAAAGCTATAGCATCCCGTAGTAGGATCCCATCGAAGACAGACAAATCACCTGACACTTTATTGCCCTCAACATCTACATTACCACCTACATCAGACCAATAGTAGTGACTACACATACAAGAAGCCCAACTGCGAGTGAGACCTTTGTAGATTGTCTCTAACTCAGTTCAAAACTAAAAGGCTAAGACAACCCCCCCATTCGGGCAAACCTGATAGGCGGAATCCAGGGAAAACACCCATCACTGTCTTTAGCCTTCAGTGTCTGGGAAGAAAACCTGGACCGGGGTGGCACGACGCCATACATGACAATAGACATTAAGGAAATGATAACATGCTTCGCTGAATCGTCCCCACAAAAAAAGATAAGAAGGAAAAAGAGATAAAAGAGAAAATACAGGAAGATTGATCCCCAAAGTTTCTTTGATATCCTCCACTTGGGCCTTGAGTTCGCCCCCTCGGTTATAACATGCTGGTTCTTGTACGTCCCCACAGATATATAGAATAGATTCATGTTATACATGAATGAAGAGAAGCCCTTGTTTTCTTTGTTCCCTCCACTTGGTGTCCGTTTGATTTGGTGGTTGGGGATGCCTGTGGAGGTTAGTATGTATGTAGGTGGGTTAGTTGAGGGTAGGAGGTAGGTACTTACTGCCTTAGAAGGCTTCAAGCATCATGGAGTCGCCGTCGAAGTCGACGGAAGGGTAGATTATTGGGTAGCATGGTAGCTGAATCGGTTGGGTGACAGGTAGGTTTGTCGGGGTGGGGGCCATGTCGAGGATGTCGAACATGGGAGTATCCCCGTCGAAGTCTTTAGAGAATGGTCTCTTAGGGGCGGACTTATTGAGTGTGCCGCGTCGATATTGATGAGGTGTGTTGATGTTGTCGGTGTTGGCTTTACGGCCAGTGTTCGGATTATTCTTGGCTGGAGGAGGATTGGTAGGTTGTCTCTTTTGAGGTTGAGACTTGACAAATATGTCGGTCATGGAGATATCTCCATCGGAGTCACGATATGGTTTTCGGGGTGCTGGCTTGGAGATGCCAGAATTGGATTTGTAGTGAGGGTTGCCGGATGGTCTCTGGGACCGTGGGTTCGATGGCCCACTTTGATGGTTGTATGGTTGGTTTGGAGGGTGGTTTGGCTGCCTCTGATGATGAGGAGCGTTGGAGGAGGTATTGTTGGTACGGTTGAATGGTGGCGATGGCTTTGGTCCATTGGGTCTGAATGGACGAGGAGGGAATTGGCCCTTTTGATTGCGGGCACAGGTGTGGTAGAAGAAGTTGGAGGCGGGAGGAGCAGCCATTATGACTGGTTTAGAGAGAAGGATAGAGAGAGATAGGTGAGTTTGATAGGTAGAGATAGTAGAGGTGGGTAGAGATATATGGAGAGACGTTTACGGGTCTCTCGAGGAGTATGAGGTGGACGGATGATGTATGAGTATAGGTTATAGGAGAGATTTGTACGGATCTCCCGAGGAGTAGAGGGTAAATGTCGGTGCTTTGAGTATAGGAGAACAATAAAAGCAGATTTGTAGAGATGGTTTTCGTATCTCTAGAGTATGGAGGTGATTTCGGAGTTTGTAGTATAGGTATTTGTTAAAAGCAACGCAGAACAGTTAAAGCAGATTTGATCCCTTCACGTTTTGCATCGGGGATGAAGAGAGAAAGATTTCAGAATGGCCCTGGGAACTGGGGGGCTCTCTTTATACCCCCAGAATCTCCTTGAAAACTTTGTATACCTGAGTTCAGGATTACAATAGAGCGAAGTATAGATGCCTATAATAGAAAATGACGAGGAGTCTACCATGGATTCGACCAAGCTGTCACTCAGGAACGTGCTATTATTATCCCCTCCGCTAACAATAAGGTTACATAAAGTACATAGGGCTAGCCAATAGTATGATCAAATGGCTGGATGTGTCAAAAGAAGGTTTGAAAAATGTGTTGACCCCTGCTTGCCAATTTCGACCTGCCTGGCCTTTGCCCATTAATAGGGGCTAGACTCACCCAGTTGCGTCTCAGAACATTAAAGTAAAAGTGTACGGGTAAGTCTGGGGTAAGTCCGGGGTAACCTGGGGTTATAGATCCGGACTTATCACCATCTAACGATTCCACTTTGTCCCAACTCTGGCCTTCTTCCTAGGATGTTTCGTCGCGGTTCTGACCGAAGATGTACTTCCGTTAGATGTCAGACTGTCCCTCTTGCGTTTGTCTGCTTTCGAGGTGCCACGCCTTTTGCGTTGTTCCTCCTTGATCCTTAATCTTCGCTGTACTTCTTCTGAGATATCCTCGGTCTCCACTGACACGGGGGAAAAGCGCCTTATGTCTTCATCGGCTCCTGGAATAAACTCGTCGATACGCTTTCGTTTGCTAGAGTGCACAGCTAAAGACCTTGCAGTTAGGGGATCGTGGTCTTCCGCTGCTGTTGTCCCTCCGTCTTCTTCCGAGTCATGCATTTGGTGTGCATGACGTTTAAGTTGTTCTTTTTTCAGGTCCTTTCGACTGCTTGACGTCGACATGGATTCCGACGAACGAGTGTCCGACTCTGGAGCTGCTGTATTGAGCTCTATACTGGTGGTTACTATTCTTTGTACTAGGCTGTATTTCCGTACTATACCCGTCAGAGGAGCATTAGAAAAACTCACTTGGCACCTGCCAGAATGGTTAACCATAACATGGACAGAAGTAGGAAAGAACGAAGTAGCTACGACCTACCACTCGTTTCTTAAGAATATCAAACTGAGCAATCAATCTCTTAGTCTTATCAACCATGCTGGACACCAATTGCAGTTCCTCTCCGTGTGAGTGGAGTTGACTCTTCACCTGGTGCAGCATTTCCAGATGCGACGACAGAATGTTATCATGTTGTTTAGAGATCTGATATTGATAATAGACAGTGTAAGTCATCTACAGTGTTCCTGCATAGATAAATCGTAGCATCGCCGTTCAGAACAAGAGAATGGTGAGGCGTGATACATGCAGATGTCTATAGTAGGTACGCCGAGCACGGGAATGGTTCACACACCTCAGGCCACGAATGCTGGAATTGTTTGGTTTCTGGGGCCTTGCCACTTCCTCCATTATGTGATTCCTTATCTCGTTGCTCCATTTTTGGGGATTGAGTGGATTTATGGCTTGCTAATGGCATTGATGCAAATTTTGTCTCTAGAAGTGAGGTTGAATTAAAGCCGGTGTTACTGTTTTGGCGGTCGTGCCAAGGGGAAATTTACCCGTCCCCGTTTGGCGGCTGGCTTTTCCTTCCCTAATTTTTTCCCCCCTTACATGTCCTTCCTGTGGAATACAGAGCTCGATACTTTGAGAGTATCGGAGACTGAGTAATAGCTGCTGCTTCAGTGAAGGATCCGGTATTTCGCCATGTTACAACGATCGGATGGAGGGGCGAGTGTCATCAAATCACGTGATTATGTGATACGAGCCGACGAGAGGTACAATGCAGCGATCTTTTCTCTTGCTGCAATGTCACCTCTCTTCTCGTCCTAGAGACATATAGTGCTTCTAGTACTAGACCTCACTGCCATCACTAACTGTATTGTGGCAGACATCAGCCAATAGATGATCTTATAGCAGCATGAGCTTCGGAAGGAGACCGCGGCGGAACTCCGATGGTTCGGCTCAGCCCCCGCATTGTCCCCTCATCTCGTTTCTTATCTCTCTCTCTCTCTCCCTCTCTGATCTCTTGCTTCCCCGGAAAAATTTCCCCCGCCGATGCTTGCTGCACGTCTCTCCGCCCTTGAAATCTGGGGTCAGCTTGTCTCGCTCGGTCCCTCCGTTTCCTCATTCCTCCTTCCGCGGAAAAAGATCCAGCCTTATCCACCGTTCATGTCTCAACAGCAGAGTCCACCAGAAACTCCCGAGTCATTGGATCCATGGCCGCAGGGCTGGCAGCAAGAGGGGACAGTGCATTGTTCCCAGACACCCTGATTAATCCTCGGCGTCGCCCCTCTGACACGGATGACTCGATCCCTGCAAAACGCCCAAGAAGGGTGTCGGATTCCCCAGTCAAACCCTCCAATGGACCGCGTCAGAAGATCACGCGCGCCTGTGATCACTGCAAAGAAAAGAAGACGCGCTGTACGGGAACGCTTCCATGTGTCAGGTGCATGCGACTGGATCTGCCCTGTCGATATAATGCCGCTTACTCCCGGGGGTTGCCACCAGAGCCTCTCCCCGCACCGCCGTCAATAGCGGACGGCCACGCATACAGTCCCGGTGCCAAGAGAGGGCCCCAGGCAGACGGAAGCCTGGGACACCGCCGCTCATCATCCGCGCGACAGTCTCCTAGGGTACCTGTCGGTTCGCCTCAGCAATCTAAAGCTCGAAATGAGGTCTCCCAGCGCAATTCCCCTGACCCAGCGGTGACCGACTTCGAAGGCAATTATCTAGGACCGGCCTCGGGGGTCTCCTTTCTCAACCGAGTATGGCGTCGCCTACATCAGGATGAAGTACATGCCATTCCAGATGGCCTGGAGAATGAGTCCTCCCCCAGGAACACCTCGGTGTTCATGTTTGGTGACAAGCCATACTCAGACTACCGCGAGGTTACTTTCTCACTTCCCCCGTTTGATAAAGCGCAAGAGCTGGTAAGCATCTACTTTGACTTTTCGATGGTGACGTATCGATTTCTTCATCGGGGAATTGTAGAAGAGTGGCTCTGCCAGGTGTACCTAAACAACGTCTCCTCTGCAAACCCTCCAACGGGTCCCATGGTAGTGCGGACGGCCATCATCCTCATGATTTTTGCTGTCGGCACGCTCTATGAGGAGCAAAAACCGGACCGTTCGGTTGATGGGTGGTGTAGAAGGTAAGTTACTGACTGCCATGTCTTTCAGGTCTTTTTATACTGAGCCATCTCAGCGAGCAGTGGTATGCAGCCTCCAAATACATGACCTCCCTGGAATCGGGGCCCCCACGACTTGAGACCGTGCAGGCTAGGCTAGGTCAGTGCCTTTACTTGCTGTCTACTTCTAGAGCAAATGAATGCTGGTATTCATTTGGCACTGCTCTTCAGCTCGTAACGGCCCTGGGCCTGCATCGAAAATTCCCAGGTAGGCTACCTAAGTGTGGAAATACCTATCTGGATCGAGAGCTCCGCAAGCGTCTTCTCTGGAGCGCATATATGTTGGACAGGTATCTCAGCGTGATGTTCGGGAGGCCGCGATTATTACACGATGAAGACATCGATCAAGACCTCCCGGATGAAATCAATGATGAAGACATGCTGCAGGAGGACCCGGAGAGACGCACTGGGTCCGCCGATTGCATGATGATTGCGTCCATCCTACATTTCAAGTGCGTGCAATCTTCCTGTCTGTTTGCCGATACTGACAGCACAGGCTTGGTCGCATTCTGGGCGACATCTCTCGACAGCTCTACACAGTGAATCCATCGTCTCGGAGTCCACCACTTGAGACGGCTGCCCGGCTCACGTCCCGATTAGAGGAATGGAAAGCGACAGCCCCGCCACTTTTCAACGGAGTGCGCGCAACCAGCCTCATTCCCCCTCTTTGTAGGCAGAGCCAGGTGTTACAACTGGCTTACTCGCACGCGGTCATCCATGCGACCAGATCGTTTCTGCTGAACGACATGTCAGATCTGAGACGTAGGCCGTCAACCCCGCATCCCGTAGCGTCCAACCTCGTGCACAAATGTGTGGAAGCCGCTCAAGAGGTCATGGAACTGGTAGACGGCCTGGCCAAACAGAGCATCTTGATCCATTCATTCTGGTTCACGCACTACGTGTGCTTCTGCGCAATCACAGTGGTTTATATCTATATCATCCAACAACACCGCGAAACCAATCCAAAGACTTCATCTTCAGGCACCGGAGACGCCTCTTTGAGCTCTCTCTTCAGATTGGCAGAGACGTGCCAACAGCACTTGGCAGAGGCTACGCGTAAGAACTGTCCGAGCCGCCGCTACAGCATTATCCTAGAAGAGCTACGAAAGGAAGTCCACCAACAGATTGGGCCGGACGCCGACTGCTTGGTTGATTCGTCTGAGCAACAGCGGCTCAAACCTGCCACACGTCGGGATGAACTACCAACAGAAGCGCAGCAGATCGGTCTCAACAGCATCTATTCCCCTATTTCACTGGATAGCTCTGTGGCTTACTCGGGTAGTCTGCAACCGGCGGCAGATCTTGCAGCACAGCCGTTTGAACCTGATAGTGATATCGGATTCATTGAGAACTTGGAGGGATCAGTGTGGTGGACACAGTTGGACTCTTGGGTGAGTTTCCTATCATATCCTCTGTTGTCGACGCTTGCTCATATAACTCCTTTCGCGTTGACACAGGCATTTACCAATCTTCCCAGTGATCCTTTGACATTTGGGTTGTAATATATAGTAACTAGAATATTAGCATTAGATTTAACAGCTGTTAGTAGAAAACATGACATTGTATAAAAATAGAAAGAACTTATCTAAGCCAAGTTTAGATTCAATAGACCTTTTGATAGAAACATAAAAAAACGTTAGAAGAATATTGATGATTCTTCAAAAGGTTTTGCAATCTCATTATCTGATAACTTTAACTGACGGCATCCGAAATTTGGCTTTCCCCCCGCATCGGGACTGGCCGAAAGTAATTTCCAGCGCCAACCGTGGGCAATGAATGTCATATTCACGATAAAGGTTGTTTCGAAGTTTTGCTGTCCAATATCAGTCTTACAATCATGGCAATATCTCAACGTTTTGACGATAAAATGACTAACTCGTCGTGCTCCAATGCTGGGGCCTTCCCATTGGTGATTGAGACTAGCTCCAATCTCGTCATCGACTCTGCCGCTTGCGAAAGCCATCTTTCAGCGGTTCTGGCCGCCCTCTTATTCCTTCTTTGCGAACGTTCTCATGCATCACGGCATTTCTATGACCTAATATAGCGCAACATACAACAGACTATGGTTGCTTCGCTTAAGAGAAAATTCTGGCTTAAGAAAATGGCGTGTTCTTGCAGGCCGTACATAACCTTCGCGAGCCGCCGTCTTTTCTTCTACCTCTCGCTTTAACGTGTCTTCGAACAATCCCATCATTAAACTCAGAATTTATCTCAGTTTACTATGGCTGACGCTGAGATTGGAAGTGGCGCCAAAGCGCCACTCAAACGAGTGTGGTACCGCACTTCACTCTTCAATGCCTGCGTGATCGGCGCTGTGGGCTTCCTCGCCCCCGGGCTATGGAACGCCATGAACTCCCTCGGAGCCGGAGGCGAGGAGAAGCCCTTCCTGGTGAACGCCGCCAATGCACTTGTTTTCGGGCTGATGGGTATTTTCTGCATCTTCGGCGCGCCCATTGCCAACCGCATCGGACTGAAATGGGCCCTTCTCCTCGGCGCCGCCGGCTACCCCGTCTACGCAGCCGGTCTCTACACCAACAACCGGTTCGGCAACGTCTGGCTTGTTCTGGTCGGTGCCGTGGCATGCGGCATCTCCGCAGGACTCTTCTGGGCCAGTGAAGGCGCCATCGCCATTGGATACCCAGAGCCATCGAAACGAGCCCGATACCTCAATATCTGGGTATGGTGGCGCACCCTCGGACCCATTATCGGGAATTCGATTGTCCTAGCCCTCAACATCAAGAACCAGAACAAAGGAAGTGTGGGATACTCTACCTACATTGTCTTTATCGTTCTACAATGTCTGGCTGTCCCCGTTGCGTTACTTCTCACCCCGCCCGACAAAGTCCAACGCGCCGATGGCTCTCCAGTCATCCTTCGGGTCGAGGACTCCTGGAAGGCAGAATTTCAAGCACTCTGGAAAACATGCAAAAACCGCACCGTCATCCTTCTGCTCCCAATCTTCTGGGCTGTCTACTTCAATGAATACTCGGGTAACTTCGAAACGTATTACTTTGGAGTGCGAGCTCGTGCGCTTATCGCGTTCCTCTCCGACTGGGTTACGATTCTCGCCTCGCAGATCATCTCTCACTGGCTGGATTGGAAGCGTGTCGACGCTAAGAAACGTCTCACGTACGGCTGGTACTGGGTGATCATTGTGCATGTGACGGCGTATATTCTTGGCTGGGTCGTGCAGGAGCAATATACATCCGCCCATAAAAAGAACCCTGATTTGGGGACAATGGATTATACCAGTCCTGGATTCGCTAAGGGCGCGTTTGTCCTCTTCATGTGGACCTTTGCTCAGCAGACGGGCCAGAATTGGTTGTATTATTTGGTGGGAAGCATGACGGATAATATCGCCGAGTTGACCAGGTTGACGGGTGTGTTGCGCGGGCAGGAGAGTTTTGGTGAGGCAGTTTCTTATGGGCTGAACACGAGGGATTGGTATGGTGGACGGGTGCCCATGGCTGTGAATACTATTCTGCTGGGTAAGTTGGGTCGAATACTTGAATCTCGAAAATTTACTAACTTTCATTTTCTAGGACTGTGTGTTATTCCGACATGGATCGTTGTGAGGAATCATAATATGGAACCGACAGGCGAAAGGGAATTGGAGGTGGATCAACGCCCCGTCGTGGACGAGAAGGGGGTGGTTGATTTGGAGGTGAAGGAAACAGGAGTTCATTGATCTATTTATAGCAGATCAGATTAGATGAACGGAAGAAATGTCTTTGGCTATACTATATCCACTAATTTGCAAAGCATTATTACCCTGACAGTGTAGTCCTGTGAGGAGAGATAGATCGGAGGAAATGTCGGCCAACGGCCGGGTCAAGTAACGGACCCAGCCCCGGGTTTGTACTCAGGGGCCGAAGCCGATCCTTCCTCCGCTTGCTTACGTCCTGTTCTCCACAGTGTCTGTCACACATAGATGATGGATGGACCCTGAACCTCCTATTCGATAGTATCTTCTCGATATGCATTGCGTGCCGGTCCATCTACCGGTCCGTTTGAACTACAAGCGGCAAACCCGCAGGGTTGATCTTAATTTCCCCAACTCAACGAACGTCAGACATGTCGGCTAATCTGCCGGCCAATTGGCCGGGCCTTGATATATTAAAAGCAATCCCGACCAAGGACCCTTAACAACTAGAGAATGTCACAGAAGCAGAGATAAACATTGCATCTTAATCGAGTTCCTAAGTATGAGATTAACACTACCGATAGTGTTCTCCTCGTTGGCGGTGGCATCAACCGCTCGCCATGGAGAATCATCCCGAGTCTTCAACCGTGACACATCTTCATTCATCCATCCAGGCCTCCTCCACACGGCCACAGATTTCTCACGCATCGCCTCAAAAGTATCCAGCAACACCGAACCATGGCTAACAGGCTGGTACAAACTCACCAACAGCTCCAACATCAACCTGGACTACACGCCATCCCCAAAGACAATCGTCTATCGCGGCGCAGACGGCACCCACACAGAGAACTATCCCTCCCTGTACAAAGACATCGCAGCCGCCTACGCCATGGCCATCTACTGGAAAGTGACCGGCAACACGAGCTACGCCGACGTGGTCGTGAACATCCTCGATGAATGGAGCTCCACCCTAACCGAAATCTCCGGCACAACTGACATGTACCTCGCCGCAGGCATCTACGGGTACGAATTCGCCAATGTTGCCGAGATCATGCGCACGTATTCCGCATGGCCCAGTGCGAATCTGACCCGCTTTGCGGATATGATGGTCGATGTGTTCTATCCCCTTAATCATGATTTCTTGCAGAATCATCATGGCGCGGCTGTTGATCATTACTGGGCGAATTGGGATTTGTGTAATATCGCCTCGGTTCTGTCCATTGGGGTGTTGACCGATAACGAAACCATGTTCGATGAGGGGTTGACTTATTTCAAGTCCGGAGCTGGGAATGGCCAGATTGAAAAGGCGATCTGGAAGCTGTATCAGGTTGATGGGGAGTCCTTGGGTCAGGGCCAGGAGGCCGGGCGGGATCAGGGCCACTCGATGTTGGATTTCGCCCTGCTTGGCCCTATCGCCCAGACGGCATACAATCAGGGAACGGACCTGTTTGAATATCTGGATAATCGCATTCTGGCTGGGTGAGTTACCTCCCATTCTTATACTTGATCATTACATTTTCCCTATACCCTTATCCCCAAACCTCTCAACATGGAACATACCGAAAATATAGAGAACTAACCAATCGCAAGAGCGGAATACGTCGCCAAATACAACCTCGGCAATGACGTTCCCTACACGACCTACAACAACAGCGACGACGTCAACCAGACGGTTATCAGCAATTCCAGCCGCGGAGACATCAGACCCATCTGGGAGCTACTGTATAACCACTATGGTGTACTCAAGGGACTGGATGTCACTTACACAAAGGAGTATCGCGATATGGTCGTTGAGGATGGCGATGGGGCTGAGGGCGGTGGTGGCGATTATGGAACTACTAGTGGTGGGTATGACCAGTTGGGATGGGGGACGCTGATGTATACTCTTGAGTGAGATGGAGCTGAGGAGCAAGGGTCGAGGGGTCCATTGTATAAGTATGGGATTTTCCAAGTAAGCATTGTGCAGTATTTGAAAGGCAGTTATTGATTGTGAAAGTCGTAATTTGTATCAGTCGACTACTGATAGGGTTTGGGTAGCTGGGCGAGATACTTGGAAGGCGAGTTGAGATTTACCTGGAAGCGTAATACACTAGGGTATGGAAGCAGGATCTTATTTGAAGTCTTATGTGGTCGCTGCAAATATGCATTGATACATGCCGGAAAAACTTTAGTATGAGTTGCATTATGCAGTCAGATATTTACTCCCTGAGCGGTTCTTATCCGCTTCGAGATCTCAGATGATGGTCCAGAGGGAGAGGAAATTTATATGCTCGTTAACCTGCCTAACACCAATGCTATTTATTCCTTTTCACATGCTGAGGCTATACAACCCTCCAGAAAGCGCTGAGAGGCTATGTATATATGTATGTGTATATGCAACGTGGCCAACCAGGCCTTGCCTCTACACTTGAGGCTGGCAAATATTCATCGCTTCGCTAGCAACTCGACTCGCTCAACCCCGTTTCATATCCTTCAGCGCCTCCTCTACCAACCAGCAACTCACATCCTGTGCATCCTGGCCGACACGCCAGCTACCCAGAACCACGCCTTGCTTTTCCAGAAGCTCCTGGGCGCGTTCCCAGCGACGTCGCCACAGTTCCTCTCGTTTGTTGGGTAGAGGGGCCGCGGGGACTGCTGTTCTGTTCGGAGTGCTGCTGTCCACACTAGTGCTGGACCTACTTGATGAGGAGTTCGGCTGGGCTGGTCGGAGAATGTTCGATGGGGTTGGAGACCAGTTCAAACGGTCGGAGGCATACTGTAGCGCTGCTGTGGCTGCAGATGCGGGGTATGATTGTTTCGGAGGTAGGGGTGGGGGCGTTGGGCGGTTTGCACTTTGCTGTGATGAGATTGAGCCCGGGGTTGAAGCCCCTGTATTGGTTCTGCGTGGTGGAGGGGGCGGTGGTGGTTGCTTTGAGCGTGTCGGTTCGTTGGGGATATCATGTATGCTAGGCTTAGGACGTATGGGCATTTGCCTCGCTGCATTATTCACAGGCGTATCATTTTCGGTATCAAGTATGTTATCGTTTGATATGTCGGGCTTAGTGGAAGAGCGGCGCGGGGGTAGTGGTGGCACAGGTTTGCGTTTGGCTGTCTCTTGGAGTGAGGGCAGATCGTCTTTGCTCAGGTCTGGGTTTGTCGAAACTGAGCGCAACGCGGAGGGCTTGGAAGGTTTCGTGGGTGGTCCGCGCCCGGCGGAGGGCTTCTTCATGTCAGCCAAAGACACCTTTTGCTCCACCTCGTCTCGAAGATCTATCAAGTCGGCGTTGTCGAGGCTCACGGCATCCGCGGACGGATCGGCCGTTCCCACGGGCCGCCGAGGCGGTAATGCCGGACGTTTGGACACGGCATCAGAAGCATCCACAAGTTGCGGAGTGCTACGGCTCCGGTTCAAGTCATGTTCCAAGTCATCCACTGATTTCTCGAAGAATTTCTTCCGGTCGGTGGTGGTAACGTCGCGAATGAAGATCCCGAGGATCCGCCCCGGGTTTGCTAGAACGATGTCGGTATAGACTTCCAAATCCGCTTCACCGCTGTCTCCAACGAGAATGAACTTGCGGGTAGGAAAGTCTCTCAAAATCTGCTCCAGGGAGCCCCTCTTCCTTTCTGCCGTAGGCTCGAAGATACCCTGAAGCATACCACTGTACTGTTTCAAGTGGAAAGAACCCGGGGGCAAGCCGGCGAGCTTGAAGTAGCGTTCCAGAAGCGGATACAGTTGCCATGGGGCATTAGAGACATAGTGCATGTCGACTCCCATCTTAGCCAGCTTGCTGTACCAGTCAGTGACACCGTCGACTGTCAGCTCGTTCAGTTCGCGGACAAAAGTGTTGCGAAACATCTCCTTGGCCCCGCTGGCAATAGCAGAATGTTTCACTGTATCGTCGATGTCGCTGATAAGGCTGACGCCCGTGGGCTCGATGATCTTGATCTCCTTCACGGCGGAGAGATCCTCGGAGGCTAGCACACGGGCGTGAGTCGGTATAAAGGGTAGCGACGCTCGTAGCCGAAAGTGGCCGGACTCGTCAGTCATCACGCTCCTCGACTGGCTTTTGTCGTTGTTGAAGAAGAACACAGTGACGGGAATGCCCGTTACCGGGTTGGTCAAAAAGGGGCGTAACCGTTCCAGAAGGTGTGCATTGGCGACGGAGAGTTCATCCTTGCTCAGCGGTGTCGTTGCTGCCCTCTGGAGAGGGCGTCCGGGAGTATTCTGGGCGTCACGATTCTCTGCGCTGTCTTTCCATACCGGATCAGCCCCCTTTTCGGCCTGCCTGATGATCGACTGTGCCTCGGTATTGACCAGCTCTTCATCCCCCTTCTCAGTCTTAGAATCATTCACATTATGTTCATCGCCATCATTCGTGCTGCTTATAGGAGCTGGCACCCCGCTGAGCTTTCTAGCGAGAGCGACCATCAGACGATGTTTTCGAGTCATCGGCCCGCGATGAGGTGCGTATACCCAGCCACGCACATCGACTGCAACGATCGCATTCTCCTCTTCCAGCTCATCCCAAACCGGCATGCCTGTGCCAAAGCCATCTGACTCGCCCCGATACTCCTCGATAGTGGCATTTGATCCTCGACGGCGGCTATAGTATGGATCCAGCTGCTCATGCTTCACCAACCGTCTCGCATAGCTCGGAAATATCACCATCTCTTCAAACTCGGATCGCGCAATCTCGATGTCGGGAAATGCGCCCGGGGTATCACGGTAGTCGTCATAGTCGCTCTGACCGCTGATCTGCGCCGACCATTGCGCAGCATAGGTTTGGCGCAGCTCATTGGCAGCCTTCAGGTAGTCAAAGACCTTCTTGCGGCGCGCTCCCCGCTCCCGACCAGTACTAGAGCCCCATGATGACGAGGATGACGGCTCGTACTGTGACATTGGCGTGAAGCCTGAGCTCTTGTTGTTCCCCGCTCGCAAAGCTCCGGTGCTTTGCGCCAGCCTCCTATGTACAAAACCACCTGTCGCAGAAGCCGACCGACCAGCCAAGCGGCTCCCCTTTCTATTCAGGTAACCAAGGATACCCTTCCGACCAGAGTCCCGTTTGCGTGCGAGTCTCGCCTGCCGCTTCACTAAAGCCCGGTATAGTCCTGCCTGTGCTCGATGTCGAAGAGCGGGGATCGTTTCGTGACGGAGACTCCAGAGACGAGACTGCGCACGGAGGGGGGCGTGTGGACCGAACAGGAAGCGAAGGAAATGGCGGAAGAGTTTCCCTGTTCTCGAATGGCGAGCTGCTGGGAAGCGGAGGGGCGGAGGAGGAAGGGGTGGCCTGATAGGGGCCCGGGGGGAGCGCCAGCGAAAGCGAGGGAGTTGCTGGGGCGCCACGGTAATTGGATATGTTCAGGGAGGTGTAGGGGAAATTATGGTGGTATGTGAGTGAAATAAAGAACGGATGATGGAGGGAAAAGTGAGGCGATGTGGGCTGTTCCTGAATGACTTCATTTCGTGGATTCCACCTGGCCAAGGCTAGTGCACGTGATCGGACCAGCTATACTTGGACATGCTATTATATGCCATCTAACTCAACGCTAGGGGAAAGTAGAACTCGATTCGCCCTTTCTTTCACAGTTCCGAACTTAATAGGGTTCCATTCTTTTATTGCTGCTGCTCCCACCATCAGTACTTCAGTATCTGCGGGTCACTGCTAGCTAAAATTTCCGATCTGATGATCTCTGCAGAGGAACAATGCGGCCAGCCTGAGCTCGGCCCGATCACTAACAGCTACAGCGTAGTTTAGTGAGGAAACTAGCAAGTAGCTAGTCTGCTAGTTTGATAGCATTACTTTGTCCACCTGGATAGACCCTGATATCCCCCGCATCTGTACTCAATAAACACCCACTACTGCAACTAAGACATACAGTATGCCAACATCAACATCAACATCAATGTACCAGGTCGTAGCCGACCTCGACAAGCAAGTCCCCTATCTCATCAATTTCCATTCAATTCAATCCCATCTAACCACCCTATCCAGCTTCCCCTACCCCACCACGAGCAATGACAACCCTATCCTCCAAAACTACCACGCCTTCCGGATCACCGGCATCCCCCAAACCCTAGGCTACATCCCCAATGAGCTAATAACTACCTTCCCCTGGCCATCAAACACCTGGTCCATCTCCACCAACACAATCACCCTCCTCACACCTCCCACCGCAACCGCCTCCACCCGCACCGCCATCCTCCTCCCCACCCTCCAGGCCCTCGTCTCCCACGGTATCCTCCGCGGCTGGCGCAACGAGACCTTCCCCCTCTACGGCCCAGACGGAACCATCATCCTGGAGATCGAGCGTGCCGCGAGCGCCCTCTTCGGTATAGTAACCTACGGCGTGCAAATGCTCTGCTATACCCAACCCCAAGACAGCAACACACCACTCCTCTGGATCGCCAAACGCTCCTCTCTTAAACAGACCTACCCCGGTATGTTGGATACCACTGCCGCCGGGGGACTGAGTACGGGGCTGCCTCCGCGGGAGGCCATCATGCGGGAGGCGACCGAGGAGGCGGGGATTCCGGGGGACTTGATGCGGGGGGAGATGAGGTTTGTGGATCGGATTTCGTATTTTCATGTTAACATGGAGGGGGGCATGGAGCTGTTGCAACCTGAGGTGGAGTATTTGTATGAGTTGCGGTTGGAAAGCGGAGTAGTTCCGAGGCCGAGTGATAGCGAGGTGGAGGATTTTAGGCTTTGGGAAGTGCAGGAGGTAAAGGAGGCGCTGGGGGAGGGGAGATTTAAGCCGAATAGTGCGGTCGTGGTGGTGGATTTCTTGTTGAGAAGGGGGTTGTTGGATGGTGAAGATGGGGAGAGAATTCGGGAGAGGTTGCATAGGGACTTGCCTTTGCCGGTGGTGGATCACGAGGGGGGAAGAGTACTATAGTAAGTATTATTGTATATTTGAATCCATTAGACCCGAAATCTATGTATATATTGTAGTTCCCAGCCATCTATCTACTCTATAATGCACCGTATAAACCCGAAAAACCAAACCAAATATTGAACATACATGACCATCAGACAATTAAGTAACGTGCTCCTTCTCTTCCTCCTTGGGTATCCTCACCGACGTCACCGTAACCAGCGCCGCCAGCAACTGACACGCCAGCGCAAACCACCAAATAGCACGCAGCCCACTAAGCCCAACACTTCCATCGGCCTGCTTATCGACCCGCGTGCCAATCGCATCCGCCACACTAGTAATAATCGCCGACGACAGGTTCTGGTTCGTGACCAGCAGACTCCCAGCACTGCCCTGGTACGAGCGCGCCACATTACTAGTAATGAAGATGGAAGCGGCCGCGAAAGCCAGATCGGGGCCGAAAGTGACGAGGGCAACTCCAGGCAGGGACAATTCCCAGTACGTAGTGGTAGGGCTCTGCGGGAGGAAGAAGGCCGGACCGAGCGTGAAGGCGAACATGGAGATGGTGTAGATGTAATGGCCCGGGACAAGATGCAAGGTGCGACTGACTACCCAGGTGGCGATGACGCCGAAGATGGCGTTTGGGAGATGGTATAGCGCCACATCGATGGGACTGGCGTGCTGGATGCGCAGCCAGAACTGGATGGCGTAGAACTGCCAGGCGCCGAAGAAAGATCCGAAGCCCAGGAAGTAGGCGATCATGAGCGGGGTGAACCCCTTGGTCTTCCAGAGGCGGTTCGGGATCAGAGGGCGTGGTACGTAGCGCTCTACGATGAAGAGGCCGATGAGCAGGACAATGCCCACCGCTGTGAGCACGCAGGTATATACGGACCAGTCGGTGACGCCGCCCTGGGTGAGTCCGAAGAGCAAGCAGACACAGCCGCCGACGGCGAAGGCGGCGCCGAGGTAGTCGAACTGGCGCAGCGAGGGCACTTCACCTCCGGCGGAGTCTGCCATGGGGCGCAGCGGGGGGATGGAGAAGTAGGCGCCTACGGCACAGATGGCGGTGATGATGGCGTTGCAGCCGAAGATCCAAGGAAGATTCTGATAGAGGAGACCGCCTTCGATGGCGCCCAGAGAGAAGCCGAATGGGGCGCAGGCGGCCATGGCGGAGAAGACGCGGTTCTTGCGAATTCCTGGCTTGTAGACGCGGCCGAGGATGCTCATGCTACCGGAGACCAAGACACCGATGGCCAGGCCCTGCATGGCACGCACCACGAAGAAGAGTACATAGCGGGAGGGATGGACGGAGAAGGCGCCGATGATGTTCCAGACAGTGAGCCAGATGAAGGCCCCAACCATCAGGGCTTTGGGAGGCGTCAGGTCGGTCAACGAGCCGGACACCACGACGGACAGGCCATTGGCGACGTTGAAGGAGCCGACAAGCCAAGGCAACTCGGTATTGGTGATGCCGAGGGCTTGCCGGAACTGGAGCTGCGGAGCGAGCACATCACCCAGGAGGAAGGAGAACAACATCAGACCTGCGGAGCAGACCGCGATCAACACGATCTCGGCACCAAAGCTGCTGATTTCCGGCGGACGACCCTGGGTGGGCTTGGGGGGTGGAGAGCCGGCCTCGTCGGGGAAGTCCCTGCCCTGAGCAACCACCATAGAAGGCCGGCGGTAGCTGAGGTGCTGGCCATCGGTAGGATCCGCATCGCCGCGATTGTGTTGCCCAACCGGTAGCTCATAAGATTCATCTTCACTGTCGTCTCGGGCGCGCGCAATAATCTGGGGGAATTTCTTGAGCGTGTCGTCGTGGCCGGCGAGGTGGGCATACAACGGATCCGGGGTTTGAGCTCCGGTCGCGGGGGTGGAGGCGAATTTACTACTGCTGGCTTGATCGGTCAGTGAGAGGGAGGATCGCCCAGACATTGGAGCCGAGTCCAGGCTGGTCTGCGTCACTTCAACGGCGGCCTTGTTCTTGTCATTGCTTGGACTCGGGGATCGGGAGGCATCATCCTCTCGGGTCGGGTAGGGCTGGTCGGACGGCATCCTTTGGAGAGGCACAACCACCGGGTAAAAAGGAAAAATTTGGCACAAGGATTGCTGCACTTCAGGGTCCCGACCCGCCTGCGGTCTGGCGATTGTTTTTATGGGATTTCGGGATCAGGTCTCCGTCACCGCTGAGGCAAAGTGGACCGGGCCAGCGGAGTATCAGGGTGCTTCCTTTGCTTTTTGGGTCTCGAGATTTATAAGGCGCTGAAAAATTCGAAAAATGGGCAGCAATGAGCCATCATCCATCGTCGTGAACTCGGCCTCAGCCAGTCCCAGGCCGTTTGATAAACCGGGCCGTGGCCACACAGTGACGCTAGCGATAAGATTTTGCACCGCTAACAGCAATGGTGGGCTGGAATCCCTTGCGGTGGTTTGCGCGTCGCTCATCCGTGTGGATCCCAAGCATCCATGGTTGATCCACGGCTGATCTAGCCCAGTCTCAATCGGATTTCGATTTCCAGAGCGCTGCAGCTCTATCGCGTGCTGCTGCTATCATTTGCTCTGTTACAACCTAGCTGCCCAACTTGACAAGATATCGTGTTGCGGTGTGTGATGAGGTCGCAGCAATGTCGCCATCAGTGACCTACGATAAGGGCTTGGTGGACTGTCGTATCAACTGCAAACGCACTGACCACCTTCCGATGGTTTCTGGCTGGCATGTGAATCGCGCAGCTTTGCTTCTGGCCTTCAGCATTCCCTCCCCGGGTTTGATGATCGACAGGGCCGCATCATCGTGTCGCAAACTGATCGGTCGGATCGGCGGAACTATTCAAGGCTGGGGAGCTGGATGGTTTGGGATTGCGTCGGATGATTGCCCGGCTGCACATCCCGTACTTGTCGATCACCCAGTTCCTGCACATGGATTGGGAGCTCTTGAGCTTGCCATTCGTCTGCTGTTCTCTAAGCTCGTTGCCCATAGGCAAATAGTTACCAGCCAACGTCGGCATGTCAACTTAGGCAGCAATGACCGGCATGCCGGGCTCTGTTGGGGATGCTATGGATCTTCGATGAAACATCAGCTTCCCACGGCCGCGGAGGGTTGAATCACTAGGGAACGAGGGCTCCTGGTTGAGATCGACCATCCCTGGGTTAGCACTATCCCTTTAGGGGCTCCCTCTGCAGTGATTTTGATACTCCGCTGGCGATCAAAGTATCCCGGAACACCTGCTTTTTCCTGATTTGCGCCGTTAGCGAGTCAATGGTCAGACGTCGTTGCTTTTGGGTACTACTTAACGTGCATCAGCGATCAAGGAGAAGCTTGGTAGTCGCTGGCATTTATGATATGCACTTGCTGCGGTCGCGGGAACAATCCAGCCACGATGCAGCCACTGTGTCATCTTGAGGCAAGGGATGATAGACATTAAGGAGGATTGCGGGAATTTGCATGATGACGAGTCCCATCGGAGGGGAGTTGAATTACGCTGAGAGGAGTCGTCGTAGAATAACATATGTTATTCGCCGTGCCGTAGATTTGTCCCATGCGAGGTGGCTGTTCCTGCGTCGCTCAGGCGGCCAGCGTGAAATTTTCTTGTGCTCCTATCTGTATCATTTTTGCTTCTTTTGCTAATCCGCACTAGTGCGCATAGCAAGCTGTCGTGTAGCCATCGAGTGTGCGTCATTTCGAGCCGACGGTGTAACTTGCCGGATGACACGCACTACAGTTCGAGGTCAGAAAGAGACCATCTCTCGAAGGTTTGACCATGCTTTCGTGATGCGCGCTAACAGGTCTTCTGTTATGTCAACTGTTAAACCGAACTCATTCACATCGACAAAGCAAAGTATCCTTGGCCTGTATTATGTCTTCTGATGCTCATTGGCGACAGGAGGATACCGATCTGAAAAGCAATTAGCACAATTTTCTACGGATATTTGCCATGCTGGAGCGAATTCGGTAGATCCAGTCCATGTGTTGGATGACATTTGCGATCGCAGGAAGTCATCTGAATCCTCTGGACCTGCTTCGATCCACTGCAGGTGACATTGCAGGCATCTTTGAACCCCACCATGTGTGTAACTACTGATCGACCTTCAGAATTTGTCACGAGTATGTAGATCTCGCTCACATCAAAGGGATGTGCTAGCGTCGCGGTGAAGAGAGTTGGCAACAAGGGTATACATAATAGGCCGACTGCTGCATGTTCGGTCACATAACACTATCTGTGATTGCCTTTGCGTTTGCTGGAGTAACTGATAAGTTGAGACGGCAAGCCTATTGACTCATTTCTGATGGCTTGCCATTCGGAGTTCTTAATCTCACGGTAACATGAGGTCCGGAGTCCTACAGCTTGCCACGCGATGCAAGCTGTGGCCTAGCTGCCCATCAACAAGTCAAAAGAGGAAGCTACGACTCCTTGGCTGCATTGGCATGATAAGAAGAGAAGTTTGATAGCCATGTCCTAAACAGAAGGGTCATTGGTAGTGTTTGTTGGCCACAGAAACCTCGACCCGCTATCACTAAAAGACAGCTTGGATCCCATGTGATGATGAAGACTGACAAGGGCTGTTTTCCTTGATTATCTATGCCTTCGTCATGATATCTTTCGGCTGAGGCAAAGGCAAAAACTAACCGGAGGAGGAGTTTCTCTTTCAGGACCGCAGTGAATCATAAAGCCAGGCCCGCATCAGACAGCACAACAGGGCGAGCGAATTAGCGTTCATAACACTGCACGATTCGGAATATCAGAAATCACAGGTTTTGCTGCTCGGCTTCTTACTTCTCCACCGTCTTTCTCGTCTGTGTGGTGTTGCTCCTCTCATAAAACCCATTCTTCAGATCTTCCTTCTCCTGGTTGAGCTTCGTGTCTTATATTCTGCTCCTACATGATCATCCAATTCTCCCTGTGCTACTTCTGGTCAGGTCCTTATCAGTCGGTCGTCTCCGTGCTTCCATTTCATCATGGTCTTGCTGTATCCGCTTGATAATATCATATCACCTACAACGTGTGTCCTTGTTCCGACATTATGCTCACTGACCGTCCTTCTTAAGAGCTAAATTGGCTTCAATGCCAGCCAAGCTACATTGGAAAGGTTGCCGGGGGTGTCTGATAGTGTTTTATGTGTTCTGCGTACTCATTTAGCACGTATAGTGGGATCAAGTGTTCAGAACACTGCTACGTGAGCATATGCACGTCAAGGTCATCAGGCTCACTAGCAACATGGCACTTTTCTTGACGAAGTAAAAAGCCCCAATTCATTATTGTCAGTGTCTTTTTATCCTTTTATACGCTTCCGGAACATTTTCAAAAGGGCAAGGGCTTGCGGGTGTCTGAGATAGCTTTTTTGGCCTTACAACGGCCAGGATTTTGGTTGACATGCAGAAAACATCCGAGGTATTATAAACGATCGAGGTAGGAAATTTCCCATATATCGAGCAATAGGCACTACATCAGAGTAAGAGGATGTGAATTCATTCTCCTGATAGCTACCCCGAAGACATGTTATAAGACAAAATCAGCAGATGCTCTGCCTGCCTACAGTATTTCCTCAGAATTTAGGATAGCTAGCCATATTTACGTGAGAACGCGCCTCAGTATTATATTGAACGAAGCGATAAGAACAAGAGTCGTTACAACCAAAGATAACACTATCTTCATCTAAAGCATCCCACTCTAAGACTACCATTGCACGACAGCCATGAGACCATTCAATTGCAGTCACTCCACGCACCTACAAAGTCCACTCCCAGCCAGTAGAAAACATCCATTCCATATCCTAATCATCCAACATTGTATGATAGTCAGCATCACTATCTGTCTACCGAGTGGTGATATGAATGGCGTGACTGTCCGTGCCACCCCGGCACGGAGGATAAAAGCCCGTGGGAGGGACAGGGCTGAGGATTAGGGCCCGAATCTAAGCTACCCCTCACGACTATCAGCCATTATCATCATCCTCCTTTCTTATTTCTTTCACCTTCCTCTTCGTAAATCTACCACAATCATTGACACAATGTCTTATCCCCTCGAAGCAATCGGCATCATCTCCATCGGAGAGATGGGTCTGGGCATTGCCCAGCTCCTAATCGCCCACCACTACCGAGTCCTAACCTATGCGGCCGATCGGAGGTATAATCAATATTTCCAGTCCAGATGTCATCGCAGCTAACCACATATTCATAACAGCGACGCAACTCAACGCCGAGCATGGCAAGCAGGCATCGAGCTCCGCCCCTCAATGCAAGACCTCGTCGACCAAAGCGACTGCCTCCTCTCCATCGTCCCACCACGGGACGCACTCACAACCGCCCATCGCATCGTGGAAGCATCGTCCGCGCGGCCCGCGGTCCGCGATACCCCGCTATGGGTGATCGATCTGAACGCCGTGTCACCACAGACAGCGCGCGAGATAGAGTCCGTGATTACTGAAGCGTCAGCATCATCATCGCACCTCCGCTACATCGACGGGGGCATCGTGGGCGGTCCACCCAGGCCATTGCAGCCAACCAACCCGAACGAACCATCCTGGCATTGTCCCAGCTTGATCGTCTCTGGCCCCGAGAAGCTCCCAGACGAGAAGTTATCCCGCACGCTGAACATCAAACACATCTCGGACAAGATCGGCGTAGCGACCGGGTTGAAGATGTGCTTTGCGTCTCTGACGAAGGGGTTTTTCGCGTTGGCTATTCAGTCCTTCACTACGGCCCATTCGCTGGGCGTGCTCCCGCATTTGAAGGACCTGATGGAGGAATATAACCCGGCGACGCTACGTATAGCGGAGAAGGGTGTGGTGGGAATGCCGCCGAAGGCATATCGGTGGGTGAGGGAAATGAAGGAGATCGGGGATACGATGAGGGATGATGGGGGGTTTGAGAGTGATTTGTACGTGCCCCATATATCCCCACTCGTGGTGATCATGATGCTAACCTGTGTGTGTTGATAGATTCTACGCCGTGGCCCAAGTGTATCAATCCGTCGCGGACGATCCGATCCTGGGGCAAGAGAAGCCGGATGATCGACAGCGGGGACAGACGGTCGAGGATGTGGTTGAATGTTTGGATAAGAGCCTGAAGGTAAAGAAGGATTGATCCATTCAGTTGATGAATTGTATTTCGTTCCTTGTGTTGGATATATGATGGATACCATGTGTTTATTCTCTACCTGAGTACTTCTCAAACCCCATCCTCGATGCCGAATTGAGTGGTCCATAAGTGCATGATACTATCCCAGTGGAAGGGAGTCATCTCATTCTGTAACACACCTATTGTCAACCCACCGCCACCACACTACGACACCCACAGGGAATTGACTAACCATTCAGGTCGATCACCACCCCCGCACTTGCTAATCCGTGCATACTGTGATTCAACCATACTGTGGGTGGATCTTCCAGATCCACTCTGGAGAGGTGACCTGCAGCTCTAAGGTCCGGTCCTTTACCGACTGACTGACTCCAGCGGGATGCTTTGCAGCTGCATGTTCCCACTTGGCCTATCGGTATGGTTCCATTTTTGATCGACAGAGAGAAGTACTTAGGGGAAGAGATAAATCCTAATTTGAAAAATGGCTCGGAGGAGCGACAGACACATGCTGCAAGTGAACTCTCCACTTGCCTAATTGGGGTAGGTAGGCTGGCCTGTACATCCCGGTTTGTGGACTGAGGGCCTGAGGCTGGAGGGATACTTTGGAGACATTAATTGTGGTTTCCTTTGGCAACGTTGGGATATTGAGGTCGCCTTCAGGAAAGCACTAGGGAGAGACTACAAAGGTATATGATTGAAAATGGTTTGTCAATGCACAAGTGTTTAAATTCTGTCACGCAAGGATGCCTTATTGGATCCTGTTTTGCACTGGTATCACTAAAACTAAGTAACAGAAAAAACAGACAGGGGGGAATAATAACGATTAGAACTCCCTAGACCGTGGTCTCAGGGAGGCCGGCTATGCTCTAAAATCGCGTAGCTGGTATCAAAAAGCGTGAAAATGCTTCCAACATTTTATATTCATGACCATGCAAAAAAAAAAATTTCCATGCTTCACCATTTACTCCGACTCGCGGGCGCTGTTGGAGCCCGAGACCTCGGCGGTGGTGACCTTCTCCTCGTCGCTGGCACCTCCGAAGCCGTACTCCATGGCCTTCTGCTCGACTTCGTCGTCGGTGAGCTTGGGCAGCTCGTGGGCAGCGCGCACGTAGCTGATGTTCTCGGTGTAACCCTTGGCGAAGATGATATCGATCTCCTCCAGACTGCGGTTGGCGGTCTCGGGGTAGAAGAACCAGATGAAGGGGATGAACAGGCCGTTGAGGACGGCGAAGAACAGGTAAGTACCCCAGCCGATGTGGGAGACCATGACGGGGGTGATCATGACAATCAGGAAGTTGAAGAGCCAGTTGCTGCAGGTCGAGACAGCGTTGGCCTTGGCACGGGTCTTGATGGGGGACAGCTCAGCAGGGTACAACCAGGGCAGAGGCAACCAAGCGGCACCGAAAGCGGCCATGTAGAGGAACAGACCGAAGACAGCACCCTTGGCGGTCTCCTGGTCACCAGGGATCAAACAGGCAAAGGTGATAACCATGGCAATGCACTGAAGGAAAGATCCACCCAGGAAGAGCTTGCGACGACCGATCTTTTCAATGAAGAACCAGGAGAAAGTGGCAAAGATAGCGTAGACAATCATGTTGACACCACCAATGACCAGGGAGAAGTTCTCAGTCTCGTGAAGGGAGTCCTGGAGCAGCACAGGGAGATAGTAGATGACAGCGTTGCAACCACCGAGTTGCTGGAAGATCTGCGAGGAGGAACCGATAACCATACGACGGAAGTGCTGGGAGCGGCCACCAGTGAGAAGGTCACGGTATCCGACATCCTTGCCAGCGGCGTTCGAACTGCACAGAACTGTTAGCATCTGGTGCCACGCGTTATCCAGGTATTATCCGGCAAACTTACGCTCTAATGGAATCAATGACCAGCTGCTTCTGGAGCTGGGTCTCGTGGTCATGGATCTCCCAGCCACCCAAGGCAGCAAGCACGTACTCACCCTCCTGGACGCGGTCCTTGGAGATGAGGTAACGGGGAGAGTCGGGAAGGAACCACATGCCGACGATGATGATGAGACCAAAGAAGATCTGGAAGGCAATGGGGAAACGCCACACCAGGTCCTTGTTACCGAAGTGGGCACCATAGTCAATCCAGTAGGCAATCGCAGTTCCGATGGCGATGATACCACCCTCAATACAGATGAGCAGACCACGGTTGCTGGTCTTGGAGCACTCGGCCTGGTAGGTCGGGATAGTCGAGGTGTTCATGCCGTTACCGATACCGGTGATGACACGACCAATGAAGAACTGCAGAAGCGGGATGTGTCCGGCATACGAGGTAACCTGGATGACGACACCAATAATCATGACAATGGCACCCGAGAAGATCATCCATTTACGTCCAGTCTTGTCACCGAAGAAGAGAGCGAACATGGCACCCACAAGACAACCTATGCGACGAGACGCGTTAGAATTGGGGGGGCGCGCGCATTGTAACTCAGGAGGGGCGTTGCAACGAACCTAACTCATAAACGGATGTAACCAAGGCTTGCATGGTTGAATTGTTCTTGGTCGCGGTGAAGAGGTCTTCGAAAGCGGTATCGCTGATAATACCGGACATGACACCCTCTGGACGTTCAAATTAGCATGTGATTCCGATGACTAGATCGGGGATAGCGGCGAGGGAGGCTCACGATCATAACCGAACAGCAAGAAACCCATCGTCGCAATCGTCGAGACGGCCAGGGACAGTTTCCTGCCCGACAGGCCAGCGTAGGTCGGCGCCATTGTGAAAAGATGCTATACCGAGACGGTAGGCTGAAATAGAAAAGAGTATTGTTGATATATAAAATGACCAATGGATGAGAACAATGGTCAATGAATCTGGGGAGCGATCGAACACTTAAGTTGACTCGCTCACTTCTCTCCAAGAAAAGGGACTCCTGTCGCGTTGCTCCTTTTGTTGTTGTCTTGGTCGAAAGGAGGAGGAGTTGTGATGTGACACAAGAGAGAAAAATAAAAAACAAGACTGGAGCCAACGCGGAGAAGACGGGGGGAAGAAGGGGGGTTATCTACTTTCTCGAAGAACGACAGGCCTGTCGGTTGTGGCAAGCATGCATGTTGGCCGACAATCTCTTATCCCCCGAACTGAACTAACTGGAGAGGAGGAGGAGAAGGAGGAGGAGGGAGAGCTCCACTAAGCTACGCAGACCCATAGTGAGCCGTACCATTGTTTGTTTTGTGGAGCAGGGGACCGGATGCATCAATAACGCTGGGTTAAGCATCTTTTTTGGCGCAGTCCCGTGGCCCACTTGTGGATGCGCTGGAAATGCAGTGAGCAATGACATCACGCAGCCCGGTCTTGGTGCCTTTTCCCCCTTGGGTAATCTAAATGGGAAATTAATAAGAAAAAAAAAAAAAATGAAAAGATAAAGAAAAAAAAAAAAATTCAATATTCTATTTTATTGATTAAACCAGCGGAAAAAGAAAAGAATAATTCAAAGCATTTAACAATTCGGAAAAAAGGTTCGAACACAGCGAAAAAAGGGGGAACCATACATACTGGTCTCATTCATCCACGGATTGTACACAGATAGCCTAACATTCGGGTCGGCCCCTGTATTTTGTTATTGGCCATTCAGTCCTTTCAGTACTAACAAAGTACAGCACAGGTCAGAATCTCCCTACGTCTATCTACTTACTAACCTACAGGTTTGGCGAGTAATCTTTTTCCACTCTATCCAACATCCATCCATCCCTTCTGGGCTGATTGATGGCTTCACACCATCTCCTCCACCACCATCCACTACGACTCCATACCACCACCACCATCACCATCATCATCATCATCGTCATCATCATCATCAACCATTACCACCCAACCCGAGGGCACCGTGCGGCTCCACTTTTCATGATCCTGCCCTGAAAAAGCCGCCAGCCTATGAGACCGGACGTGCGCGCACGCCCTGGCCAATCGTTGCCGCGCCCGTCCATCGTTGCGGGAACCTGAACCCAAACGTGGAGCTGACCGCGCAGGGCTGACCTGCCTATTTGGTCGTCCTCTCTGTCCCAAGGCAGCAACTTAAGCGAGGGAGGAAAAGGCATCGCCAAAATCCCACGGGGAACTTCGCCTAACTCGTTAGTTAAGCTTGACTGGCTGTTGGCTGAATAATCTTCGCCCATCGTAACTATGTGTAGTTACTACTAGTAGGCAGGCTGAATGCGGGCGCCATTGTGCGTTCAGCATTTCAGCCGCCAAATGTCCACACATCTTTTAACCGCATCCCCCGTGATCAAGGGTGACTCAGACGGGGCCGTTCATCACCTTTGTTTTGTGCAGCATGAAACCGCAGCATATTTCCATACCGTAGCGAACTTACCTCCCCTACTACCACTTCTGCCGTCCCGAATCCTCGCGTCACGAAAAGCAGACGGCTTGAATGCAACGAGGTTCGGCCGTCGTTCGGGAAGCCGTTTCCGTTGAGGTTTCCCGACCGCGCCTAGCGTCCTTCATCCTGCAAGGCGAGACACATCCTGCGCCAATGGAAACATGAAGTTAATAATGATATCTACAACGATATGAATAAGCTCTGGCCCAAAGAGGTTTAACCTGGAGGGGACTGGTAGGGTAATGGCTCCTCCTTCATGGTGCTTTGGGAGGGAGGCTTTGCATGGTGATTCGGCGCCATCCTCCACCGTCGGCTGGGATGCTCCACCCCGCACCGTCTCTGGCCGCGACGGTGTCTCCAGCTCCCCAATTTTTCCCTCTCTTTTCCCCCACCTCCTACTAGTCTATACTATGGGCTAATATCACCCTCTCTCCGCGTCTCCATCTCCATCTCCATCATCTCTCTGTTTTTGGCCCGAATGGAACTAGCGTCCCGAGGGTGTGAGAAGGATGTAACCGCTGCAGTTTTATTTTCCTACTTGTTGATTTACCCTTCTTTCGTCAAGTGATCTCTCACTCCTCCTTCCATTTCCGATTGTCAGCGACATCTGCCAATTGCTAGCATTCCACGGCTGATCCAATGATTCTCGAATGTGCATCTCCACCGAATGCCGGAAAAAGACTTAGATCAAACTGTCCGCTGGCCCGTCCTAACACCTTCCCTCCGACAACATGCGCAGAGCAATATGATTAGCCGTGGCTCACTGCATGAAAAAAAAAAATCGATCCATCCTTCGTTTATCCCCATGAGACAAGCCAAGAGCAGGCAGCGGAATTTCGCAGCTACAGATGTAGTAAGTAATATTACTATTATCTCTCCTAACAGACAGACATCCTGCAAGGTGAGCTGCGAGCCTGCGACATAGTCGCACCTCATGGTCTCCACCGGTGCTAATTGGATCTAAGATATCACACTGCCCAATTTTCTCTCTGCCAATAATGCAAACTCTGACACTTGACAGTCCTGTAGACCCGTAAGGAGATTATGCGCCCGGATCTGCCATCGTCTTTCCTTCCCATGGTCGCGCAGCTGAACGTGCCTGTCAGAGATCTCGTAGCGAATCCTTTCCTCCCCTCCCATCCCCATCATTGCCCCCCCTCCTCCTCCTCCCCGGAAAACCCTGCGTGAAGTCCCCCATTTTTTGCCGGGCCAACTACGTCAATGGCGTTCCGGTATACCCGCACTGACCGCGAAAACTCGGCGCCAAGGCGACAAGCCAGAGAAGAATTACCGAAGCTCATCGTATTTGGCCTTGGTATAGGAACAAGAGTCGACCAAGAATCGACAAGTCTTTCTCGGCAAAAAACGGGGTGGGGGCTGGCGCAAAGGAAAAAAAGCATGTGGGGGGGCAGAGAGAGGCGGACCCAATTTTTTGAGGAGATCGAGTGGATGCGGTCGGGGGGGCTAAAACATCGCGCGCCGACCGAAAATCGTCATCTTCCCTCGGCCCTCAGCCCTTCCATTGGCTCCCCTCCCAATTCGGTTGACTGTTCCTGTGTCGGAACCAATCCCAAGATTGGCTCATTCGAGGGTAACACAATCTGACTTTTTCTGGGTCCCCCCTCCTCCTCCTCTCTCCAGAAAGGAAAAAAGTAGGTCTCCATCACGCACATGGCCCCATTCCCTCTGGCGCTTCGTAGGGGAAATCAATTTCACCGACCAAGAGACAGACTGCATGAATCTAGCTATCTAGACTGAAGTCTAGCCTAGAGAGACACATGTGTCTCGCCGACTCGCGCTTTTTTTTCCGGAACACGGCGGATTCCCGGATAGCGAATAATCGGCGCGGAATAGACACCCAAGGGTCCACCTAAGCAGTCAACCTGCGTGGAAGCTGTTGCTCGGGTCGAATAACGACGATGATAATTTTCCTTGCGCCGGCGCGAACAGACCAACCGGGTAAAAGAAACGACCTGGAAAAGTAAGTAACACCAGTCAGGAGTTGAGTTGGTAGCCGACTAAGCGACCGGCACATGCTGGCGCTGATAGTTCATGATGGTGATGATGAGGATAATGACGCTGCATCATCATGCGGTTGGTCTCTTTGTCCGAGCGTATCTGCTGCCTAAACAGCCGCGACGATGCTTTCCAGGATGCACTAACAAAATGATTTTTGCGGGCTAAACCGCCCATGATGATGACGTCGAAGCGACTGTCAATGCCGTATCAGCTGTCTACCTATTGTGGAAAAAAAGAGCTCTAGCATTAGCTGCAGGCATCACCGCCGTAGTGCCTACCTCCCAAGTGGACGGGAAAAACACGAGGATTTCTCGGGTTGGTTGGTTCATGCCCATCTCCCCGAGTGGGTGCATTTTTCGCAGTCTACGCACAAGCATACAACGAACGGAAAGTCGCCGTTCATTTCTGGGCAAATATTTTTCCTGGATAATCCTCGGTTTCTAGCCGACCACGTTTCTTTGCTTTTTTTTTTCCTTTTCCTTTGTGGGAAAAATAAAAAAAAAATTAAACCAGGCTGAAAACATCTCGACGCGGACGGCCCGATTGTTGAGACCGGATGGGTTGATAGTCGGCCTTGGCTCTCTCAACGCAAGTCGGGAAGTTCGACGGGAACCTTGACGCTTCAGGAAGATGGCCCGCCCGACGGTGCGGAAAGGAAAAATATGTTGCTTTAGGTTGGTTTGTGTTGCGAAACAACCGTTCCCGCCATTCACCGTATCACGTAAGAAGTCATTCGTCTGGTCTGAGAAAGGTCGGCCTGTGGTTATTGGAGGGGCGCAAGTGGACATTGGCAAAAGGTTCGAGTCGTTGACTGAATTTTCGATTAAGTAACAGGTGAGTAGAGTGAGAGTAGAGTTTTCTTCTCTCCTTCACCCAAAACCAAGTACACACACCGAAGGGCTTGTCTTGGGATGTTTGCTGTTGTCGCCGGTGCAGCCTTGTACCTGTTAGTCATCAATCATCCGTGGTGGTGAGCCGAGCTTGGCACTGTTGCGACACAGACAAAGTTGTGTGTGCGACCCATCTGACGAAGCAGCCAACTGTAGACAAAGGAAAGACATAATCGCAGCCAAAATCAGGAGGGCAACCCCCCAAGGATTTATACTGTGGTCTAGCTCCCAGCTTCAGTCAGAAAAAAAGGGGGAATCGGGAGGCCGATGCTTCTTATACACAACAGCGGACTCGGCACCGGCGTGCCGAGTGTGGAAAAAAAAGGCCATCTCGGTCTGGATGCCGGAGGTCTCGGAGGGTCGAGTCACGAGGACAGCCACACGGAGAGAACTAGATAGAAAGGATGGAAGCGAAGAGGAGACTTGACTGCCAATAATAGCTATTCCGGGGGGGGTTCTAACTGCGTCTGGCTTCACCTGGGATCAAAACAGGGCATGGGCGCAGGGATGCGCGATCCCGTTGTTGTTGTAGTAGTAGAGCGCGAAAAGGTACGAATGACAGCTACTACGGTTCTAGAACGCCCTCCGAGCTTTAGAGCTGGTAGATAGGCAAGCGTCAAGCCAGGAAGAGCCTAGGCGATTGACCGGCGTGGGCAGGTCAGTGGTGTGACTTGGTATGTATGTGTGGTGCGTACACTGTACTTTATTTTGTTTATTGTCCACTGATGATAAAACCTCTGCTGTGAAGTGGCTTGTAGTTATTAGAACTCGGAGCCACTGACAACGTTGTCTGGACACACGAGAGGCACGGCTTTCTCATTTGCTGAACCACCCACGTGTAGACGTTGATTGGAACCACCTCGATGCTGGTTACATAACCCTGCACTACTGCTACATAACTAAACTAATACAATTCATCCGACGTTGCTGTTTAGAACATAAATCCTCTGCAGAATTCGTTGTTTGTTTGCAATGACTCGGCATTGTTTCTCTAATTAAACAAAACAAAAAAAAGAGGTACTTCAAAACTCAATCTATAATTAACAATAATATGATAAGTATTTATTTACATATTCCTGTCTCGCACTCATGTTCCAGTGCATTCCTGGACTGTTCGAAGACCCGATCGGTGGGTGACACTGCATTCATCCGGGAGAGCTGAATGCATGCAGACACGGACGGGTAGTAGTAGTAGTAGTTGTAGTACATACTATGGATCTTCACACCACCATTGGCATCCACCCCTAAATTATTGCAGGGCTCACCCGATGTCTTGTGTTACCTCCCACCCGTCTCTCTCCTTGCTTGGGGATAATAAGCGACCTCAGTTCGACCAATCTCGGGGGTTGGATATACGTATCAGAGACTCAGCAGGATGTGTAGTTGCCTCAAGAACCTATCCTTCGCAAGGAGTTCAAAAACAACCCATTATTCCGCGGGGCCTGTCCCTTCCTCTCTCCGCCCCCTTGAAGGGTTCCGGAAGGAATGCCAGCTACTAGAATCACGCCACAAGACAGCATTCCAGCCAGCCACAGTATTCCATAGATGGATTTTCGCTGTCTCCAGTAAGTCATAAATAACTTAATTATTGGTATGCCACTCTCCTGTCGAACCTTATCTGAGATTCGCCCGGCTGGTCGGGTCCGTTCTGTGCTCCTTGCTTGGGTGGTACTGAGATTAAGTGCTACTAGAAACGGAATATATTTCTTTTGTCGGTAGATAGTCGAGTAATAATAGTGATAGTTACAACGGAAATTGACTACTGCATGGGAACTTACTGTAACTATCTATAGATTGTCCTAGCGCTTAACTTTTTCTGAGACTATTTGGCCAGTAGAATACTACTTACCCATTGCCTGTCAGTTCAGGGGCAAGTATCAAACTTATCTAGTATCTCCTCGGGACCAGTCAACTAGTGTGGCGTGGGAATCAGAAAAAGCAAAGCACGTTTGTCCTCAACATTTCGTATTCAGCCCGATTCATTGCGATCCGCTTAATGCATTCTAGGCAATGTAGGCAGCCGTTCGTGACATTGTATTTGCTGATCATTCGAGCCACTGCACCCCTGGTGAGATGGTTGGGTCTGGCCGGACTCGGTGCTATGTTTGCATCGTTCGGCAGTTATGTGGCTTATGAGAATTCAGCTGGCTAGTGCATATGTAAATAGTAGTACTTTTGATGGGATACGCTGTCGGCCGATAGCAGGGTCTGGGCATTAGCAAAATGAAATGATAGTAATTGAAACTTCAAAGGGACTATTGAATCACAGAGGTAGCATTGTACATAGTGGAAGTTGTTGGTGAAGATATACTACTAGGAGTAAATATATACTACTAGTATACGCGAATGCTGATCACTCGGTACTACTACTGTAGGAATGCAATAGTACTACTTAGTACTAGGGACGCAATTCGGTTAACAAAGTCTATTACTTCAGTTCAATTATAATCGATGAGAATGGAACTGTGCTTATTTTCCCCTTGGTCCTATTCAGACCATCCCATCGCGTGTTTCACGTGTCAGTTGCGATCGTCCTGCTGCAAGCTTACCTGCAGACTCGCTACTACTTCGTACTGACGAAGTCTGGGAACTCTAACATTTTTCCACGACAGCAAACTTCAACCACAGCCGCGCGAAAATATCCACACACAAACCGAGCAGGTGCTGAGAATGAATTGTATGAATCCCCTAGGATATTTGTCGGGATGCCGAACACCGCACTGACAGAAAACTCCAGCGCCTCAGGCACCGACCACGCAGGTCCCCCCAGCTCATGTCGCAACTGTCACAAAAAGCGCCCGTCCATCGCCCACGCTTGTAGCGCCCGACGATCGTCGCTCACGCAGGGAAAAGCTACCATCCAACACGCGTCTCAATCCTTGCGAATAAGAGACTCAAACAAATGCCTCAAACCCCATGGCACAGGCACAAAATGACGTCGACAAGGCACGGACCTGCTGGGATAACCTGAAACTACGACTACTGTACGGCTGACGGAGCGAAAGCCTTGACCCCTGGGGTATCTTTGAAATCCCTGCCAGCCTCGCCCTACTCGAACCCCCGTCGCATCCATCGGCAGACTTACCTCATGAACATCTCTCAGAAGCGACACTGTCATCTGATTAAGATTCGGGAAAAGGTCCAAATTGATTCGATATTACTACAAACAACGGTCTTTCTTCAAAGGAAGTATTCCCTGGTTCATCGCCGCAATCCTTCCGAGGTCCAAACTCTGACTGACGCACCTGAGTTCGCCCCGTAGTGCAGCAGGCTAACTTGCCGAGAACGGGTCTGGCAAAAAAGCACCTAGCAGCGCGAAATTAACACGACCTCGTTTTTGTCCACGCGAGAGTGCGATCATCCCTGATCCAATAAGCGTGGCCCGTCCATGGGTCTCGGTGTGACTCCAATTACCCCCACAGCCGCGTCAACCCGAAACCCGGAGAAGACCGCATGAGTTGGTCGGGCGGCGCATGTGGCACTTCTTTTTCCACCTTTGGGGGCCGGGGCAGAAATGGGTCCCCCCTCCTCGTCTCCAGGCTCCATGTTTGCCCCGGTGCTTATTCATTCCTTACTATGTCCAGGGAACCAGGGCTGAATTGCTCCAGTATCATCTGACCAGGGGGTCGCAATTGCTCACACCCGGTTTATTATCACCTCCTGGAGAAGAAGAATTTTTTCCCTTCCCGGATGGCCGTCCAATCAAAAGCCAGGATAAAGTCTTTTCCATTCTACTACTACACCGTACATTTCTGCCTCCGTCTTTTGATGCCGAAAAAGCAAAACCTGGACATACAAGGCAAGACATCGTTCGATTCATGAACATTGTTATGGTACCCGACCGACCCAAAGAACGAAAAGGCGGGTTTTCACACGCACATGTGGACTCGTCGTTGCAGCAAGCCTAATGGCCAAGGCCCCATAGCTAGCCAAGCCCCATAGCCAAGTTGAATTCGCTCGAATGCGGATTGGAGGAAGACGCTTCCGCCTCACACACTATATTACCCGTGATAATGGCAAGTTTGAGGGGAACTGAGACATGTAGAAGCCAATTCAGCGGCACTCGAAGGAGCAGAGCTTTCGCCACACCGCTATCGTAGATTCAGCTGCCTAACGTGGCTAGTGTCTTTTTGCCATCGTTACAGCCTCGGCTGCGTGCGACGGGAAATGAATCCCGGGGTTCACGCGAGTGTCGTGACACCTCAAGTCGTATGTTGAGAAGGAGGTGGCCGGGCGGTGTAGTGGTAACTACTCTGGATGACACTTCTACGAGCATCTAATAAAGAGATCTCTCTAGTTTATGCCAAAGTACAAAATGTAGTAGATTTGATTCCTGCAGCTATTGTAATTATAGTAGATGAGGATTTGATTAACTAGATATATACCCAGTGCTGAAAAAAAGAATATATTTAATATATATTCAGAGAATTTGAAAATATAGTTCTTATTCCTATCACTTTTCTGTTTCTGTACTGAGTATAATAAGATCTTTTGTAGATTTCTATCTTCATAAGAGATTTTTTTACAGATTTTTAGAAATATATATATATATATAAAGAAGGTTGATAACTTCCGGGTGGTAACGCACGAAGGCTAGATAACTGGGATGTAGTATAAAAGATAGTAGAATTATATTTTTTGTTTAGGATTTATTGAAAGATGTACCGCCTGTATCTAAATAGATAGAAAATTGCTAGCGTGTATTAGAGAAGAGAAATCTTCTACTGGCTATCAAGTAACTTGGCTAGAGTATCCTGGCTGTGCTGAATCCAAGTATAATTACACATGCACGCACGCACGCAAGCAAGTATGTTGAGAAGGCATTCGATTGGTCGCTGTATTTGTAGAACACTATACTGTCGAACTAGCATAACCTTTTCGTTTGGGGGTATAGGACACGTATGTATGAAGAGCTGTCACTGCTCATCAGCGTAGTGCCCAAGAAATTCTGCTTCTTGTTCCATATGCAAAGAGTGGTACAGTGAACTATATGACACGAAGACCCTCGAAATATACTAGATCCTCGACCAGAGGAGACACGACAGTATCAAACACCCGTTCCTCGAATTGTCCATCACCAAAGCATGAGCCCACCCCGGACCAGAAGAGGCATGTACGGACAACCTCAGCATATGCTGCACCACTATGCCATTGCACCTCCTTGATCAGTCGACATGCCGTGTTGAATTTGGTTGTTTGTGGGTTTCCATTTCCATCCTCGGTGATCCATAGCGCACCAATCGTTTCTCCGACCGACAGTTCAATCAGAGTCAAAGCTAGTGGGAAGAGGATATCGTTCTGCACATGAGGGCAAGATGGAGCGTTCTCCCCAGTGATGCCCGCGGGTTGGCCCGAGAGTGGCCATGATAAATATAGGTTATCCAAAAGCGCAGTGCGGCCGTCCTTGTCCACAGCCAATCGCACGTCGGAACTCTCCCAGGATGGCTTAAGCCAGTTTCCATAGTACTGAATTAGCCCGCAGGCGAGACCTGCCGCAATGTGCAGCCGCTCTCGGCGGCTTGTTGTAGAAAGAATCTCACGGACGGAATATTGAGGCATCCTTTGGTGCGAACTCTTGACAGCATGCACGGTGTACCGAACATTGCCATCAGTAGTACCATGGGATATGAATCCGATGGTTTTGTGGTGGTCAGTACACGTTTCCATGCGTAGGACTGAGCAGAAATCTAGGATGGGACCTGCCATGCTTTTGTCAATGGCAGAATCTGTTCCTATGTTCTCCAGCATAGAACCGGTTGAGCTTGAGCTGGAGGTCTTTATGTTGACTACTGTATCAACCTTAAAGTGGACCCCTTTCTTCTTCTCCTTCTTCTTCATAGTTTCAAGTGGCTGCTCCCTCCTTTTCATATTTCCGGTTCGCTCGGTGATGGCGAGATGGGCCATTGTGATACCCTCTTCCGAAGGTTCGAATTCCACTTCTTTCCAGCTCCAAATCGTAGAGCCCTGTGTCAATGTGTTGGAGAAGAGAACACGAAATTTAGACTCATTCTCATTATCGTTCAAGCCGTGATTTGTCTTGACAGGATTGCATTGGAGCTGAAGGTAGACACAGTGGTGCTCCCTACAGCGACACTTCCAGTATTCCCCTTGCAAAATTGCCCTGAAGAGACCCTCTGCATATTTCCTTGCCCGCTGATATCGTTGGAGGAGGGCATTATTCCACCCACCCCGTTTCCTTCGGGTCTGGATAGCGCCGCGGTGCGCGGACTGGTCGATCAATATTTTCAGGATGTCGTTGACAGAGGTGAGTTTCTGCAGCAAGTCATCCAAGACGGCCTTTGATAAGATCACCCGAAATCGGTGTTCGCCAGGCTCTTTCTACCACATGCAGTGCGTCAGCGAGAGACAATGCGCTACCTAATACCAGGGCTTTACACAACTCACCGGCGAAGGGTTGGTCAGGTCCATGTCCAACTTTTCGGCGAGGCTCTCCAACAAGCTGTACACCCTCGTCATGTTTCCAATAAAAAACTCGTAGTGGCCCCCCAGTTTCACCTGAAGCCGATTCCGCAAGCCCTGGTCCGCCCACGGGTCATTCCCGGGGGTCTGGCCAGGGGGGTGGCTGATAAGGTCGGAGAGTCGATCCTCGTCGTCAACGACATCATCTAGCACCTGCTCGAGGTAATTCACAAATATTGCGTGCTGTGTTCCGATGTCCAGCACATAGTTGGCGAGATGCCGGCGAAACCGCCGGAATACCTTGATCTTCTCGATGCCGAGAACGTAATTGTCGAGCTGGTTGATGACAAAAGGAAGTACTGCCAGCGCAATCCCCGTTGCTTCGACGCCTGTAACCATCTCCGGAATTTCGTCCTTCTGTTATTACAATGCACAAAGCTGGATACGCATCATGCCTACAGAAAAAGGGAAGAAGAAGGCCAAAGCCCGCTTAGAGAGCTGCAAAAAGTTGGTCAGCCTCGTCTGGTCACAGAACCCCGCACTTGGAAACCCCCACTCCTCGAGTCTCACGCAGATTGACACATCTCTGGTTTGTTCACGCACATTTCCATCGATGTAATAGTAAAACTCTTCCATATTGTCTTCAAAGTTGTCCAAAAACCTCGTTGGAGGTTGATCGGCTTGCCCTCAAGATTCTCGGGAGACCCCCCTGGGGAAAGCCCGGCTTGCATACCAATCATGGTCAAAATTGCTGAGCTCTTCAGACAGTGTCTAGACAGGTTAAATGAGGTAGCAAATTCCGATAGTATTTCCAGTCTTGAGAATGAGGTTCCAGTCCATGCCTGGACCGACGAGCTCGGCAGGTTCCGTGTCTGGGCAGCCAATATCGGAGCCCACCAGCAGGGCCTATCCTCTCTCGATTATCGCCTACGCGATGCCTCGCATATTCAGAGTCAAATATCTAGGCTTCTGACAGCCCTGGAAGAGTCACTTATAGACCTGGATGATCTCACTTCTGGTGGCAGTGAGGATGCCGATGGGCCGTTTGACGAGCAGATGGAAGAGTTGTACCGTGAATTCGAAGACGAGAGCAACCCTACCACGCAGGCTCAAGAGATATATCAAAGCGTCGCCAATACGATCTCCCATCTCTTCCAAATGTCAATGATTATTCGCAACCCCACCGATCATGACCGGCTCATCGGAATAGACAGAGTGGATGCGGAGCCGTTCAAATTCTGGGCCCGGCAGCACGTCTCCCATAAACACCCCGAGCTGGAGGCGTTGATCGCGGACCGCATTAGCACAGCAATGGCGAAGCAGAGAGCTACGCTTAAGTATAGAGAACGGCACCACGCCAAGCTGAGCTGCGGTTTGGACGCTGACAAAAACGAAGCCTCGACCAGGCTGTCGGAAACGATCGCCACCTCGTTCAAAGCGCCTGTTCCGGAGCAGGCAAATAACGACGTTATGAGCAACTCTGGCATTTCTGAGACCTCGTACGCAGGTACCCTATTTGTAGGGGAGAACAAGATGACAATCCCACCACCTCCAAAGGAGTCAGCGGGCCGCAAACCCTTTGAATGTCCCTACTGCTTCTTTATCATTACCGTGAAGGATACCGGGGACTGGGCGCGGCATGTATTTCGCGACCTAATGCCGTATGTTTGTCTCTTCCCTAATTGCCCAACTGCAAGTAAACGATACGGTAGCCGCCGGCAATGGTATAGCCATATCCAAGAAGAACACGGTCTGGGAAAAGTTGCCGATAGTCATTATCAATGTCCTGTCTGCAAGAAGAGCCAGTTGGCAGCTATAACCTTCAACCGACACGTTGGCCGTCACTTGGAAGAACTTGCTTTATTCGTACTTCCTCGCACAGCAAACGAGGAAAATGAATTGCTTGAGTTGTCTGAGGAAGGGAAGTTTGACGATAACTCTCAACCCCGATCGCTTGGGGATGCTGATCCAGACCGTGATATTGCCGAAGTACCGCCAATTGACGAAGTGTCCAGCCCTGAAGAGACCACCGCCGAACCGGATAGTTCACTTACAGAGCCTAGGCTTCAGGATCATACTATCATTCCCAGCCCCCAAGGAAAGTCGGACAACAACCCAGAGCAAAAACACACAACTTTGGCGACTGAAATCCCAAGAGAACCTTACTCAGATGAGTTGCAAAGGCTTGAAGCCCTCAAGCGACCTGAATCGGATCAAGATTTCCAAGCTTTTTACTCTGTTACGGACGCTCGATTGCCCTTATATCACCAGAGGTCTGCTGACGTCCCTGTGGGTACGGATGAGTATGTTCAATACGACGCTGAAGATGATGGTGCCAGCTCAGACGATGGATCAGTCAATGGACCTGAAAACCGGGAAGAAGAAGGCAAAGTTGAGGAGAAGGAAGGGGATACTGACGAACAAGTTGTAGGAGATAATCCTTCTTTGGAGGAGGACCTGGGCGTCATCACACCTGAACCCGAACATGATGTCCCGGGTAAGATGCCTCTAAAGCCTGTCGAGGCATCCCTTCCAAAATTCCAGCGACGAGGGTCAGCTCAATTACGGCATTACCCGGGGACATGTTGGGAGTGCGATCAAGGGTTGTTACATAGTTCTGTACCCCTCCCCCGCCAGGGGCCTTCCTTACACTCTGCCAGCGACTCCAATGAAGATTATTACCGAATGCCACCACCACCACCTCTAAAGCACAACACCACGCCGCATATTATTCAAAAAAAGCCCGAATCACCACGCCTTCCTCTCAGAAAGTCCCCAAAGAGAACAGATTCAGAGGAGGCGAATGCCTCGTCGTCCAACCGCTTAGAAATGCACCCATCTCGCTCGGTCAACCTAACAGAGCTTCGTGATATTCTCCCTGAATATGGATATCGTCGATCCTCTAGAGAGACCGTAATCCCAGCGCGAAACCGTCGGCCTGCTACCCGATATGATGATTCTTCCTATCGACGACACCGGCCCGTAGTTGACCACTTGGCCGGTGATGATGCCCCTGCGGATAAGTTATCAGATGAGGGTACGATGGTGCCCGAACGCAGCGGCAGCATCCGGGATAGTCGACGGTCTACCTCCTACCAAGACAGCGACGCGAGCACTCAGAACAGCAGCGGCGTGGATACCAACAGGCCGGAGGAGGATAGCCATATCATCATGACTCTTAACGGCGTCACAATGAGCTTTCCGCGTGAGTCGGTCGGTCCGAAGAGGATCAGTGTTCGGACGGGTGACACGGGGGCCGTCGAACTGAACATCGAAGGGAAGCGACCGCGAAAGTACATAACCGGGGGATCGGACTACACAGGCAGTGTGGCCAGCCAAGGGCTCGAGAATTCTCGCCACGATCAGACAGACCATCACTCAGACCGGGTCAGTCGACGATCTACTCGGTCCACCTATACCAGTCGAACATACTAGTCTTAGTCGACTCCAAATACACGAGAACGTTTATACGTGGGGTCGCCTGGGAGAGCACAATATCGTCATTGCCTCTCTACCCACCGGAGTCTACGAAACCACCTCGGCTGCGGTCAAGATCTCGAGCCTATTTGCTTCTCTGCCAACCATCCGGCATAGGTGGCGGCATCGCTCGACTGGACGAGGAACACGATATCCGGCTCGGCGACGCTGTCATGAGCCAGGTGGGACCATGGCGGCGTCTGCCAGGCAATATTTGGTGGCATGCGTGAGCGGAAAGGCTTCAATCCAATTCAAATCAAATCAAATTCTTATACCTGATCGAGCCCGCTAAGACGCTAGCTATGCAGGTACTTTACTGTTTAAAGCATGAATATAGTTCTATATAATATCGGATCCTTTAAACTTACAGTAGATATATATAAATCATAAAGCAATGTATATCGTGATATAGAAAGATTATTGCTGTAGCTGAATACAACTAAAATAACAAATATAAAATAAGGTATAGATATATAAAAAAACATAAATAAGTATTATAGTTGTCTAGCCAGCTGCCTGTAAATCATTATTTTCATTATTTTTTATTTATATTCTTACTTCATCTAATATTATAAGTTACTTTTAATATAAATAATCTTTCCCGGTCCCAGAACCTAGCTAAATCTCGTGAAATTCATGAGAGAAAATGTCATATAGAATAACCCAACTTTATCACAGCACTTATAGGGGGTTACAAGATAGTTATTATCCTTATTCAGCGCGTTGCCTTTCCACATATGGGCCTCTGGAAGTAATCGCCATCTACTTCCATCTCTGCACAATCGAAGACGAAGGCTTTCTCTCAAAATTACTCACTGTGATAAGGTAACTGAGATAGTCTTTCTAAATGATTGCACCCAAATTCCTACCTTGTATATAACCCCATAGCGTGCTTCATATTCTGAAACACATCCCCAAGAGTTAGGCTTCAGTGTAAGGGAAACCATCGTGGAATCTTGTCATCATAGTAGAACAAAAATACCACCCACCAATAGTGTGGCACAAGTTCTTTCTATAATCTTGCCCAGTTGTCCATAAATTTCAACATCAGTCCGATGAGGTGTCAAAGCTCCTGATCATTTTGCAATTACACTCAAGGGCTGTTTATAGTTAATAAACAGAACTACGTTGGAGACCCAAAGCGTTCCCACGAGGGCCATCACTTGGATAAAAGACGCCATAGCCACATTGTCAAAGTTAATAACGTGCAATTAATGAGAAAATGTTTGGCCGCGTTGATCTCGTATAGCCCCTTGCATCAACCGCGATCCTAGTGTGTCGTTGAGAGGGGATAAGTACCTGTGGGTAGAGGGATCCGCGCCCCTGCATCGCGAACAACGATGCAAGGGATACGCTATACGAGGGACAACCGTAGCTGACATTCCGCCCTTCGAGGGGTTCTTAATAGGCACACATATGAATATCTACACATTTCAGCCGTCACGGAGTCGGACTCGGTGCGGTGTCACATATGTTTCAATCCAATCTTACAATTTGGGCGCTCTGCTGGGTCTAACGGCGCTTCAAAGCCCATGACTGCGGTTAGTAATGGCCGAATAACCGCGTGGTTGTTTAATTATATAGCGGAAGGGAGACATTCCATGGGAGCACCGTTTGATGACTGCTGCCAAACTGGGGTTTTGCTTATCCCATGGATAGCTCGATACATTTTGGGACAGGCTAACATCCAACGCAGTGAACCTTATAGCATCTTTGCATAGGTTCTGGCTGCAGCTACGGTATCGTGCTGTCCATTATCTTAGTATGTTATATCTGAGATGGTGGAGGATAACTTTCCATCATTCATGAAACCCCGAGAGCTTATGTGGCGAGCTGCTACATGTTAATTATGTGAAGCTATATCTAAGATTCATAGAGCATGGAAGCAGTGGCTCCTGAATAGTACATGCATACATCAGCTGAAACGTAATCAAGGCTTAAACAAGATCTTAAGAATTCAATAGTAGATCCAAGTTAGTTTGGTGGCTCTTGCTAAAATGCCAAGTCACCGTATATTTAAACTTGTTTAGGTCAAAGCAGCACACTTCCAACATACCATGCTTCGCCAAAGCCAGTATATGTATAGTTGGATCTATTTTCGGTTCCTAAACCATTGGCTGTTCAAGCTGGAGTACGCCAAAGATTGTAGCGCATTGTGAGTACAACGAAACGTCATGCCCGATTCATCCTGTGCCCAGCATTCCAGTGCAGGCATCGCGCCTGATTATTCCACAAGGAGGTGCACCGATTGGCGGAAGGGCCCGCCAATACCAATGGATGGCTGCGCGGAGTTGTCACCGATCTTGAAATTGTATAGAGATATCTGATGAATGGCCGAAGGGGCTGGTTTACGGCTGTCTGCTTTAACTATATAACAGAAGCCATGTCACCATTCGTGAAGTCCCCCATAGCCCCTGACTCCCTACACCAGCTAACACCTTACAATCATAGTTAAGATACAATGCGTGCATGGCATACTATACTTCTTCTCCCGGTCCTGGTAGCCTCAACTGCAACCGGCCGCTGTCGTCCAGCACAAGCCAGCAGTCGCAAAGACTGGTACGTGCTGCACCCTTCTTTCCACTCCCAAGCTAACATCCCCAGGGATGACTTGAGCACCCAGGAAAGGACCGACTACATAGACGCAGTCTGGTGCCTACGAGGACGTCCGGCTGTCCTCCCCAACGACCAATACCCAGGAGTACGAGATCGCCACGATGACTTTGTAGCGTAAGTGTACAATCCCTCCTCCCCATCCTGACATTACATCACCATCTAACACGAAATCACCAGCACACACATCAACTACACCCTCAACATTCACAACGACGGTCTCCTCCTCCCCTGGCACCGGCACTTCACCTACCTCTACGAAAAGGCCCTCCAAGATGAATGCGACTACCAAGGAACCGTCCCGTAAGCTCCATCCCTAACCCTTCCCTCCCCCAAACCATCCTAAGCCCCAACTCAACCCATCAGATACTGGAACTGGCCAACCACAACCAACCTAACCGCCTCCCCCGTCTTCGACGGATCCCCCACCTCCTTCTCCGGCAACGGCTTACCCCAAAACAACACCTCGAACCTATGCCCCCTAAACATCACTCCCTGCCCCTCCCCCGGCACCGGCGGCGGGTGCGTAACCACCGGCCCTTTCTCAAACTGGTCCATGCACCTGGGCCCCTTCTCCCTCTCCCAAGTAATTCCCTACGGGGACCTCCCCGCCAACGCCTTCGCCTACAACCCACGCTGCCTATCGCGGAACTTCACCACGGACTGGCTCGCTGCCCTGAACACCCAGGACAAAGTGGACGACATGCTCGCGGCCACCGATATCGAGGGGTTCTTGGAGCTGATGAGTCCCAGTGCGAATGGGTATGCGGGGGCTCACGAGGGAGGGCATGCGAGTGTGGGGGCGAATATGCTGGATACGTTTTCGTCGGCGCAGGACCCTGTGTTCTTTTTGCATCATGCTATGGTGGATCGGGTGTGGACGTTGTGGCAACTTGGAGATTGGGACGCGAGGAAAGATGCGTTGAATGGGACGACGGTTGTGCACAATCCTCCTGGGGCGCCGGAGGTTACGTTGGATACGGTGATGGAGTTTGGGGTGTTGGATGAGCCGAGGAGGGTGGAGGAGGTTATGGATCCGTTTGGGGGGGATTATTGTTATCGGTATGATTAGTACTAGTATGTGGATTTCATTGCAAGCAGTGCATAAATAGGTTCGGTATATAGTTTAGGTGAGTTGTGCTCAATACACAGTCGCCTGCTGAACATCAATATGTCCCGAAAACAACTCGTCCTTGCCCGGATCCTCCGGCAGCTCCACCCCATAGAACTTCCTCAATACGTCTTGAATTACATCATAGCAAGCGCCATACCGCACGAGCTTCATATCCCGAAAGTTGATGATCGTCGATGACGCGCGCGGCACACTAAACGTGCGCTTGCCATAATCGATAACGATATCCGCGGCCTCCACGATCTCAGGCTCAATATCCTCAAGGCGGACCTTCATCCCCGACCCCGAGATATTAGCCGATGAACCGAGCAGGGGTAGCCCCGCAGCGTGGCACAATCGAATGAGTTCATCCTGTAAGGGTCCCCCATTTACTAGCATGGAGAGGGTGCCGTCGTGCGTGCAGCGCGAGAGCAACTCAGGGCCGAGTTTCTGGATGATTGGGTGGTCGGCCCGAAACGGGGCCGCAACGCCGACGGGCACGTCTAGATCCACGGTTAGAGTCCGAACCATGGACTCTTCGCGGGCCGGGAGGACGTGGATTTCTTGGTGGAGCGCGTAGCTTCCGATCATGGCGTGCTTCTTGTGTGGTTTCCGGCGCTTCGTCGTGAAGAGCCGGTCCAGGGCTGCTGGGTCGCTGGCGACTAGGCCGTAGCCGATGCTGCCGGGGATGAGGGCGATGCCTTGGTTTTTGATCACTTCGAAGACGCGTTCAGCGTCACGGAGAACGTCGATGGGGGTGGTTGAGTAGGTCATTGTGAGTGTACTTGTGTTTGAGTCTGGGGTAAGGGTAGTAGAGTGGAGAGAAGGATTCTGATGCTGGTGTTGGTGGGGAGAAGGATCCTGGGGCGAGGATCCGGGGGAGCTTATAAGTTATGCGTATTACGTGCGGGGTGCAGTAAACATGGATGGGGATGGGGAAGGGTGTTCGTGTGACTGTGATCATGCTGACGCCACTTTCATCATGTCTCTATGTCTGGACATCTAGGGATAATTCTCCAGCAATCGGGTGGAGAAGTGACCATAGGCAGCAGAGGTAAAACAAAGCAGTCAAGAGCAATTGCCTCGGGTAGAAGAGGGTCAACATACCGAGCACTGACTTTAAATTGCCTCGTTCGGGCTCGCCCATACTCTCCAGCTGGTGGTTGGTCGTTTGGTTGATCGGACCCTCTGTTGCTCGGACGGTGTAGCGGTGTCCTTGGATAAACGGAACACGCGGCAGCTGGAACAAGGTTTCATTCATGCCGGCAGCCGGAATTTCGATTAGGTCGTTTGAGCGTCTGCATTCGGCACTTCGGGATAGACCAGTTCAGGAAGGTGATGAGGGGCTGTTGTTGGTCTTGTTCGTGTTGTGGACGGTCACTGATGGTGACGCACTGATGGGGTCAAGTCGGGTACCCATTGTTGTTTGCGTCTGCAATTGGAAGCACACAGAGGATATGGGAAGTGAGAGTCAACCATAGACGCTGGGATGGCCAGTATAGGGTACAGGCCGCATTGATTGTCGTAAATCAGCTTGATACTAGGTGGTGGGATCATTCCTCTTCAGATGCCCTGGCACTATCTGCTTCACCATGGCACGGAAAGCCTACTAAGTTGGCCACCTGCTCAATAAGTATTCTGTGAGTGCGAGAGAGAAGTCCTATATAAAGTAAATAACCAAGCAGTAATACTGGACAGGTGATACTACTGTCGAAGTATATCAGTCCCTCAGTACAACAGAGTGTGGCCATCAGACTCTGGAATGGCTATTCAATGGGTTGGTCAGTGCTTCCGTCAATATTTGAGGAGCGTGCATTGTTTGAAGGTTAAGCTTGCTTGTCCTCTCGCGCTGTCGGGAAGGAGGATTGCAGAGGCTTCACCGGCTCTCTATAGCCCGCAATGTGTCTTTACCGGGCTCATGTAAAGCTCTATGGCAGCCATGCGTATAAGAGACAAGGGATTTACACCACCGAGGCCTGGTGTGACCAGCGGAGAAGATTTTGATGAGTTAGACTCAGTAGAGAAGTCTGTAAATACGTCTAGTCTAAGACTTCTACGCTATATGTTCATGGATCATGAGGGCAATTTTCTTCATCTTTTGGCATAATCCACCTAGCACACTGTTGTGGGGCAAGAGCTACTGTCTGCGTTTGTAGTTAACCAGGCAACTAGTACATTGGTAATGATATGTCAGTGATACCCGAAATTCCCTCTATTGTCAGATGTACCGGAGGTGATTATTTCCTCAAGATATGACAAACTATAACGGTTTGCAGTGGGGATCATATGATTTTGGGGAGACAAAGTCATACTATAGAACAAACCGATTGTGCAGTAAG